GAAGAGGCTCCTCTGTAAACATGAAGGTCACAACTTTGATTCCCAGAAAAGATAAGGTGTACACGGGTTACCGCGCATTAAGGTTGGAGTGTCCTTGAGCCTGACTCTGAGCTGGTATCTGCTCACTGAAGGTCACCCTGCATGGGCGAGCATGAAGTGCTCTTACTGTAATTGCTCCATGATTATCTCTGTCCGTACTCTGAGCTGAGAACGAGTCGCTGACTGACGCATCCGAGTCTGACCGTTCACCTCATCCACAAACGCAGCCAGACTGAACGATGTAAACACGGGAGGAGACGTTCAAAAACACAACACGGAGAAGTGACTCAACGTGGGATTAGGAATAACGAACATGTGCTGGTTAATCCAGGTACATTAGAAACATGGAGGTGCAAGATGACCAGCTATCTTTGTTGTTTTTCTCCAATCTCAGAGGCTGCAGAGAGCCGACCCCCACAGGAGTCTGTTTCCTGCAGCAGAGTTGAACATGTTTTTTTCCTCCTGGTACAGGGTGTGAGCGCCCCTCTTCAGACATTACATAAGTGTAAGGTTCTGACTGATGTGTGTGCGCTCCAGTATCTGCAGATAGTGTGTGATAAGTCAGGGGTTCAATCTAAAAGGTAAAATTAAAACAGCTCTGTCAGCGTCCTCGATTCTCTCCGTGTGAAATTCGTTCCTCAGATCGAAAATCGAGTCGCTCCGTCTTCTTATCCCTTCACATGTAATTGCTCATCTTTCCTCCCCTCCTGTTCACAGTTAAGCTCTGGCAGCCTGCCTTCAAGATCTTTTTTTTTTACAAAGTGTCCATAGAATTAATTCCTGCAGCTGTAAGGATCAGCTTTAAGTAAGACTGAGACTCCTAATGTAACCATCACAGACAGCAGCTGCTCCAGATGTTGAAGCATCTACGCAGACATGAAGAGAAACAGATCCGACAGGCTCCTTCCCTCTCAGATATCATCCATCAGAACTCAGAGAAACTCACTTCTTTTTGATTTAATCACCGTAGGTATATTTGTATTTTCAGACGGGCTGTTGGTTCGAGTGTTCGAGTCTCTCCGAAGACAGAATGACGATCAATTTCTCGACGAAAGAAACTTCTGGAATAATGGGATGTCTGCGTCTTTGTGCTGTAACCTTTTTTTAATTATCTGTATTTTACATTAAATATTGTTATTTGTTGCAGGATGTTGTAGATTTGATAGCTGTAGATCAGCTGGGTATCTAGTCATGAAATTATTAGGAATAACATACAGATGCATAAAGTCGTGATTAGTGATTCTATGTCTATGAAACCATTTCGGGGGCTTTTACACCAACGTTGTTTGGATCAGACTTTCTGACTTTTCTGTTTAGTCTGAACCGTAATGATCGTTGTGAAACCTCTCCAGGACCTTAGTCCGGACCAAACAGCAGGACCTTGGTCCGACCAAAAGAGGTGGTCACAGTCAGGACCAAACTGAACCACGGTCTGGTTCATGCCCAGAGGTTAGAACCTTCGTACCAAAGACAGGAAATGATGCAAGGAGTAGAAGTGTCTGTTATTATGTTGAATGGAGATCGTCCAATAACGGGATATTTTACAATATTGTAGCTAAAGTTATTCCTCACTATTGACAGCTGATCTTTTCAAGAGTTTTACTACTCAGACTTTTCTCCAGAGTCTGTGTTGCAATGACTCACAGGATTTCATACTGTCTTTTCCTTTCCTGTCGATAAAGTTGTCGTCTAATGATCTCTGGAGTTGAGGTCTTCAAGCTGCTGTTGGAGGTAGAAAATCAAAAATAGTACGTTGGCGGGAATGATGATTTCTTCCATGTTTACACCATTCAAGACCCGCGCTTTTCAACGTGTTGACGTCAGACGCCCGCCAGCCAAATGACCAATCAATGTAAACTACAGAGACACGCAAACAATGACGATATCACGAAGGTTCGTCATGTAAAGTCTGTTTGTTTGTTTGCAATAATGAGAGTGTGAAACTTAAACAGACCAAACCAAATATAGACGATGGAACAAAAACACAGACCTCAGTTCTGACCTTGGATCTGACCTTCAGGTGTGGAATCACCCTTAGTCTCTTTCCGTCTCAGTTATTAGTCTGCCTCGTTTCCATCCTAACTTCATTGACTCATCGAACAGAGAGTGATAAACTCTTTAGCCGCCCTCTACGTCTTCGTCTCCCTTCACCTTGACGCCTCAAAGAGGAGAAGCACGTCTCTTTCTGTCCCGTCGACCTTCACGTCCTCCTCCGTCTTCTTCTCCTCGTCCTCCAGCTCATATCTACAGCAGGGGCGCCATCACTTACGCCATCACTCTGTATTGACTCACCTCCTCCAGTTGGAGGCCGTGCTGCTCGGCCTCCTGCTCCTTCTGCAGGATCGGCTGCTGCTGGTCCTCCCGGGCTTTCAGGGTCGCTTCCCGCAGCTGCCGCTCCAGCTGTTCGAGACTTTCCGTGACCTTCTGGAAACAAGATAAAAAACGAGTTATCAAAGTGTGAAATTAAAGAACTTCTCTGCTTGATTTTGTCGCCTAATAATGAGCCGGTTTGCCTGGAGTGAAGTGAGATTAAACACAAACAACAAATCCCTTTGAACCTTGTTCTTGTAGAAATCACAAAGATTAAGTGGCTCATTATGTTACGTAACATGTTTGTTTATTCATGTATTCATTTTTAAGTTAATTACTCGTTTACTTACTTTGGAGTAAACTTGTTTATTTGTGTGACTCTAAAATATCATGTGAGTCTCTCCTTTGTTTGTCAGAATATTGATGTTTATATTTTCACAAACATATTTCCAGTCAAAGCCGTCAGTTTGTTCCTTTTTGTCTTAATTTTGTCGACTCAAGGAAAACGTGAAGTTCTGAAGATGGAGCACTTTGTGAATTCGAAGTCCGATTCCTCAGAAACGTCTGGAGGTGAAAGAATGTGTCAGAATGTTGAGCTCCCGGAGATGAATGCTGTAGAAACATACATTAGCATATTTATGTCTTCTAAACACCTACAGCGTACAGCAGCTCATGATGTTGAATGATTGCAGAGGTGGCTGTGTGGGAGGAAAGAATACTCCGCATTGACAATGGAGCGCTGCACCCATTAAATCTGCATTTCATGACTTTAAATGACAAAGTTTGGCTGATGTCGAGTTTCAGTTCTCGTATTTTTTTCAAGTCCACTGAGTCGACTTTCCTCGTTAAGACTAAAACATGGATGTAGAGTCGAATAAGGATATTAACTTTAAGCTGAATTGAGATTTTTGTTCTGATCATGTTAAAAAGACAGAGAGAAAAACGTCGGTTACACAATCCACCCTTCACAAAGTCCCGCCCTAGAACCGCCACTGACCAATCGAACATGAGCAACGATGACCAAGAGAGGAGCGCCTGACAAGCTTTCCCTACTGAAGCAAAATGCCGAAACGTTGCGTTTACGGGACTTGCAAGTCCTGTCACTGTGATGACACAACTGATTACACAAACCACTTCGCACAACCTGCAAATACCTCATCCTCAGAGATGGAAATCCACTTATTTTAACTTCTAAACAGTTCTTCATAGTTTAAGAAAAGGGCACCAGAGTTTGGGTTAGAGTTAAAGACTCATGCAGACCCAACGTGAGGCGAGGACAGAGACGGAGGAGTAAACATCACTCCGTACACTGATACAAAAAAATGATCCTCTAAATTGTGGCTCAGTTGACCCCTCACAGAAGATAAGCTAATGCAAAAGAACTTTTTTGATCACTTATAAACCTTTTTTTCTGATTATTTACTAAATTATTCACTGACAGCTGTAGTTGAAGACATGTTTGTCGAGCTTTGACCTAAATATACCAAAGTAAAAACCGTCTTAAATCCCCACACTCTCCCTGATTATTGTTTTCTATCTCTATAATTATTTTATATATTTGTTTGTTTTTTCATTTGTGCATAATCAACAGAATTTTCAATACTTTATACATTAGAAACTCTTGAATAAAAGAGTTTTTTCTGCGTGTCATTATAGCAGATGAAATATTAAAAAAGTTTAACTAGACCTCCAAGATTTCGAGCTTATTTTTACTCTCTTGTTATTTTCTCTCGTCTCATTTATAAACCGGTTTAATGAGCCTCTTTTTTCTGTCTGCAGGATTTCCTCAGGAGTGTTTGAACAGGAGTAAAACGAACTCGTACACCGTCATGTCATATTTAAGTGAGCTGAGTTTTTCTGTCAGATGTGACTGAATTAAGTCCAGAAATAATGACGACGTCAGTGATTTCCTCTCATGATCTGAACCGTGTGTGTTGCCCACTCACTCTGCTGGCTTCGGGTTGCCACGCTGGTCCGTCTCTATAGCGATGACCCTCGCCCACGACACGCTGGAAGGTTGCTTCCACACAGACTCGTCGGCCGTGGCTTTCTCAGACTTTCCTGAGGAACAACAGTTGGTTCGTATTGTTAGATAACAGCAGAGATCCACTCCAACATCACGCTGCTGTACTGAACCAACAAAGGCGAGGGTGTTACATAACCACAGAGAAGAAGAAGAAAAAAAAAAGGGTTGAAGTCGTGTTACATGAGATTTTGAACATTTACAGCTTTTCTTTTATATCGTCGGTACAAAGAATAAAAGTCACACTATGTTCTCGTGTGATGGAGCTCAGGCTTCTCAGCTCTGTTTCCAGAGAGACGGCTGCAGACTGAGTTCTCCTTTATTTTATTGACTCGATTCTCGGCTCTAAACACTTCCTTTTCAAGTTTAGTTGATGGCAGATTCTGGAAGTTTTCGCAACTTTCTGTCGAGCTTAAAGGGATATTCCGACATAAATTTAAGTAAGGGTCAAACACACCATAACTCCGAGTTAGACACCCCCTCCAGAGATGAATGTTGCCGACCGCTTACTTCTCTAGTTATACCAACTTTAGTAACGACCGCAGGATAGAAATACACAACAGTCTACATCTCCACGCTTGTTTTAGACGCCTGAGGGAGCCCTGACGAGTTGATCACCAAGGACAGTGGAGTTTCGCAGCTCAAGGAAGAACATTTATGATCATTTCTTTATCATTCCCTTAAAGTAATAATCATCATATTAATCATTTTGCTCTGCAGACACGGTAGTTCTTCTGTCTTAGTGTCTCGGTCTGATTGTATTTCCATGAAGAAATGATCATAAATGTTCTTCCTTGAGCTGCGAAACTCCGCTGCACTTGGTAATCGACTTGTCAGGGCTCCCCTACAAACAAGCGGCTGCTGGAAGAGAGTAGGTGAGTTGTGTTAAGTCAAAAAGATGTTTGGTGTTCAGTGATGTGATTAGGACCCTATATGTCCTGTTGATGAAGTTAGGTGCTGTTCTGAGCATTATTTGTGGCTATAGAGTGGCGTTTTGAGGTTTGCGTGTGGAGACGTAGACCGCTGTGTATTGCTATTGCGCGGTCGTTGCTGAAGTTGGTATATTTTAACATTTAAAGTTTTTTTTAGTAGTTTATTGTTTTTATATTTATTGTTATATTTATTGCTTTTTTTGCTCACTGGAAAGAGCATCCTAAACTAATTTCGTTGTAAGTTGATGTACAATGACAATAAAGTCTGAATCTGAATCTTTAGGGGAGTCTAACTCGGTGTGTTTGACCGTAACTTAAATTTACGCCTGAATATCACTCTAAAAAACAGAAATTTTAAAGCTGTTTTAGGCCATTTAGAAGCTGAGGATCCGAAATGATGGCGTTCGTTTGCAAATCTTTTACCGTCCTTCCTAAACCGAGCCTCTTGTTAACGAGAGGCTGTTTGTCTGCGTTTAATTGGAGTGTAATTAAAAGAATGAAAGGCCGGATTAAGCTTCTTCTTGTTTCCTCTCATTTGCAGCTCCATTCATTTGTGATTCTCCAGCTCATTGTCTCCTCCTCGCTCTCTCTGTATCACGGTCGGTTTTATTCTCAGGAAGAGAAGACGAGTTGTTATTCAACTGTCAGACTTTCTCTCTCTTGGATCACTGTGTCCTGTTTGTGTGTTTCTTCTTGTCGTTGTGATGTGATTTTACGTCTCCCTCCTGAGATAACACCACGAGTCTCCTGAGGTTTCTCTTCCCCCACCTGCACCACTTTGAATCCTCCGACACCCCTCCCCTCTTCCCATCTGCTTCTTCTTCTTCTTCTTCATCATGTCTTTCTCTTCATTTCCACACTTTCAATCTCAGAGCGTAAACACATCTGGTTGATGCATGTGCTCCTCGTATACCTGCGGTAATCTTAGCGCTGAAACTCTGTGAGGCTGACCAGATGGGAGGATTTAGAGGGACTTTGGGTCGGTGTTTACCTGGTTCTGCATCCATCTGTGCACACGCCTAACAGAAACTGTGACTACAATGAATAAAAAACGATCAAAAGAAGCGTTTCTGTCTTTAAACAAGAAGTTAATTCTGCGAGAAAACAGCTGACACAAGCAAGAGATATTTTCATCACGCCCAAACGTTTGTTTATGAGCTCTGATACTTATGTAGGAGTTCTGAGATGTATTTGTAATTTAAATCCAACATTTACAATCTTACAGCATCGCTTTGTTCTGCACCATCTCTGCAGCTGTGTACTCCATTACTCTGTCAATCAAGAAAGGAAAAACAAGGCAATCAAATTTAACAAGCAGGCTCAGAAATGTTGATTTTCTCTTTATCTTTGCATCCTCATTACTTCCAGATACACGACCACATATTGTAAACATAAAGGTTGTTGCATCACTTAAGATATGGCGCCCGTAAAGCCTGGGTGTGTCCACATGTCTAAAACTATCATGTGCTTCAAGTCTTCTGCTGAAGTTGTCCTCATTTGTCCGACTGTAGACATGAACAGATTATAGCTGGAGGGGATGTGGTCTAATTCCACCACAGCAGACAGATGGTCCAGTTCAGTCTTAAATGAGTTTGACGGTTTTTTTATCAATGACTGTTCGCCTCCGAACACGTTATTTTCCAAAAGACCAAAAAATGAGCTGATCGACAAACTCTCGTCTTTTTTAGATCATCGATTTATTTGTAGTTTTTTTTTTTTTTTAAGCTCCTGTGTGGAGATTTTTAATCGTCATAAAACTGAAACTCACCGGGACTTCCTGTAAATGCTTCCTTTTTTTTCATCTTCCCTCCTATACTTCCTACTCTTCTTTCCTTTCCCTCTTCCCTTCCTTCTTTTCCGTCCTTCTTACTTTTCTTCCTTCCTTCTTCCTTTCCTCCTTCCCTTCCTTTCTTCTTTTCCTTCTTCCTTTTCTTCTTTTCCCTACGTCTTCCTTTCCTCCTTCCCTTCCTTGTTCCCTTTCTTTTTTCCTTTTCCTTACATCTTCCTTTTCTTCATTCCCTTCCTCGCTGCCCTGTTTCCTTTTCTTCTTATCCTATTTCATTCCCTTTTTATCTTTCTTTCCAACTTCTTTTTTTATCTTTTACTTCTATCCTCTCTTCCTTCCTTTGCTCTTTCCTTTCCTTCCATCTTGCCTTTCTTCCTTTCCTTCCTTTCTCCTTTATTGCCTTTCTGTCCTCTTTTTTTCTCCATATTTCCTCCCCTTTCTGCCGACTCTCCATTTCTCCTTCCTTTGTCTCCTTTCCCCTTTCTTCCTTTTTGTGTTTCCTTTTCCTTTCCTCCCTCCCTCCCTTATTCCCTTCCCTTTCCTCCTCCCCCCTCTTCAGTTTCGTCAGAACGAGCCCCTCCTTGTTCTCATATCAGACAGACTTCAGATCCAGCAGAGAAACATCGAATGAAGCCAAATTAAGATCTGGTGGTTCGTCACGATCCTGGAAACATCTCTTTTTATGTTTTCTTGTCATCTCTGATTCCTCGTTTGTGTTTTCTTCTCTGACGACCTCGAAGGATCCTGACATTCATGTGTTTAATAAAAAATAAGGGACATGTCGCCCTCCTCTTTCTGGGCAGTAACTGGTACACAGCAGCGTTTCTGATGTCTGCTAATATATTTATAATCCAATAGAGAAAAAACAGCCATGAAATTAACTCTTTGATGGATGAAACACACGAACGCCTCACCGAATGTTTCCAGTTTCATTTTTCTGAGACTGGAATAAAAAAAGGTTTCATACACAAAGATTACAGAGCGTTTATCGGACACAGGTGACCTCAGCCGACGTCTCTCATAGTGAAGCAGATTAATCCAGAATCCTGTAATTAAAAGTGACACTTTAAGCCCCAAAGTTTCATTCAGCTTTGAGCGTCAAACTTCCCTGGAAAGTGCAGGTGAAACTTCTGGGCTCCTCTGAAGGTGAGATATCATTTCACTGATGCTGTGACTCTGTCTTTGTGAAAATTGGCCCATTTTCTGAACCGGAGTAAATGGAGGATAAAGACTCTGATAGCTCCGACGGGTTTAAAAAGAAAAGTTGTTTATCCACTGATGATTGCATTTAAATGTAGTTCGGTGGCGTCTGGCAGCATTAGGAGTCGATTCACTCAAAGGAGACATTTTATTTGCAGGTACTTGATGAGAAATAAACATTCTCATCATTTTCGGGATGTTTTGGCGTCTGCGAGATCCTGTTTCAATTATTTTTCTCGCAGCACAGCGGTCCTGTTTTTATGATAACACACAGAGATCGGGATGTACTTATGGTGATTCAGTGCCTTTAAACACACTGACCACAGGGGAGCCGATCATACTCATGGCTGAGGTGGGAGTCGATGTTTCATCAGCAGCAGTCAGCGGCCTTCCCTATGTTCCCATCCTGCACAGGTCGACCCAGCTCCAGGCCCTACTATCTGCATCCCGGCTGGCTGAGGAGTCCAAGGAGAGGAGTTATCTAACGCAAACCAGATCCACCTACGCTCCACCTGGAGGCCCACACACACCTTAGTTATGTAAGACCGGAGAAGGGGAGAACACGGGTCTTCTGTTATCTCACCGTCCAGATCGTGTGTTTCTGTATTTCAGCTGTTATTTCTGTTTTTGTATTTCACTTTAAATTCATCATTTGTCTTTAAAATATCACAATGATCCAGATTTTACTTAATTGTTTAGCTTTTAGTTTGTTGATAAATTCCTGTTTAGTAAAAAAACCCTCAGTCTTCTTAGAGCTCCCCCTAGTGGCCATCTGAAGAAAAGGTTCCAGTTGTACCGTATTTTTCGCACTATAAGGCGCACTTGATTATATGGCGCACCATCAATGAACGCGTCTATTCGTGTCCATTCGCACCAGATTAAAGCGCATTATTTATTTAACTGAACCCCGCAAAGCTACGGTAGCTGCAGTGCTCCGACAATCAATCAATCAATCAATCAAATTTTATTTATATAGCGCCAATTCACAACAGTCGTCATCTCAAGACGCTTTTCAAGGAACAAGAGCAGGTCTGGACCACACTCATTGTTTGATGATCAAGAACCAACCAAAGATGGGTTTTGGCCCATCTCAACTAACATGAGTTACAGTGGCAAGGAAAAACTTCCTTTTAACAGGCAGAAACCTTGGGCAGGACCAGACTCATGCCAGACAGCCACCATGCCGCTGCTGGGTTGGGGAGGAATGTAGAGAGAAGAGGGGAGAGAGGGAGAGGACAGGGGGAGGGAGAGAGACAACAAGATAGGGGAAAGGCGAGAGAGAATGAGTATGGAGAGGGAGGGGGAGGGAGAGAGAGTAGGGAACGAGGGTGAGAGAGAGACAGGAGGCAGCAGGAACAACAGCAACAACAGCAACAGCTCATGTAATGGTGAAACAAAAAGAAATACAGTTTACAGGTTTAGGATATGAGTGATAATGGACAATGTTGAATTAACTGAGTGTGATTACAGTTAGCAGGCTTAATCGTAGACAAGCCAAAAGGATTTAAGGTGCGCCTTATTGTGCGAAAAATATGGTTCTTGGAAGTCTGCATTTCCTTACTCCGAGTCGGAAATTCACCTGGAACGCCCCCATGAAGTCGAATTTCTGACTCGCCAACCCAAACTTGACGACAACGTCATAATCGAAGATGGCAGCGCAGTGCATCAACGGTAAAGAGTAACAGTGAAAGATCTCGTAATGTTTTATTTATCAGCACTTCTGTTTAGTTTTTGTGAAATTAAATAAGTGGTTTATGTTTTACTTCCCAACGTCTAACTGTGAACACGGTGACATGGTGTTTGTAAGAGTAAAATACTGAGTTATGAGTCGTTTAAAACTGGTATAGCGAACAACAACTAACAACAGCAAACAGTAGGCGTCCATCTTGGTTTTCCGACTTGTTTACTGGAACGCCGTCAACAGATGGGATAGGAGTGGGTCTGATCTGAGGAGAGGCTCATGAGGCGCTCACACCAAGTGTAAGTAAAATCATCTACATGCTTAATTCGTGCGAATCAAGACGTGTGAATGAAAAGTATTTACTCGCTTCATTCGCGCGTCAGCGGTAATTTCAACGGTGATCCCTGACAATTCAACCGGCGGGATAAAATGATAGACAAAGTTTTTTACAATTTACCAGATAATCCGACCTCCTCTCTCACTTTCCTCCAGGTGAGCTCCTTTTTATTCCGGTTGCGGTAATTTAAAAAAAGGTATCACCCACACACCTACACAGTCAATTTGTCCTCCATTTTTGATACCAGTGGACAACCGTTTGTTTTCATATGATACACGCCAGTCTTCATGCTGATTGGTTATCGCGACACGAATATCTGCTCAAATTGAAACATTTTCCGCTTCCACCCAATTTGTGTCATTCGCGCCACTAGAACATATGAGCACATGTATGAGCATCTAGTCGCATCTTTGCATCGACTTAACGTAATTCAGTCACGCCAATGATTTTACTCGCTCTTGGTGTGTGGAGACAGTTAGTCTGATCCCATCTTCACACTGGGTCTTTGTAAGAAGAGTTTGGTCTAGACCGGCTCAGTTTTTCCTCATATTTTCTTGCCCTTTTTCATTTTTCTCATCTTTCTTCATTCTCTGAAAAACAGCAGCTGTTTTCAGTGAATTTCCTCGGAGGAGTTAGTGAAGTACTTCTGATTCTGACTTTAAATGTCATCTGGGTGTGGTTTCCTAAAAAACAGTGAAAGCTTCCGCTCCTTTTTTTTGTGGACGTTTCAAACACATAATAGATGATAATGAAATGTTGTCGTCTCGTTTTGGTTTGAATATGTTTTTGTTGGAACTTTTTCAGGCTGTCTCACACAGAGAGAGAGAGAGAGAGAGAGAGAGAGGGAGAGAGAGAGAGAGAGAGAGAGAGAGAGGGAGGGAGGAGGCTGCACGTCCGCTGAAACCATAGCAACACCGGTGTGAGTCCTCCTGGAGCTTTCTGTAGTCACACTTAAAAAACATCAAACGTATTATTGAAATCACAGAGGCGCTCTGCACACTCAGAGTCTCACACTTTGTCGTCTTTCCACTTTTCTCCTCCTCACTCTGTCTCATGTTAAATCTCTCCTCCTCACACCCTGCCGTCTTCCTCTTCGTCTTCTTCCCTCTTCTTTCTGTTTCCCTCTAATCTGTCCATCTCTCCTCTCCGGCTGCTTCTCTCTCTAACTCTCTCATTCGTCTTCTTGTCTTCTCTCAGTCTTTATCTATCTGTCCATCTCTCTTCATTTTTACCTGCCCAGGATGAAATGTGCTCGGTCATTTTCTGTCTGCTCTGACTGTTTCCTGTCCTCTTATCTTTTTTATAACCTCGCTCCACCGACAGAACTCGACTTGTCTCTGATTTCCTGTCCTCCTCCTCTCCTTCTCTCTCCTCCTCTTCTCCTTCCATCCATCATCTTGTTTTCTCTTATTCCCAAACAGAAGTCTTGATCCATCCTTGTCTGTCTAATTCTGTCTCAGAGTGTCTCTCTATCATCCACCTGTAGCAGCATCCTCCTCTGGGTGTCTCTGGTCGCCATGGGGACGCCGAAGGCCGCCTTCTTGAACTTGCTCAGGCGGTGGACGTCTGCGCCACACCTCAGCAGGAGCTCAGCCACCTCCCTGTGTCCGTGCAGAGCCGTCCAGTGCAGGGCCGTCGTCTCTGTCTGGGACTGAAGCACAGGTGCACAGCGCCCCCTGGTGGCAGATAAAGACCCAAACCAGAAACTGATGAGAGACTTGATTAGTTTAGGCCAGAAGGCGGGGTAAGGTCGGTAAGGTGGACTGATAAAACCTCTGCGTCATCCTCGGTGTGGCCTAAAGTTCGTGGACACGTGTCTGTAGCGTTTGTTTCTATTCTCAGCTGTAGGTCATGTGATCAAACCAAAACCACACTGTGACTCGACCTTTGCAGCTCCCGTCTGTGTTTACCTCCGTCCTGTTTGCTCAAGATGATACCTCCAGACAGAAAACAAGAACCGTGATGAAACAGGAAAACTCTGGAGGTGTTTGTTCAGGGTCTCTGGGTTGACCTCGGGCCAGTCCAATCCTTTTGATAAAACAGAAAGTGTAACCTCGTGTTCGACCCTTCCATGTATTTTTAGCAGCAGCAGCAGCATCTATCTGCAGACGCAGGTGTACAGCTGGACCTCCTTCTGCTCACAGGGATCAGTCAAGAAAGTTGCAGTTTAGAGTAAATAGACTTTTAGTGTTTTATCTTCCAAACTGCAAAGTCTGGATTTAAGTCCTTTATTTCGATATTTCAGATCTTATAATACGGCTAACATCAAGTTACTTCATGAAATCCTAAAAAGTCTCGTTGACATTTTCTTTAAAATTTAGATAGTTACTTAAAAAAAATTGTTATTATACTTCCAAGCAGGATAAGTTAAGATGAGATTTTACTTTATTCTTCCAACGAGGGGAAATTCTGAAATTTACAGCAGCGATAAAAACAAAAGAGAAATTAAAGAATTAAGAAACTTAGGAATTTAAAAAATGTAAAAAAAGATAAATACATGAGTGTTATTTACAGCTTTATGTACATGTTGATATATTACAGTTGAAAAAATTTAGATATTTACATGTATAAATAATAGAAAGGGTGATAGAAACAGGATAGTAGAAAATAAAAACCACAAATAAACAAAAATGATGTTTAAAAGGTTTAGAATAATTCTGGAAATTTCAGGAAAAATTAACACTTGTATCCTGTTTCACTTTGTGCTCATATTATGAAAAATCTCTCATAAAACTTATTGTTTAGTTTTTAACATACCTTTTTAGTCTTGCTTTTAAATAAATGTTATATCATTAACTTTAAGTGATCTAGCATTTATCTCTGTCTAGTTTTAATGACAGAATCGTCTTTTATTGAGCCGCTAGTTGCATCTGTGGTCCTCGTCTTCTGTCCTGCTACTTAAGAGGAAAATATCGCACACTTTCTTGCGCTGGCCGGCTATAAACTCAATTCACCACTATTGCATTTCTCCAAATTTTGGGAGGCTTGAAAGATTACTCCACGACTGAAAGGGAGACATGCATATGTAAAGGCCTTGAGGTGCACAGTCTTTTATGAACAAGACAGTAAATCATGTTTCTGAAGAATAACGAATTAGAATAATAATGAGGAAAGCAGCAGAGCTGTTTTATTGATCTTCAGCGGAGAGATCCCATCTGGGCTTCATCAGAAAATTCGTCAAATTTATGAACCAAAAAGTGACTTTGGATTATGTCGCATTACTGTTACAACAAAACGATTAGATGATTGATTTTCACAACATCATATTGATCATTATCATAACCAAAGGATTCTCTACAAAGAAATGGAAATGAGGAAAGTGTCCAGAGATGTGACATTACGTACCAGAGCAGGAGGACGGGGGCTGACACATTGACGGCTCCGTCTCCAGAGGGAAGGAGGGCTGACACATGTCTGAAGATGGCAGCTTTCAGGACGGAGTGAAAGGGTGGAGGAGGAGGAGGTCAGGATCATACTGGAGGGCAAAACCCTGGAGAGACGTAGGTGAGGAGGGTGTTTTAATCAATGCGGAGTCTGATTGGGAGAGAAGAGAGTGGGAGTGAGAATCCTGGAGAACAGGAGGATACAATCTCCCGGTCATAAATCAGTCTCTCCTCACCTGAACCTCCACCTGATTCCAGCAGAGTTATGACTGTAAACAGAGATCTGCGGCGAGGACGAGCCCTGCTGGAGGAGAGAGAGTTTGACCTTTGCTGAGAAGTTGGGTTTGTGCGATGTTTTTCATCTTTATCCTGTGGAAGTTCAGGACTGAGGGTGTTCAAAGGTTGATAAGAGCCTCAGGATTAATCCCTCGTGTGAGTCGAACTCCCGTCCTTTTGCATAGCTTTGATCGCTCTCTTCTGACGGGACCCTCCTGACTTGACAAAGCTCCTCTTAAGCCGAACATTATGCAGCTGCTTTCACGTGCTGAGTCGTGCTCCTCATGACTTTGACATGTAATAAACCGCAGCGTACTGTGCCTACTCATGAAATGTCAGATTTAGCGTACACACAAACCGCAGCAGCCTGGAAGTTTGCTTTCCCAGCTGATGATGTAGGACTTTGTCAAAGGCTTAAAGTCTCTCCCTCTGCAGCACAAGGCAGCTAATCCACCAGTGTTGACACTCGGAGGTAATAGAAATCTTAATCTATCACCTGTTATACTCAGCTTCACCGAGGAAGAGGGTGCCAAATCAGTTTCATGGGATTAATGGTTCATTTTGGGTCCATATATAACAGTGATATAAGGCTGTTGTCTGGAATAGCTCCTATTTTTCCTGTTACATCATGTGAATGAGCCATAAATCCCCTGACTCATGTAGCTTTAACACCACAATGACTCTTGTGTGGACATTTCTCAAATGTGGCACGCTGTCATGGATTAATAATAGAAAACCTCTTTAATCTGCTTCTTTCTGACACCCTTCAACCTGCTATCGGAGCTCCTGGAGGAACAGGTGGCACCGGGGGTAGAGGAAGTTCAAACACTGCATTAGTGGTGTACACAGAGTCTGTGCGCACTAAATTATAAATGAATGTTAAATATAGATATGATGATAGGAGCCAGAGGAAGATTTAATGGCCTGTCTGATTTAAAGGACACTTTAATTGCTGTGAAATAGAAACACTGACAATTCATTTACATAACAGTTTAGTTTGATTTAAAGAATGACATTGACTCTGACTTTTTTATGTTTGTACAATAAAAATACTTGGTGTCAATCACAATGTTTAATAGCGGAAAATAATGAGCATCTGTTGGATGATATTTTTAAGTATGACGCGTAATTATGGGTTTTAAAGGCATGTGACTATTTAAGGTTTATTTCCATGTCTGAAGAGCATCAGTACAGTCCTCAGCAGCAGTTATGCTGTCCTTCCCTTTTGCTCCACAGTTTTCTTAAATACTTCAATCTGATTGGTTAATCCTCCATAGCAGCAGTCTGTTATTTCTCAACAGCACACTGTTGCCACGGAAACAGCTCTAGTCACAGACTCAAAAAGTCATTTTTAAATCAATATTCTCTGCAAAAAAAAACTCTTTGTCAAAAAAGAGGATTAGAGCCACAAGAAGGTAAAAAAAAATAATTATAGGGGGGAGAATTTTTTTATTTCCATAAGATTAAAGTTGAAATTTTAAAAAGTCAAAATAAAAGCATTGAAATTTTGAGATTAAAGTTAAATTTTCGAGACTAGAAAAATCTAAATTACGTGAATTAAGTTGAAATTCCGACTTCAACCTCAAAATTGTAATTTTTTAATCTTGAAATTTCAACATTATTCACGACATTTCGACATTTTGTAATCTAAAAATTTTGACTTTATTGACATATTTTCAATTTTTTTAAACCCAAAAATTTCAACATTATTCATGACATTTTGTAATCTCGAAATTTCGACTTTATTCTCGAAATTTCAATTTTTTATCTCAAAATTTTGACTTTATTGACATAATTTCGATTTTTTAATCTCAAAATTTCGTTTTCAATCTCTTTCCTATTATTATTGTTTTTCTCTTCATGCGGCCCTAATTCTCTTTTGTCTTTATCAAAGTAGGTAAGTGGGATGATGTAAAGTGAGCAGGTTGTATTTACTGTTCATTGGGCAGATGAGACCCTCAGCTGCTCACCCTGTCAGTGTCAGATTAAGAGCATATAATTGATTTGAGGGCTTTAACAATAAACCCAGACCCAATTATAACATTTTAATTATGCTCTTCCAACATGTCGGTATTTAGGGATGCATTCTTGTCAAGTACTGAACTCAACCATCGTTTAGACATAAATCCTGCCGACTAATTGATGTAATTATCTCCTTTAATTTGCCGCCTGAGACGCCTCTTTACAGGCCCTTCAAGGTTAGTGTTTAGTGTTTTTTGGCCTTGAGCGTCGATCCGTATCTAAGAGGACTTTCTGCCTGGTTCTGGTAAATTTACTGTTAATCATCCCTGCAGATCCACATCAGGAGTTCCTCATCCATCGAACAAAAGCAGAGATCTGATGATTTGAACACTTTGTGGTCGACTTTTGATTGTTTCTCTTACAAAAGAAGCGTGATACTTTTAACTTATTTTCAAATAAAGAGGCTTTGATACCAGGTCACTTTTCGGTCTACTGGATTTATTTGATAGTTTTTTACAATTATGAATGAATGAATGAATGATTAGTGAAATTGTTTGTAATAGTCTAATTTTATTATTTAAGATATTTACAGTGTTACAGAATGAGAAATCAACTTGCTAAGACGTGCTGATTTGTATGTTGCTCTGTGTTAATGCTGAGGGCTGATTGATAGTGTGGGGGGAGGGGAGATGTGTCCTTTAAAAAAGCTGCACCCAGCTCCTCCTCTTATTGTGCATTCAGCTTCTACGATCACAGTCCAAAACCATCAGACCCAAGTGACGACCACCCGCAGAGAGGAGGCGATAAAAGTGGAGTGCATGCTGGGATTTCTTCTTCTTCTTCTTTTCAGCCCCAGATCTGGTGCTATAAGTGCAGAACATCCGTACATCACAGACGTAGAAAATAAAAGCAGCAACAAAGCGACAGAAGGAATGAAGGAACACAGATGAGTGCATAGTGATCTGGTCCCAGAAGCCACCAGTGATGGAAGAAGAAGAAGCGAGAGTGTTTCAGGCCCCTAAAGCAGAAGAAGTACGCCGAACTTCAGAGCTGATCCCCTACCGTCTGCCACCAGGCACGTCTTGGTAATCAACACCGCTAAACGTCAGGATTCAGAGTTTTTCTTCTTAAAATCTGGATTAGAAAGAGCTGAGAGGGAGGGAGCAGTTTGTGGTCTGGTCTCAGGTCTTGTTGAGGCTCCACAGAGGGTCCAGGCTGCTCAGGGGGTCGTCGCCCTCCTCTCCTCGCACGCCGTGAAGACCCTGACCCTCCGCCGGCTGCAGGAAGCTCTGCTTAGTCACCCGCTGCTTCCCTTTCCCCCCTCCCTCCATGGAGAAGGCCTCAGGAGTGAGCGAGGCCAGCAGCTCCAGGGACGAAGGAGCGGGAGCCGAGGAGAGAGGGGGCGGGCTCAAGCTGGGCGCCGCCTCCGGGGGCAACTCGTGATTGGTCGGGGGTGTGCCAGGGGAGGCAGCGTCCAGGCCGTTAGGTGGGGGAGGAGACTGAGTAGGGGAGGTGAGAGGCGGGCTGAAGGAGGAGGGAGGCTGGGGATCTGAGGGGGGAGGGGGGTCCTGGATGGGCTGGATGTCACTCAGCGAGTAGATGTCAGGTGCAGCAGTGCCGGCCTGGTCGTCCAGGCCAAAGGGGGCGTCCATGGTGGGGTCTGTAGCACTCGGGGGCCGGATACTGAGCTTGGCGATGGTGGCCTGGATGGAGCTGATGGGCATGTCACCGCCAAGGACCAGATCCTGCTGGGACTCCTGTCTGGAGTAAGGCTGCGAGGACGAACACAAAGAGACGTCAGAACGAGGAAGAAAGAGAGAGAGAGAGAGAGAGAGAGAATTCTGTCTCTATATCTACGTCTGCTGAGACGACTCTACCGAGAATGAAATCAGTACCTCCTCTGACCAAAGCTCGGAGGATTCCTTCAAACAGTCAGGAGCACAAAACGTAAGAAGAGCCGCGTTAAAAACTGGAAACGATCGGGAAGACTAGGAGGGTTTTCAGACTGACACAGACGCATCAGGAAGTCTACGATTTCTTTAGTGTGAAGATTAAATATGAGGAAGTTGACTGATATATAAAGCTAATTTAAAAAGTGTAAATGCTGCTTTTCATTTGAGTCTTTTAGTTTTGGACAGCTGACTTTTTTAAAGCCTATACGGTGGTTTCCACTACAGAGTCACTACTCTTTGAATGTACTGCCATCTCTGAGTCTTCTAATGACATTTTGTACAAGAATTGATAAAACTATGAAGTTCTGAGGGTTTAGATAATTTGCAAAGCATCAAAATTAGTTTTAATTAAAATTCACAGCACTGAAAAATTACATTTGAAAAGGAACCGACTTGCAGAGTCCCATTATTATTATTATCGCAGATTTCAAAATACTTGGTTACCTGTATTGAAAAGAAGTTTTAGCATTATTATCATTATGATTATTTTTACAGTTCTCCAAATTCACATTGAATAGACAAAGAAACTCAAATTTAAAGGACAACTTTGGCTATCTATAGGTGGAGTTCAGACCGTCTGAATCTAAAACGTGGTTTATGGCGAGCTAGTAAAGTCTGACTGACACAGGAGAGCTGGGATGTTAAAACTCTAAAGCACAAACAACTGATTTTTCCCTTTGATAAACCAAATAGGAGTTTTGGATTTTAAGGCGTCAAACCTTTGTGGATGCAGCGGCGGTGTTCTTGCTGCAGGTGGCAGTAGTGATGCCGTGTCTCTGAAGGACCTGCTCCGCATGCTTCAACACGGCTTCATAGCAGAACTTCAGGTGGAGCTAAAGAGAGATAAAAAAAATAATAAATACAAAGAATGAAATGCAAAAAGGGGGATTTTCTCTTTTTATACAATAAATCAAATACAAACACGTCTTCAGACCTTCTCCTGCAGCATGTTCTTCCTCTGTTGTCTCATCTTCTTCACCAGCAGAGGGAGGTCTGGGATCCCGTTTCCTGCCTCCAGCTCCTGCAGTGCAGCGTACAGCAGGCAGAAGGCCCCGGTGCGTCCCACACCCGAGCTGAAACAAACACAAGAGGATGAAAAAAACATGTAAAAAAAGAGTGATTCAATCTTTACACACTTCATTTTGGATTCACACTCACCTGCAGTGCACAATCACAGGTGTGTGTAAGGGCCTCTGGTGGAGGTAGTGTCCATGAACCTCCTGAATGAAGCGCAGCAGGTTACTCTTGCTGTCAGGAAGACCCCTGAAGAAGAAGAAGACAAAGTCAGAGATTCCCTGATGGAGTAAAAGTTCATTTGCACGTAAAAAGAAACCACTCACAGCTCTGGCCAGGAGGTGAACTGGAGATGGACGACGGTGCGCTTCAGGCTTTGGTCTCGGTACTGAAGGCTGATCATGCGCTCCACATGTGTCGGCGTGGTCTTCTGCGTGGTGAGGCTGAGGGTGATTGGTCCCTGAGAGAGCTGCTGGCCACGCTCCGTTGGGAAGTAGCGCACAACCTTTCCCTGGGAGAGAAAAACAGAGATGTTGACAACAGATCAGGTCAAAGAAGACAGACAACAGACAGGAATTATCAGACAAACACAGACACTGCGCACCTTATCGAGTTCTTGTTCTGAAACCAACATGACGATCAGCGAAACCTTCTGTTCATAAACCATCAACCAGAAGTCTGCCGCTGTGCCTGTGAGAGGAGCCTGAGTGGCGATAAGGCGTGGACAGTACGGGGACAAGTCTTCCACATAGCTGGCGTTGATGTAGTCGTCTTTCCCTGACTGCAGCACCACACGGTTGAGGTCATAGGGCATGACATCCTGGTGGCGGTTCTTCATGGTATAGCAGCGGGCGATAGCGATGGAGAGTTGGCGGGCGTCCTTTTCCTGTTGGTCTTGTAACTCTTTCCAACGGGCATCCAACACCGATAACCCGCCTTCGCTCTCTGAGGGGTGCTCCAGGGAATCTACCTGGGCCCTATACCGTTCCAGCTCGCCATGAAGGCGGGCGACACGCTCTGGAGCTTGATACGGGTCGCCCTGAATCAGGAGGACTCCCTGGGAGCTCCTCCTTCGGCGCTCTCCATCCTGGGGGTCAGCTTTGGTAGGTTGGAGGACGTTGGTTGGAGCCTTGGTGCCTCCTGGTTGGCTCTCAGGACTCGAAGACAGAAGGTCATCTGTGCTTGAGTTCTGGCGCTGAAACAGCGATGTGGCAGGCGAGACAGCAGAGGGGGAGGGCAGAGTAGGTGGGGCTGTGCTACCAGGGGTGGGGGCTGGAGTAGGTCTCTGCTGGGGATTCATACCCAAAGAGGCAGGACCAGGAGAGGGAGATGGAGATGGGGAGGGTGAAGGGGAAGGAGGGACAGGGTTTGGTGGTTGAGCCACTGGCGGGCCTCCAGGGGAGGGCTGGATCATGTGCTGGGCAGGGGGGACATGTGGTCCAAGTGGGCCCATGGCAGTGGGCTGCTGTGGAGTACTAGGGGGCACATTAGCTCCTGGACCTGAAGGGTACATGGTAGGGGGCCGCTGATGGGCCATTGGAAGGGTAGCCTGAGGTTGTTGGGGGGCGGCAGGTTGTGGTGCCAGGGGCTGCTGAGGCATCATTGGAGCCCCTCCTGGGTAACAAACCCCCCCAGCATGAGGGGGCTGAGCCTGTGGTTGACCGGGCATCCGTATCGGCTGCTGGGTCATGTTTGGAACAGGAGGTTGTCCAGGATGGGGTTGATGTTGTGGTGGTAGGGCACCAGGAGGCATCTGTGGCATAGGGGCCCTTGGCAGGTGGACCTGAGCACCGGGGACCATGTGAGGTTGCGAAACAGGAGGCATCTGTGGGCGCAGGGTGGGGTGGATGGCCTGGCTAGTGGGGGGCATGTAGTTCTGTGAAACAGGGGGCATTTGCTGACTTGTGGGGGCCATGTAGTTCTGTGAGACTGGCGGAATCGTCTGACTTGTGGGGGGCATTTGTGCTCTAGGACCACCTGGGATCTGCATCTGTGTGTGGGGTGGGATATGCGGGGCTCCTGTTGGGACTGGCATGTGTGGCTGCTGGGGCATCATGTGTTGGTGGGGGAGTCCAGGGGGCATCTGTTGGGAGGGATGGGGTAGGTAGGGTTGAGTTGCAGGGGGTGCTGGCTGAGAAGTTGGTACTTGTGGACGGACGGTTTGAGGGGGAATCTGGACCTGAGGTGGGGTTGGCATAGCGCCTGGTATCATCTGAGGGTGCTGCTGGGGGACAAAGCCCTGTGGGGTTTGGTAGCCTTGGGGTATTTGAGGCCGGGGCTGATAACCGTTTTGCTGATGTGGCGGTAACTGACCTGGGTATGCCTGCTGATACTGAGGAGGAACCCCAGGCTGGGGGGGCATATATCCATGTGGGTATGCTTGCGGAGCCTGAGGAGGAGGGTGAGGGCCAGGTATACCCCTTGGTCCAGGCTGATACCCCTGAGGCAAGGGTTGCCCAGTTGGCTGGGGGTACTGCTGCTGTGGCGGTTTCTGCAGCTGTGGTTGGGGTGCAGGAGTCTGAGCTTGGCTATGCATCGGCATTCGCGGTTGGGGCATAAACTGTGGGTAAGCCCCGATCTGTGGGGGTACTGTGTAGCCAGTCGAGGCTGCAGGTGGAACCGGGTGGTGTTGTGCAGGGGCGTAGCTGGGGATAGGAGCCTGGATGCTATCAACTGTGGTGGTGGATGGTCTGACTGGGGTAGGAGCTACAGGGCTAGGTTGAGGGACTTGTGGATGTGGAGGCCGGTAACCAGGTACAGCTGCCTGGTTGGGCATGTGAGGAGGCATCTGAGGGAGGGGTCCATGAGGCAGGGGTCCATGAGGCAGGGGTCCCGGTGCTGCTAGAGCCCCTGAAGTAGGAAACTGAGCGATCCGTGCCAAGAGTTCTGGAGGAGGAAGGTTGGCAGGGAAGCGAGGAAGACCAGCAGCCGGAGCACCAGGCCAAGGCAGAGAGCTGCTGCCACCCAGGTTAGCCCCAGGGGGGATGTAGGCCTCAGGACCTGGCATACGAACTCCAGAGCTAGGGAGGGAGGGGATGTCAGGGGGAAGGCTGCGAAGCTCTTCAGGCAGGTCACCCCCCAAGGCTAATATGGCAGCGCTGAGTTGAGCCAGCTCCGGGTCATCAATACTGGAGGAGGCAGAGTCAAGATCAGACGCCTTTGTCTTCATGGGGGGCTTAGCTGCTGTAGGCCGGGCGGGGGGCTTCTTAGTGTCTCTGAAAGGGGACAAACAAGAAAATATATTACAGAGCATGAAAAAGTTAAAGGGATTTTTAAAGGGAGCTTTTTCCTTCCTGGTTCTCTTTTCAACATCCGCCTTACTTTTCCAGGATGGGCTTCCTCTCCTCCGCCCTGGTCTGACACAGGGTCTTGGCTCTCTCCAACAGACGTGACGCTTTGGCCTCCAGGTCTTCATAAAACTCCTTCCCCTCCTGAGACTTCTTCATCAGGTCCTCGTAGGCTTCATACGAGCCCACCAGTCCCTGTACGGTGTTGTTCCACTGCTGCTCAGTCTGGCTCAGGCCTTTACGAACTGTGGCGTACTGGACATTCGCTTCAGTCAGGGCCTTCAAGATGTTCTCCTGGGCTGCCAGGTTCTGGTCGATGTACACCTTCACCTGCTCGTACTTCTTCAGCTGCTCCTCGAAGATTTGCTGGAAGGATACATGTTTCTTTTAGTCTCTTCAGGATTTAATCTGCACAGGGACTCTCATTGTGAAGCAACAAACCTTCATGTCGGCTCTCTCTGTGGTGACCAGGGTGGAGGTGATGTCATCCTGCTGGATCAGGTCCCGGAGCTGTTTCTCCAAAGAGCCTCTCTGTTCCCTCATTTCCTGCACTTTTCCCAAGATTCGCTTCATACACTGCAGCCCTGCTACCTCCTCTGCAAACACACACACGTACACACACACACACAGAGTTATTTTTAAAACCAATTAAAAATGTTCTCGACAGATTCTAGCATGACCAATGCAGATGATACATCTTCTTTTTCTGCAAAGACCATTAAGACTTTCTCCACAGACTCTTTTTGTTGCAGTTTTCCTTCATCCTTTCAATTACCCTATTTATCTTTAGCAGCTCATGGTGTCTTTCTCATCCAATTATAAACTCACACACTCGACAAAGCTCCTTTTTCCTCTCTCTATGGTCTCTTAATCAACAGCTAAGAAATCTCCCTCAGAATTTGAATCATCAGCCTGTTAACAGTCGGTAAACATCCTCTTCCCACCTGTTACTTAATACACAGCCTCAACACCTACATGACATTTATGCTGCTTTAACGCTCGCTATGTTGCCCCATGGAAGCAAAATGATAATAGTCAAATGAGACGCGAATTTCTCTTCTGCTAAATGTTTAAAAAAACTACAAACTGTACCTTCAAGGTCTCAAAAACTCTCAGTTTATCATTTCTTCCATTTAGTGGATTAAATATAACGAAAAAAGGAAGGATCAGCAGGATAATTAGCTTTAAACTAAAGGAGAGACTCCACTGCTCAATTATAATCTAATCTGATATCACTCGATTGAGCAAAGAACTTCCTGAGACTTAATAAAGAATGATCTTTGTTGGAAGTGTGGGGCACAAAGTGGCACATTTATTCATGCATTACGCAAATGTTCTAAGGTCCTTCCATTTATGGGAAAAAGTTAAAGACTATATGAGCAAATCATTAAATAACAAACTTCCCATATCACCAAGCTTATGTTGGAGACAGAACTGTGGTATCCCTGGTGAATAAATACAGTTTTAGAATATTAAAAACTGGCCCAATAACATGTGAACGGACTATTCTGAGGTGTTGGAAGGAACCCCACACTCCCACACTGAGTCTGTGGAAAACACAGATGATGTGGACTGTAGCATGTGAGAAGATGTTGGGGAGATAAAATTGTGAAAATGATAAAAGAAAAATGGGATAGTTTTGGTAGACAGATGTGTTCACTTTCTTGCCTTGCCAACTTTCTTTTATCTATTTTCTTTCATTTATTTCATTATTATTATTATTTTTGACCTCCATTCTATCTGTTTCGTTTGATGTTCGTTTGTCTGTTCCAACATTGAAAAAATAATAAACTTTAAATTATAAAAAAAGAACTTCCTGAGACTTTCTTGAAACCTTCACTTTACAACTTAAGGGAACTACAAACATCTGAAAAACACGTCCATGTACGAACCCTCATTAACAAACACACTCTCACCTTCACTGAGCTGCGGTCGAGGCAGAGCCTCCTTCAAACTCTCCAGTGGACCCCCCAGCAGTCGCAGGTTGCTGATGTGCAGGTTCATGGCTCGATGGAGCTCTGTGTTTGTAAAACTCGCCTTCTCATGAGCCTCCATGTATTTCTCCAGATCCCTGCGGATTTCAGCCAGAGCCTGGGCCTGAGCTGCCGGATGAACCTCGCCTGCAGCGGGGCCACCAGCCTCGAGGAGAGCCCGCTCGCCGGCCTCGTCTACCTCAAGGACGTCTCTGATCTCCTTCAAAGAAGACTCCACATCAGTGAAGACCCCCGAGAGTCCTACAGATAAAAGAAGATGTGACGGGCCGTATTTACAAAGAGGTGCATTAACTGAAAATACAGCGCCTCTTTTGAAAGAATTCATGCATGTGCAGGAACGAGCCAGCAGGGGGCGAGAGGAGTCACGAGCTGGATTTGTCGACCATCTCAGGAAGCTAATTATATACTTCAGGGGCGTAAATCTTTACACACACTGACCCTGCATGGACTGGATGAGGCTCTTTACAGTGTCAGGTCTGACACTGAGCGCGGCACACTTCTCCATCAGGACTGGAGGGATGTGACTGTACATGTCCAGGTTGTCCACAGACTCTGGCTCCAGGCCCAGAGAGTCCATGAACTGTCTGCAGATGAAAAAAGACCAGTTAAAAAAAACAACACACCCACTCCTCTCTATGTATGATTATCGACGTTCAGTATCAGTTCATAGTGACTTCATTTAAGTGAGGTAAACAGAACCATAACAGAGGTGAGAAAACAACTCAAACTGGTGACAATATTTGTTCCCCAAACTAGAGCTGATGACATTTCTCTCTTAAGTTGACAGACAAGTGCAAGTTTGACTTGTTTCCAAACTAACAACACAAGCTTCTAACAAACAGACACTTTAAATCAACAAACTTCAACCCACAGTCAACTAGATTTGATGAAAAGTCTCATAATTATCTGCAAGTTCTCCAAACCGTCAGATTTCGTTGGATAGAACTTTTGTTTTTATTCTGTGAAGTGAAGTCCAACATTTTCTCCCACTTTTTAAATCAGAATCACTCCTAACAAACTCACTCCAGTGTTTCATTCTTGCCCTCGATCTTGGCCATGATGTCCCTCAGCAGCTTGGCTTTCTCTTCACTGGATAAAAAGAAGAAACAAAAACAAACTTCATGAACTTTATGAAAGGTCGACTCTGTGTCTCATCAGGACTGATCATAAAGGAGCCTACCTGTAAAGTGAAGAGGCTTCGTGGGCCGCCATTGGCACCAACTTGCAGAACAGGTCTGGTCCTGTAACACTGGGGTCTGTGGGGTTGACTGGGAGAGCTCTGACCAGAGGGGCTCCTGGAGGAGCAGAGGGGGGGAGTTTTAGAGCTTCACTCATCGAAAAGAAAACATGAACGTCAACCAATCAGAAACAGATCAGCTCTGGTGGACCACGGCGCACAAATAACGCTTCAGATATTTTTATATTTGTATGATTTGATTTCCAGACAGTTTAGTTAACCTCTTCATCCAATCAAGTTTTCGATTACTTGCTGACGCAAACACTTTTAACCCTCCACTGAAAACTCAAACAGAGACTCGACTGATATCATGGATTTTAAAAGGGTTACATTTGTCGTATATGAAAACAAATAAATAACACACAATCTCAGTCAGCTGTATCCAAACTATAAGACTGTTATCAAGCTACGATCTCTGAAACTGAAGCTGATGCCATAGTGCTAAAAATGTTTCCCTGTGTTCACCTGAGGCCACCTGAAAATCACAACCATCTTTATCGAAAAAGCCTGAATCAGTAACTCTTTTCTCAGGTTAAATGTTTTGCACTTTGTCTGACAGATCTGCACACCTGTCGCTAGGGCTGGGCGATATGACCTCAAATCAATATCACAATATATTGAGCAGTTCACATTTAATACCGATAAATGGACGATAACTACTCCACAAGCTGATATATTGATTTCTCTCCGTCCTCCATCTCCTCACCTGTCTTTCCCTCTTTGTTACAGACTGGATGGGGTGGAGTCACGTCTCTGACGTAAGACAGCGTCTTAAAGGGACATGAGACCATAGCCTACCTACACACATCCAAAAACAACTTTAGTTATAATTTTTTTTTGACACTGAATATACTGATTTGGGCAAAATGACGTCGGTTGTTGTTGTAAATTGCGGTATCGGTAAATTTTCTGTTTATCGCCCAGCCCTACCTATAACTGTTAGTGAAGGCCAACCCTAATCCCGCCTTTTTGCATGTTGCCAGGACAACTAGGTTGAATCTGCATTTCCAACATGGCAACCACTGTCAAAACAAGGCTTCAGAAACTAACGGCTGACACAGTAAATCTGCATCATACTTTATACACTAAAAAAAATGACTTTCTTGCCCTTTAACTGAAACAACATCTGTAATTGTGTCCGTGTATTGGAGTATTTTTAAGACTATATTGTGCTGACAGGATATGTCGGCCGTAATATCACACAGGAGAGGTTGAACCACAGTCACTGACAGCAGGAAATAACCCAGAAATCTTACCACCACATTTACAAGCCCCCCAACCTGAAACTCTGTCCCTCTGGAGAGAATATGAGTGTTAGTCGCTCCTTCTTTCAACAGTGAGATGAACAGATAAAGAAAGAGTCAGAAGACGTTGTCCATAAATCGATCCAAGGTGGTGTCATTCTTTAAGTCGGATTACAACCCTCCAAAAAATCATCAAATCTAATCAGAAGTTTGTGCCGAATCTGAAGATCTCCCCTCTGGACATTATCGGGATGTTGCTTCAACAAGATGATAAGCCAAAACAAACAGATAGATAAGCCAAAAATATAAAGCCTGGGGCTGTAGAAGATGTTGACGATAGGGGTTTCAGACTGAGTACACGGCCACGTAGTTCCTGCAAGTGTATCTCGATGAAACCTGCAGAGTCGCTGCTCTCTAATTAAACATACAGGATGTCCTTGAAAAACACCGGCACACCCAGACAGACAGAGGAGATATACAATCCAAACATCAGCCTGTGTGTGTGCATGTATTCACTAAATAACTTCATGCAAACGCAGCTTTGCATGCAGAGAATGATAATGAATGAAAGGATGAATCTTCCTGCTGTTACCTTTGACTGAAGCCAGAGTCTCCAGAGAAGGAACCGACTCGTGATAGATGAAGTCATTGTCTTTTTTGGCTGAATTAAACCTGTTTGGAGACGAGATGATGATTTTGATCAATAAACTATCAAAACTGACAGATGAAAATAAAAGAAAGACACAGATTCACGACTCACTTTCCCCCGATAACATCCATGGTGAACCTCAAGGCCTCCTGCACGCTGTCAGGCTGACCCTGCGACATACAGCAGAGATGAGCTTCAGAAAACAGGACAGGTCACAGTGACTTTAAGACGTACTGCAGGGATTAAACGTCAGTCTACCTTAGCTAGCTTGATCGCTTCATTGAGTTTGTCCAAGGAGCTCTGCAGGTACGCCAGCTGTTGACAGAGACGATCAACGTGAGCAAACACAAAGACACGCAGGAGAAAAACAGGAAAATATGAACATTTATCAAAGAACAACCAGTCCACGCTGTTTGTAAGATATAAAACAGGTGAAATTTTCTGAAATGATTCCTTACAAGTTCATTCAATAGGACCTGTTTGCTAAAAAAAATCACGTCTCAGTCATAGGATGAAAAATTTACGGCATAAAATTCCAAAAAACAAAAGTTAGTTATCCATCCATCTCCGTAAAGAAGATCCTGTTTGTGGCAATAACAGCCTGACTGTGCAGAAGTTAAATCACAGATACTCTGACTCCAGACTTGACTGACATTTACTTTAATCTCTTTTATCTGTTTCTAATTTGCACGGATTCGTTTGAATGGTGCAGAAAATTTATCAGTTTTTGTAGAAATCACTTCATATCTCTGATTTCTCCCTGTTTGTTGTTTTCTGGGCGGTGAAATATGATCACACGAACGGTTGAAAGTATTTTATCTGTTGAACAATTACAGATGCAAAGCTACAGCGCTCTGACAACAGCTGTTCACATGACATTTGGTCCTACCCGCTCTCCGTACTTCTGCTGCTCCTCCGCCTGTTTCCCCATGTGAAGCTGTTTGGAAAATTAAAGTACAACATTTTATCAGACCACAAACCGACATGTTCACACATGCACAAACACACACATATTTACACTCCACTCGTCTCCCTTCCTTTTGACTCACATGTGCAATCGAAGCGAAGTAGTAGATCTTCATCTGAACCAGTTTCTTCCAGTCCTTCTGGATCTTTCCGAGCATGGACGCCGTCTCCGAGTTCTCCAAAGCCCTGCAGGCCTCTTTGTAATAATCCACCACCTGCAGCAGGAGGCACGCTTCGTTTAACTCCAACATTTTCATAATTGATTCATGAGATGTAATCAAATTTAATGAGCGATGAGAGGGCGACCTGAGCGCTGATACGAGCGACCAGGAAACTCTTCCTGTTGTCCAGCATCGACTTCTCCAGGAGACACTCCTGAGCCTGGCCCTGAAGGAGAGAAGACACACGCTTAGAAGACTGTTTTCTATGTGTGTGTATGTGTGTGTGTGTTTATGTGTGTGTGTTTGCAGGTGCAGCTCCTACCAGCATGAGGTTGATGTTGAGGTTCAGGATCTGGTGGGACATGTCCACGCTGAAGTTGTGACTGAAATGGTCTCTCAGGTAAGAGAACGCCCCCGCTGAGCACTGGAAGTGTGTGCATGACACCTTCATCCCCTGGACAGAGAGCAGAGGCTCAGAGGGAGTGTGTGTGTGTGTGTGTGTGTGTGTGTGTGTGCATGGAGGACATGTGTGTGTTAGAGGGCTTGTCTTACCTCCTCAGACACTCTGTTGTCCATGGCTCCCAGCATGGAGTGAAGAGCTCCTGCAGAGAATCAACGATTTCAAATATTCAAACTTACAGCAGAGACTGAAATTCAAACTGATGCTTTTTTATTATATCCAAAGGCAAATAAGACCGTGACCACAGGGGGGCGCCGAAATTAACACAAACAAAAGTTCCTTTAAGCTTTTAACTCATTCAGTGCCGGTGACGGATTTTTCAGTTTTCTTGTTTCCCGACAGACGGCGCTCCTCCCCAACATGCGACTAAGTTTGGGGTCATTCTGAACGCAGAAAAGCCGACAAAAACGTCATATCCATGTTACAATAACAAAAACAAGTAGTCGCCAGTGAGAAGTGTGGCGAGTTGTGGAGTGTTTTTTCCTCCATGAGTAAAGTAGGAAAAGTTGAAGTCTTAGCCAAGAGCTAACGGTCTCGGCGCATCGGCTCCTTTGGGCGCGGTGCTACCGTCTCTGGGTCCAGTGGCGATCCCGGTACCAGACCCTCACATCGTCAGCAGACAATCAAAGAAACTATTTTCTGGCGTGTCGTTGTGCCGCCGGTGCCAGTACTGGTGAGCGAAAGTGAGTCTGAATTCAGCGAGGAGGACACGAGCAGTCCGTGTGGTTTATGTCACGGCGTCACGTTCTCGAGAGTCGATACGACTCCCAGCTGTCACAAAGTGACCTATCACAATCAGATCTCAAGAGTGATGAGGAGGGAGGACCTTGATGCCATCGGTAAAGTAGTTTGAAGTGAAATAAAATGGTCCATCAGAGTTCGGCTCTAAAGTCTCTCTTTCATAAAAATGTGTTTCTCCAGATCGGTAAAGATGATATGACCACGCTGCATTGAGCAGGCAGTAACTAAACACAAGAGTGGGTTAGAGACTCACTTTTTTTGCTATTTGTGCTATATGAGTATTAGTTTATTAATACTATCACTTGTTTTCCTTGCCTCACATTAGAATAGATTTAACACATGAATTTTAGGAGTAAAACTGCCGTCTGCACTTTTAAAAAAGGGTCGCCTTACACCTGGTTTATAGATCTGCATTAACCCTTCAATACAGCGGTCTATGCCGGCATGATCAGCACATATACCGCAGCCATATCAAGAGTTAAAAAGGTGTACAGCGCACAGAACAGGATCTATTTTTAGCATCACTTTTTGTTGAAGGTAACCTGTTAAAACACAAACACTCAGACTCTGTTTTGCTCAATTAGAAGAAAAAAAATCGGTTATAAACAGCCCAGCATGACTAAACTCACCCAGATTGTAGAGGATGCAGGCTTGCTCATAGCTGATGTCATCGTGGGTGACCGTTTTCCCCGAGAAGATTTCAGTCCTGCAAACGAACAAACACAGATTTAAAAGGATGAATTTTAGCATCTTTATTTACTCAAGCTTTTGTACAACTTTGTTAAAGTTAAAAACTAGAAGAAGAAGAAATCATTTGGGGAAAAAACAGTCATGTGCTGAAGACAGAAAACACAAATTAACTTTCAAACAAAACAAAAGACCTTTTTTAAGAGAGTTACATGTTTCAGATATGTGCAGTGTGATCTGATCTTCTTCTGCCTTTAAATAAAAGAGCTGATATCAAAAACATTTGAGTCTGTACGAGAGGAAAAGGAAGTCTCCAACAGAGAGAGAGAGAGAGAGGTCATTAAACCAACAATGGGTCAGACTGCAGGAGGAGGACGTGAGTAAACAAGGTGCTGCCTCCGTGTTTTGACTCTGTGTGTAAGTGTGTGTTTGTGTGTGTTCCTACCATGAGATGGGTACAGCAGCCTCCTGACCCGTTCCCATTGGGACTCGGCTCTGGAGGTAATGCAGCTGACCGAAGTACTTCCTCAGTGTGCTGCAGCCCTCGAAATCCCTCGTCACGTTGACAGCACCCTGTGAAAACACGTAAACTCTGAGGTTAGAACTGTTCTTTTACTGCACAGCCTGTTTTTATCCGTCAGAGGATTCAGAGCCGAGGACGAGGACACAGATTGTTGAGAGAGAGTCAGAGAGCTGAGGCTCATTTTGAGGTGTCATTTGGACTTGAATCCTGGCTGAGATGACATGTACAGCAGCCTGCCACACAAACACACTGTTGATGAGAGGATATGACCGCAGAAACACTCGGCGGTTAAATTGAGGATTGTACTCCACTTCGAGGACTCCTCCTGGGACATTTAGAGTACATGATCTCATCTACATCAGTAATGAGTTTAGATTTAGTTCTCTGTATGTGAGACAACAAACACATAATTCAACTTTAATGGACGGGGCAGGAGGCGAATCAGTCGAGCATCTGCTCCATCACAGGGACAGAGGACGTGCACATAATCTAAATCAAATCTCCAGGAGGCTTTCTTAATAAAGTAAGGGTCCCAGTTCATTATAACCAATCATTAACCTTCAGTACTTTAAGGATGGACTCACACCAGGAGAAGGTAGACACTGACAATTAAGAGGCGTCACTTTCTCAAAGCCAAAGCCCCGTCTTATCTTTAACAACTCAGAGATTAGAGAAGCTTTAGTGAATTCATTTTTATTAATCCATCAGGAGACACGCATGGAGCTGACACCTGCTGTTCATAACACACGTCTAAAACCGACTATTTCCTCACGTCAGAATAAACTGGTATTTATCCCATCAAACTGACACCATCAAATAAACCACACTAGACTTCAAAGTAGGGCTGGGCGATAAACCGAAAATTTACTGATACTGAAATTTACGACAATAACTGACATCATTTTGTCCGTATCGGTATATTCAGTGTCAAATAAATAAATTTATTAAAGTTGGTTTTGGATGTGTGTAGGTAGGCTATGGTCTCATGTCCCTTTAAGACGCTGTCCTACGTCAGAGACGTGACTCCACCCCATCCAGTCCGTAACAAAGAGGGAAAGACAGGTGAGGAGATGGAGGACAGTTCAAAAGTTGTAGCAGCTGAAGTAGACGAAGTTAATGTGGGAGGGGGTGAGCAGCTTGTGGAGTAGTTATCGTCCATTTATCGCTATCGAGGTGAACTGATCAATATATCGGGATATTGAATTGAGACTGTATCGCTCAGCCCTACTGTCAGGGCTGTTACAGTTTCACTTCTGTGTTGTAATCTATAACCTCACAGGTTTTTTAATACAGATACCCAAAGTGATGCTCTCATACTGTTTGTGCTCAACAGAAGATAGTAGGAATAATAGAGTTGCATCACCGTTTTTCTGATTGTTTATTTTAAATAAAGTAGAATTACCAGTTTAGCACAATTAATAATACATTTATATAACGCTGATATTTTGTTGTGTATTCACACTTGTGGTCATTCTGGTAGTAAACCAAGCCTAAAACAAGGAAATACTTCTCAGCTTAATAATAAACAGCTAAAGATAGCGTATGTTTCTGCTTTGTCAGGAGATATTTCTGCTCAGAGCTGCATGACTTAAAAAAAGAACAGCTATTTTTCCTTTTCTGCAGTGTGAAAAAAACAGGAATTTACGTGTTATAAATGTGGCGTATTTTTAATTACACAATTATTCTATTTATGATTTGGATCTTTCTTCATGATTACATCCTAATTTCATGTGACACACGGATCCAAACATCACCTGTGGAGCGCTCAGTTCTCTGTTAATGTGATGACAGATAAAGGTTTGTTCCAGATTTATCCTGGACAGTGAGGAGGTGGTGACAGCACACTTAGTTTCAGGTCATTCGGCTGCTGTGTAGTTGTTCACATCTCTATTATAAAGCTAAATCAGTATTTCTGTTCGGCCCTCATTCTGCTGTGTCTCTGGAGATGTTTCCCTCAGGACTCACCTGCCGCAGTGTCTCCAGTTTCTTCAGCTGTTCGTTGTAGTTGTCCGGATTCTCACCATAATTTTTCAGGATGAACTGAAACAAAGAGACGAGAAAATGTCTGTGAAATTTGCACAAGAAGAAACTTTATTGTGGCTACCCTGAGAAAAAAAAGGAAAATAAACCTCCAGACTAGAGCATCATTTTCAGTTTTTAGACTTTTTGGCTTCATCGCAGATTTCCTTAATGACCCGTTTGATCATCTGTCCCCCTCAGCAAGAGCCAAGAGTTAAAAATTTCCCCCATCATGCTTTGCCAAGACTTTTCCCCATCCCCATGAGCCGCTGTGATAAGCAGAGTGCTGCTCGATACCGGGTCAGGAGGTGAAATACGCTGCAGACAAACCTTTTTTGTCTGTTAGACTTGATTAAATAATGAAAGCAGGGCTGGGATAACTCTGCACAATGACACAGCAACAAGAGCGTTATTGTCTTATTTTACTACCCTCTGTATGCAAACTGGCCTCCGTTTGGAGAGGGGATGAAACTGTCACTGATTATAGGCAAAATGATAATCAGATATTCTGCATGTTATATATTTCCTTCTTTCAAAATGAGACCTAATATTAAAAATCCTAATAATAACTGTCTACAAAGCTTGGACTATAATCTGCAGTAGGAGTCATATCATTAGATCTGTATGTGAAATATTTCTGAGCACCTCTTTACAGATGAACGTCAGACAACAGTTTGAACACGGCTCTTTTGAGTGACAGCACAGGTGTGGGAAGTTCATTTAAGTTCAGAGTAACTAACAGGAGAAGAAAATACTGGAACCCAAGAGAGCAAAGGTCTCCTGTTTTATCAGCAGGAGGAGTTTTGTTGAAAATGAGTCACCAGATTAAGACACAAATGAGTCATTAGTTTGTACTCACTATTATCATTTTACAAGTGGGTTAGTTAGCTCGGATGTAGGACATGATTTTCAACACAAAACCTGATTATTAGAGAAATCTGTATTAAAGGGATATTCCAGCTTAAAATTAATTTAGGGTCAAACACACCTCAACACCCAGTTAGACACGCCCCCGAGAGATGAATGTTGTCGACCGCTTGCTTCTCTAGTTATACCAACTTTAGTAACGACCGCAGGATAGAAATACACAGCGGTCTGAGGAGCCATAAACAAACCTCAACCAAAACGCCACTCTATAGCCACAAATAATGCTCAGAGCAGCACCTAACTTCATCAACAGGACATATAGGGTCACAGACATAGTACTAGACACCAACTTTGACTAATTTTATTAGCAAAGAGACTAAAATCACCTTTCCTACTCTCTTCCAGCAGCTGCTTGAAGAACATTTATGATTATTTCTTTATCATTTTCTTGAAACAATAATCATCATATTAACCATTTTTCACTGCAGACACTGTTGTTCTTCCGCCTTAGTGTCTCGGTCTGATTGTATTTCCATAAAGAAATGATAATAAATGTTTATTTATCATCCCATCTGTATATTTCGCATTTCATATTTATTACTCATTTCAATAGCCCATGTTCTTCATATCTCATCTCTATATTTAGTCTGTATTTCTTGTTTATATCTAGTATTTTTAGTCTGCCCTGTACATACTTCTTCTTCTTATATTTAATTTTATTTTGTGTTTTTTGCTGCTGTAACATGAGAATTTTCCAGTTTGGAATCAATAAAGTAGATCTATCTATCTATCTATCTATCTATCTATGTATTGATATTTTTCACCTAAATCACAACAGAAAAGTAGTTGAAACCAGTTTTGAGTGATTGTGAAACACTGAGACTGATGAAACTTTGTCTGCTGTTGACGTTTCCTGTAGTATTTTCAGATTAAAAACACATAAATCATCCTGACAGAGACACTAGTTTAGTTGTTTTGATCCCTTCTTTCTTTTAGCAGACAGTCTAAATCTCACAGAAACCTCTGAAGTTCATGTTCATGTGATCATGAGATCACTGCTGAGGATTTCCATGAACGTCTCCAGACTGGGCCGTGAGGAGGAGCTCTGATTCAGACCTGAATTATCTGTTTTTGTTTATTCTCATTAAAGTGAACCTCTCTCTTCAGGCCTAATTATGAACTTCGACTTCAGCTGTTAGCTTATTATCAGCTAGCAGGAGGCTAATGTTAGCAAACAAAAGGCGGTGGTCCGGGAGAACCTCAGACCTCACGGACTCCTTCTGGAAATTTCCCCCACAGACACCCGCAGCCGTCTGTGTGTTTGACCGTCTGCTAACGTTAGCTCCCTGACAGGGTTGATCCAGTCGTCCATAATCCCTGTTCGGTTGACTTTCGACCTCAGCCCTGTTGCTCCTTCCCCACCCCAGCTCACCTGCCTGACGGCCGGGCTGAACTGGAACTCCCCTGCCTCCTTCAGATCCAGCCAGATCATCGGCATCCGCGGCACCGCCTCCATCGCGGCCGGCTCTACAGGAGGCCGTCGGCGGTTACGATGTCAAGACCCCGTCGGTGGTTTTGTGGACGTGAACGGTTTTCCAGAAAGATTTCTTTCCTCCAAACAACTGTGTCATGTATCCATTTACACTTCAACCGGAAGCTCTGAGCGCAGGGGGACGTGAGCTCGTAAAACGTGCCGCGTTGGTTTCTGGGAAATGTAGTTATTATTAGTGGATTCCCCCAAATGAACAGTGAGCATAGAGTCTAATCATTTTCACTTATATTTTTGGTGTATTTCATTTCATTATATTTTTGTGAAATACGTACACATCTACTGTGACATATTTACGGTTGATCATAGTGATTTAAAACTATGTGTGTGTTTGACCCTAAATTAATTTTACGCCGGAAAATCCCTTTGAGAAACACACTGAAAATTACAGTAGTTCCTTTTTATGAGTGGCAGAAGCAAATAAGACAATCGACCACAAGACTAACACATTCTATATAACTGAAAGCACACTGAAAACTAGGCTTATATTCATGATGAATGATATATTTGATATAGTGATATAGTATGTGATATAGAATGATATAGTAGGCCATGTGGCTTGTGTGTCCACATGGCTCACAGGATAAGAACGTTGACTGGGACTCCTGAGGTTAAAACCTTATTCAGGATGAATTTTACAGTCCAGGAGCAAAAGTACCAAGATAAAAGCACGCAGAGCTCATCCTCAACTGTGGATGGTCTCCGGTGGCGCAGAGTGGTAGACGTCTAACACCCTAAAGTGAGCCATGTGTTCTGGTTGAAGACCGGCTCCTGGTTCGAAACCCGCTCAGCCCAGGTGTGTGGGGTTACCCCCCCGGTGTTTTCAGCGAGATAAAATAGGGGGGTTATGCAACAGGAAGTCAGCGCAGGCTGAACTTTAGAGTAAGGATGGGGAGAAGGGTTTATGGGGGGATTGTAGGCGGGCGGATGGCCGGCGGCCGAGCAGAGGGCCCCTGTAGGCACACGAGACAATCATGTTTTTTTTCACATATCACTGTACCATTGTTGTTGTTAGCGGTGTTGTGCCGAGAATTGCATGCACCTCGCAAAACGCGCACTGCTTGTAGTAGAGTGGTCCACGGAAATATACATTTTAAAACCCATACAGTTCTTATTTGTTGGGCTTAACAGTCAGTAAAGTTCCGAAAGTAATTCTCAGCGGACACGTCTTACTCCATGTGCAGAACATGTGCAGGGATGGGTTTCCTCCTCTCTGATTTTGATTGACAGCTGGCAGGATAGTCTGATTGGCAACTGAGAAGTGAGTCTGATTGGTAACTGAGTAAATGACAAAGGTGATTGGTGGATCGCTGCAAAGCACATGCTGAGTCACATGCAGTGTATCTAGTCAGCTACCCTTGAAATTAACTGAGTTCATTCACCTCCGACATCGCAGGCTCTGCGATGTGACTATCGCACACGTATATCGTGCAGGCCTGCAAGAGAGAAAAAAACATACATTTTTCTGCGGTAGGCTCGGGTCCGTATTGGACTCTTTCCCGGTCCAGAAGTGGACCGCGGTCCGCCATATGGAGACCACTGCTCTAGACCTTCAAAATTCACCAGGAAGTGGGCAAAGTAAGACTCGAACCTATGACCTCAGGAGTCACAGTCAGTGTTCTTATCCTCTGAGCCACTTGGACACACAGGATTATACTATTTGTTTCCTCTTTCACTTTCCTGTCTAGACACTGGACTTCAAAATTCACCTTGTCCCAAAAAAGGCTCGAACACACCACCTCAGGAGTCCCAGTCAGTCTCCTTATCCTGTGAGCCATGTGGACACACAAGAGAATTGGGTTCTTTTTTCACATATCGCTGTCCTTTGTGGACTCGAGACTTTAAAATTCTCCTAGAACTGGACAGGGTAAGACTTGAACCCACGATCTCAGGAGTACCAGTGAGTCTCCTTATCCCCTGAGCCATGTGGACACAGAAGACCATCATGTTTTTTTTTCATATATCACTGTACTTTGTGGACACTAGATTTCAAAATTCACTTAGAACTGGGCAAGGTTGGACTCGAACCTGTGACCTCAGGAATCCCAGTCAGTGTTCTTATCCTCTGGGCCACTTGGAGACACAGGATTATACCATTTGTTTCCTCTTTCAATTTCCTGTCAAGACACTAAAATTCAAAATTCACCTTGTCCCGAAAAAGGCTCGAACACATCACCTCATAGTAGGGTCTGTTCACTTGAAAAAATGGCCAAATTGTTATGCGGTGGATAAAAGCACCAAATTTGGTACACACATTCTTCAGGGTGTATCTCATCGTCTCAGAAGGGGTGCCCAAAAATGCATGAGTGAAAATGGCTCAAATGGAGGTCGTATACCTGACCCAGTACAAAAGTCTCTCGTTGATTTATTTAGCAGGAAAAAGGGAGTCGATCTCTGCTGCTCTGAAACCACATCTGAGTCCAAAAACAAAGACAAAGAATAACTTCATACTGCAAAACCAAGTGTGACGCATGTCAGGAAACCTTATAAATCACAGCATGAAGATGGAGGGGGGTTATTATTATATGCCATAATAAGGTGTTGGTGTCTCTGCAGGTGTAGGCTACCGCCGGTGTCAGAGACATGGTGCTCGTCGGAGCTCGACTCCCTCTGGATCACAAATGTTGATCATCATCAGTTTGATGTTTCTTCAGAAACCACAAAATCTCTCTTAATGACCCGCTGATACATCCACAGATAACCCTGCAGATGACCAGCTTCAGTCATTTCCCCCTCCACAAAAGCAGCTTTATGACTTCATTTACTTTATGACTTTATTCTCCTAAATTTACAACTTTAATCTCTAAATCTTAAAAGAAACAAAACCTCAATGTTGTCCTGATCATCTGCTGTAGTTTTGTGGGCTTTCTTATTTCTAATGTTTTTGATAGTTGTAGCAGAGCGGATCAGTTTATCTCTAAATCTATAATGTTTGGTTTACAGATTTTAGTGAGTTCAGAGATCATGCTCTCATACAGCCTGAGCTGACTGTCTGCTGGTTTTGGATTTCTTGTATTTTCTTTGAAGACGCGCTGTGTCTCCAAGCGAGTCCAGCCTCTCACCTGAAATGCGCAGCTGTGCAGCGGCACGCAAAGCATTCTGGGATACCGACGGCACGAAAGCGTGCACGCTTGAAAAAATGCTAAACGCGCTTAGCATTTCTTAACATCTCGTGCCAAATGGGACAACGTTCGCGCCGTCGTGACGTCATGCACGCTATAAATGCACCGTTCGACGGCGCAGAAGTGCACTTAGCGCGATGCGGTCTCTGAAATGAGACACAGCCTTGGTGAGTCTAAAGTGGGTTAACTTTGGTGTAACCTTTAGGCTAATCCAGAATGAAATAGACGTGAAAGCTCATGTGCTGCCATGAAACAGGGATTGTTGGGTGCAAGTGTTGTGTCAGACTTTGTCAGCAGGGTGACAGTAACGCTGAGGCCTCATCCAGATATTCCATAAACAAAAAACACACAGATTTCTGTGGGGCGAGGACAGGGTGAGCAGCTGAGGGTCTCGTCTCTCCAATAAACAGTAGGTACAACCTGCTCACTTTACACCATTCCATTCATTACATGCCTACTTTCTTGATAAAGGAGTTATTTTGATTTAGAAATGACTATTTGAGTCTGTGACTAGAGCTGTTTCCATGGCAACAGTGTGCTGTTGAGAAATAATACACTGCTGCTATGGAGGATAAACCAATCAGATTTAAGTATTTAAGAAAACTGTAATCATTTGTTTATTATTGTAAAAAAAAGAAAAAAGTCAAATAAATCCAGTAGACTGAAAAGTGACCTGGTATCAAAGCCTCTTTATTTGAAAATTAGTAAAAAGTCTTGCGCTTCTTTTGTGTTACAAAACAGTAAATAAGTTATCTCCACTACTACAGCCCGTGTAGATCGTAGCCAGCCAATGACAGGAGGAGAAAAGAGAATGGGGAGGAGCAAAAGAGGGGTTTTCATAGAGTTGACTGTTTATTTCCTCATGCAGCTCTTATTTCTCTGAAGTCTGCAGAGGGAGAAATAATCAAAAGTGGACCACAAAGTGTTAAAATCATCAGAGCTCTGCTTTTGTTTGGAGGATGAAAACACTTTTTCTCACTTTGGTCGTTTCCACAAACTCCTGATGTGGATCTGCAGGGATGAATAAACAGTAAATTTACTGGAACCAGGCAGGAAGTCCTCTTAGATATGGATCGATGCTCGAGGCCAAAAACACCAAGGCTAAGACTTCACTGACATTCCCACACCCTCCCTCCCTCTTTAAAGGAATAATCCGACTTTTATTTCCATTTATGGCGGAGAGTCACACGAGGAGATTGACAAACTTCTTATACAGTTAACGTCTCTACAGAAGACTTCAAATAACCTTTAATGACTCACTGTTGTTTATTTGAGTATGTTTAATATTTGGGTTTCTGCTTATATCTGATAATACGTCGATGAACAGCCACCATGTTTCAGCTCATTGTTGTGCAGAATTAATGCTTCATTTTTTCAGTTTTTACATAAACAGAAATTCTCATATCTGCAGACACTGATCATTGACATTTTAAGCTTTTACCTGCTGATACAATAATGAACTTTACTTGCTTTCATCGTATAATGCTGCAGTGATACGCATGCAAAAAATAATCAATTTTTTGAGACAGTTTTATGGAAAAACAGTTTATTTTATAAATTCCAAAAAATGCTTCAAGTCACTAAAAATGTAAGAAAATCCTCTTCAATCATCTTTTATTCTAAATTAACATATCAGGTTGAAAATGGGGAAAAATAATGGAGTTATTGCAACATTAGTAGACTGACAAATTATATTAGAAATGAGATACTTGAAGAATCTCACCTGTAAATTTATTTTTGCGTCTTTTTTCTTTGTTCAGACTCCTAAAAAAACTCAATTGTAATGATACAGGATGTCAGAGGGCCTATGTGATAGAAATTAGATGTAAAAGATTGTGTTATACTGTTTTGTTTACTGGGAATAATTCATAAATTGAAATCAAATCCTGCGTTGTACCAACAGGTTCTTGTCAGTGTAAACGATGAGTTAGTGGTCCTAGTTCCTGATCATGTTAGGATTTAACAGACAGATCTGCAGTTTCCTGGCATCTGAAAATGGTCCCTATACGCACATGAGTACAAGAATACTCAACGACTAACATACTTTTAACTTGATTGAATCGTACTGAACTTAAGACCCTATTTGAAGGTCCAGTTCAGTATCAGTCAGCGACGTCAATCTTCTCGTTTCAACTCTCCACCACAAAGTGAAACTGTTCCCCTGCTCTCCAACTTCTGCGAGAAAACAGAAATAAAACTAAAACCTACATTTGACCCCCGTCCTAAAGTTTTAAACTACGGTTAACAACAAAAAAGAAAACACAAAGCTAATAAATTAACAGGTAACGTCGATGAGGAGGTCTCAGGTCTGGTTTCTGTGGGCTCGTCTAAATACCCTCAATACTAGCTGCTTGTTTTTTTAGGATCCTCTTTGTCGCTGCGCTCCTTAAAACCAGACCGGTGACCTTCAACCTCAACAAGTCTGCAGTGTGCGTGTTTACGAATGCTGCCTGTGAAGAGTGAAATTAGTCTGCAAGTTAAAAGACGTTTTCCTGTAAGTACGCTGAAGTTCGCCAAAGTGCCAAACGAGAGCGAGAGGGTGAGTAAGAAGTGCTCTGAAGTAGTGTTGTGATGCGATACCGTGAAGGATTTCGATGCAGGTTTTGTTCGGTGAACCATAATCGGGACTACATTCAGTTAAAAGCCACAGCAGACGGTGGAGGATCTGGAGGAAATACATTCTCTCTGTGTTTGGTGTCGGTCTTAAACCTGCAGAGCTTCATTCTTCAGCTGCTGCTCAGAGGGAAAACGGAAGTTCAGGTCAGGGTTAGAAGTCCAAAAATGGACCTCTTTTCCTTTAATTTAAACTATGACCATTTAAATCCTGATGTCTTTTCTTCTAAATGAACCGACCAATCAGCACCCCAGTCAATGTGTCAAAGATCAGCATTTTGGTTCCATGTTTAAGTGTTTATGTATTTTTCCACAAAGATCATTTTTAGAGGTGGAAACTGGAGGCGAAACCGTCACATATGCCAAGAAAGAGGATTAGGGCCACAGGAGTTTAAAGTCGAAATGTCGAGACTAAAGCCCAAATTTTGAGATTAAAACTGAAATTTTGAGATAAAAAAATCGAAATTATGTCAATAAAGTCAAAATTTCAGGATTAAAAATGTAATTTTCGAGATTAAAGTCAGAAGTTTGAGATACCAAAATGTTGAAATGTTATAAAAAATTTCATAATTCTGATATTAAAATTGAAATTTGGACATTAAAGTCGACACGAATAAAGTCAAAATTTCTGCTTTTTTAAATTTCAACTTTAATCTCGAAATTTTGACTTTAATCTCATACTGGAAACTGAAAAAATCTCCCTTCTGTAAATTAGGAGCAAGAAAATTTAAGCTCTGCAGGAAGAATTTGAGTGAATCTGGTATTTTAAGCTTGTAGGAGTAATTAGGTAGGGTGACCATATTCTGAATCCCCAAAAGAGTCTTTCGGGTCAGATCGAGTGTTTTTTACATGATTCTAACTCACTAAGTCCACGTGACACAAACTCGGAAACTTCCGTACAAAACCACAGACATTTGAAGGATTTTATAAACTCCCCTGGACAAAAAGAGGACATGTCCGGGTAAAAGAGGACGTATGGTCACCCTAAATTAGGAGTTTGTTTTTTTAAGGATACATCAGAACATGAGCTGCTGGGTAAATTACAGCTTTCATTCGTCACTCTCGCTTCATTTCTTCAGATATTTTATAGGAAAGCTTCTGCAGGTTTAAGACGAACTTCATCAAAGTTCACACCAACATGAAGTGCTGAACAGACAGACGTGTGTTTGTTTGTTTTTGTGGCCTGGGTGGGAAAACTTTGAAGTTACAGTTAAAAATAAAATCTCTAAAGGGCACAATATGCAAAAATCATTATAAAAAGAGCAGTCATTGTAAACATGACTTCAGGATTCTCACCTAAAATTCAAGCAGTTTGGAAAAACGGAGGTAGCCTGATGAAGGTTTAGCACGCGGAGGGGGGTGGGGGGCGGAGGGGCTGCAGGGGGCCCCTCATACAGCATCAGTAACCCCAGGATCCGAGGTCCTGCAGGTCCCCGTCTCTAAAACAACACTTCAATGTTTCCAGTTCAGTATCAAGAAAAACCTCCTTTATCACCGAAGCCCCAAATCATCACCAGCGAACAGTTAGGTCATCGTTTCCACATGGATATATTCTCCTTTAAGAGGCGGGATTAGCAAGTCATAAACAAAACTGTTATTCCAAAACGGATCGCTAATAAATAATAGATTTATACATATAAAAACAGCCCCCTCTGGAGGTCCACTCTGTACAGTAATCAGCTGATCTCCCTCACACACACACACACACACACACACACACACACACACACACACACACACACACACACACACACACAGTTTTTGTTCTCAGCAGGGTTTCATCTTAAAAAGAGCCTGGATTCATTCACACACACACACACACACACACACACACTTACACTCACACACACACACTTACACACGCGAACGTATCACTGTGCAGCTCGTCCCAACAGACCCGCTGAGCTCGCTACGGCTGCACCTTCGCCGTCGAGCAACAAGAGGCAGCAGGAATATTAAAAAATAAGGAGACAGTTTATCTTCCTCTGGGGTGGGCGGGGTCACAGTGAAGCCCCGCCCATGTCAGCAGCATTGAGGGCAGAGCCACGAAACAAAACACGCACACACACTTTCACGCAAAAGCACAAACTGGTGACTCCTCTATGAGCGAGGAACATCCAGAACCATCCGGGTAAAAGTCTTGACTGGGTCGTCCTCGTCTACGTCAGTCCTGCGCTTGTTCGTTTTACATCCCGTCAGGAAACGGTCTAAAGAAAGCGCTGAAAGAGGGAAACAGACGTCCAGAGAGCGCCCTCCTCCTCCTCAGTCCAGTTTCTCCAGAACTGACGGCACGTACACCAGGCTGAGCTCGCTGCCGAAGTCGCAGACGATGGCGGCGTTGTCCAGCACCAGCAGCTGCCGGACGCCCTGACCGTCGCTGCTCTGTCCCAGGTAGACGGTCTGCAGGAGGTCCCCAAAGTTCAGGTCCCAGAAGGAGACGCAGCCCTGGCCCCCTGTCACCAGGAGGGACTCGGAGATCACGCCTAGACTGGCCCCGCAACCCGCCTCCTGGTGAGGAGAGAGAGAGCGAGTTAATCACTTTATTCACGCCATCAATACGAACAGAGATAACCACCTCTGAGAGCGGACCTGCTGTATGGAGTAGAGCTTGATCCCGGTGCTGCGGTCCCAGATACAGATCAGGTCATCCAGCCCTGAGCTGATGACACAGGAGGTGGTGCAGACCAGAGAGGTGACGTCGCCACGGTGACCATACACGTGGCTGACACGGCTGCCTGTCAGGACGTCCCACAGGCAGATGGCGCCATCCTGCCCACCGCTCGCCAGAACCATCGTCTGAGTAAAAACAGAGAACAATCGTACTCGTGTGAAAAAATACCAAATATGACAAAAAGACAACTCTGTTGTCATGGTGATATCCTGTAGACCAGTACCAGAGGGGGGTTCATGACTGACCTGGTCTATGTAGATGGCTGTGATCCCTCCAGAGTGACCCTGAAGGGTGAAGAGGCAACACGAGTCCTCCAGACGATAAATCTGAACAAAAACAGGATTTAGAGACTTTAGAGGATTCTGAGTTTTTAAAAACAAGAAAACCTGCATGAAGCTAAATTCATGTTTCTAAGACGAGGTGTGTTTGTGTTTCATACCCGGACTGTGTGGTCCTGACTGCCCGTGACCACCCTCCCGGCGGCGGCTCGCAGCACGGTGATCGGCTTCTGGTGAGCGCACTGAACCGAGCGAGTGAGCTGACAGCTGATCACGTCCTCGCTGCTGTAACAGGGAGAGGGCGGCACGGTGCTGCGCCCCGGAGCGCCTGAACCAGGAGGAGGAGGAAACATTTGTTTTCATCCTTCTTTCAGTTTCCGTATTTTTTTTACTTTGAAAGCTGCGATGATGAATTTTAAAATTGTGTCGTTTTCTTTTTACGTTTATTTGACTCCTGATTCTCCCGACGAGACTGAAACTTTATTTATCACAATGTCGAGACAAAGAAAGGAGTAAATTTAATCACTTGCCTTACTTTCTTTCACTTTCAGCTCCATTTTTACCTGCTGAATTAAAAACATAAGATGTAATAAAGTGTGGCGTCTCACCTCTGTACTGCAGCAGACACAGAGGTTTGTTTATCTCAACCGTGAAGAAATCGAGAGACCCGTTCAGCCGAGCCGCTACGATCCTGAGGAAGAGGAGGAAAAACACAGAAGGTCACAGTTAATTTAAGTTAGTTTTTTAATTAAAAGTACCAGGATTCATATTTATGTGCAAAATGAAGAAACAGAGCTGACTTCATCCACTTGAGTTGTCTACAAGTGAAGAAAATCCCTCTTAAACGGCCTCACACAGAAATTATTCCTGCTTTTTGTTTGGAGGATTAACTAAATTAGAGCAGCTGAATTAATGTCACCAAGAAAAAAAAAGGTTTCTGAGTTTAATGGTTGAATGAAAGAAAATTAAACAAACAAGTGAGAAATGTCGAAAGCGAAAATCAGCAGTGAGGGTCTCACCTGTTGTTGAGGAAGGCCAGAGCTGTGATCCCAGAGACCCCGTCTTCGTTACTGCAGCGTAACGATCCTTCCACTGCGTCCCACAACTGAAACAAAACATATGTAAATCACAAATCTGCTTCCACTGAAGTAAAACTATGAGGAAAATAGATTTTTATGGTCAAAAAGACTGGAAGACGTCCTGAAATATACAGAAGTATATGCCTGAATACAAGAAATCAGAAGAGGAGCTAAATCAGAGAAAGTGTTCCTTCTCCACACCTCCAGTTTCCCACTGCTCCTCCCCGCAGCGATCAGGTTCCCTCTCAGCTCCATCGCCCACACCGAGCTCTCCCAGTCTGCCTGCGGCCCCGACGTACAGCCCCTCTCCGGGGGTGAAGCTGCTGATATGTCCCCTAAACTGGGTCTCCTCTGCAGCTGAGCTCCTGTAGGCGGAGACGAGGAGGCGGAGGAAGGAGAGGGGTAGGCGGAGGGTGACGGGGGCTCATGCTCCATGTACGCCCGCTCCACCAGACCTCCGAAGTCAAAGCCCGCTCTGGGCGGGGTGGCGAGGAGGTGGGAGGGGGGCGTGGAGGTGAAGTTGGTGTCGATGAGCGGGGTGAGGTCGGGCTGGTCGTTGAACAGAGCGGGTCGGGGGGCGGAGCGGCGTCTCAGAGGGTAACCCTCCTCCTCCTCAAACAGACCGTCAACGCCGATGGAGGAGCCGCGGGCGTCACAGCCCAAACAGTCCGACTCTGAGGCTCCGCCCACACTATCCCAGCCGTCACGCTGCTCCCAGCAACCACTGCTGCTGCTTCGCCTCAACCTGAGGAGAAAAAAAACAGAGTCTCAGTGCATCTGAGGGTCAGAGACAGCAGGGGGCAGCATGGAGACAGAGCTGAGGTGACCGACTTCACAGCAGCAGGGGGAACAAACAAACAGACACACAAACTCGTCGAGTGACCTCCTCCACTGTTGCCATGTCTGCTGGTAATATCCCTGAGTATTTTAGGGTGCAATTACAGGTACTTCAGCTAAGTCTAATAGGAAAATAATCAAAGGTTTAATTTTAAATAATTATTGAGGTTCTGGTTCTGAAAACTCACCCCGGTTTTGGAATCACAGTCAAACAGTCTCCAGTCTGAGCGTCCCAGACCCGGATCTGTCCTGCCAGACAACAGCTGGCCAGCAGCATCCCGTCACTCGCCAAACACTCGATGTCCTGCAGGAGGAGAGACAGACGTTTGAACATTTCACCCATGTACTATTATCTCTGTCAGTCTGTGCCTCTTCGTCCGTCCTCACCATGCTGTGGCCCCGGAGCAGCAGAGGGGAGATCTCACTGACGGGGGGTGAGTAGCCGTAATCATCACACGGCAGGTCTCCGCGGCGCCGGCGCCCGTGTGGGATGCCGTTCTGCCCGTAATTCCTCGGGCAGAGAACCCGGTAAAGACAGAAGAGCAGCAGAACCAGCAGGACGCCGGCTGCCAGGCCCAGAGCGGCGACCCTGAGAGAAAGAAGAGACGACAGAGGAGGTAAATACGGACTCAGAGGTAAACAGATGAGCTGACTTTTTATAATCTAATAAATCAAACAGTTTTTATTTCACCAAAAACAAGAAAAATAAAATTGTTGAAGACATGAAAACTGAGAACTTTCATCCTTTCTCCATAAATTATCTCTCTACTCAAACTCAGACCTTCAACAGCGTCTGAAACTGTCCACCTGCTCACACATGGACTCTCCGCTGTGAAATGTGGCAGAGCTGTGATAATGAAACTTGTCGCTGTGATGTGATCAGCTCTAAAAACCCACAGACTCACCGTTTCACTGAAAACCTGTGAGTACAGATGGATTTTAAAGACCTGAGAGATGTTATAGTATCAGAGAAAACCTGATTACAGACAGACGGGAGCAAAAACTCTTCCTGGACTTCCTTGTTTCAACAAAGTCAACAAAGTTAAGAGCACTCTTCCTTCCTTTTGACAGGTAACACTCCTTTAATTCATGAACCCCCTCTGAGTAAACATGAACACACTTAATCATGTGATCGCTAACGCTGTCAAAGATCGGAGAAGCATCTTCTGTGTTGTAACCTTCCCTGAATCTGGTCGTATCAGGGTCCTCACCTCTGCCACAGTGGCCTTCTCTCCGTTTCAGGGTCATCTAAACAGCCTGTAAACTCAGCTGACACTTCAAGGTCCTGACCCTGACCCCACTTCAGCTGATAACCTTCGTATCTACTGTCCAAAGATGAAACAACCTTCAGCGCCTTACACAACGCCGGCAGCACAGTGAGGAGTGAAGAGTGGACCGAAGGCTCTGCAGAGGAGCTGAACGAAGGACCGGACTTTAAAGATCTGACTAAATGATTTCAGATTAGATCTTAGTTACCAAAGTTTTACAATAATCAGTCTGAGTCTGTTTGTATTTGATTAAAACAGATGTAATGTAACAGCGGGACCGTCACTCTTTTACCAGAAACTATGAAGACGTTGTTGAATAAGAGTCCAAAATTTTTTTACTGGGTCAGAGTAAAGGAGTGAAAGCTGAATTTTGAAGGTGATAGGTCTTTTTTATTCATGCAACGGTCTCAAGAATTTACCCAAATTAGAGGGCGTGCAATCTGACGATTTTAGATCATAAAGGATTAAAAAGAAGCGCAGAGACTGTAGAGCCGTCTGTAGTGCGCACTGTGTCCCTAACGTGTCTAAATCAATTTCTTGCCCTCTTAAATCAGAATTTTAGAAGTTAAGTTAGCACATTTTAATTTACCCACATAATTCATGTGTTACATGTTGATAAAAGTAACTTTTTTATATGTGAAAATCATGATAAAAATCATGATAAAATTGTGATATGAAATTTTTCCCATATCGCCCACCCCTAACCCAAAGTTTATTCTTGGAGTTACAGGTAGAAACTGCTGATGCTCTTTTCAAAAAAAGGATCCTCAAACAGTTTTCCCTTCATCACACAAACTTCTACAGAAAATGTTTTTGAAATGTAAAAAGCTAAAAAATCTGCAGGATCACACAAACAAACAAAAAGCAAAATTCGCAACAGAAGACAAACACGATTTAAAGATGAAAATATGACCGGCATATCTTATCTCAGTCATCTGCAGATAAACCGCTGAAGGCTTCAATACTTTCAGAGCAGATTCAGAGAATTCATGTTTTCTACAACTTTAAAAACTCAAGAGTAGATTAAACTTAATCCATGTTACACTTTTTTTGTTCAGGTTCAGAGACAGTTAGGATAAGAAATCCTCCTCCTCCTCCTCCTCCCTGCTGTTACATCAAAATAATCACAAATGATTTTTAAAGAAACCGGTCCGACAGGCCGGTCCAGTCAGGGAGAGGCGATACTTGCCAAAGGCAGAAAACACAGTAACCTCCTTTTTCTTAGATCCATTTATTTTCTCTCGTTCCCTCAGGTGAGACGACAGCCGGCGAGGAGAAACTCGAGACAACGTGAAGATCCAAGAGTCAAACCCAAACAGAAAATACTCACATGCTTCAATTCGCTTCAATGTTCAACCTCAACTCAACCTCTTCTAACAAAAACTCAAACGTGTTGAATTCATGCCCAGAGGTGGCCTTCAGTCTGTGATAGAGATGAACGTGAGTGCTGAGCATGACCTTGACCACAATCAGCTCCTAATGAAGACTCCTGCAGGAAGTATTACAGCTGTGAAATCAGGTCAATGACGATCTGATGGAAACTCAAGGCCAAGAGCGTTTATTTATCCGCTGAAGTACAAAACAACCAAAGAGGTTTCTGACTAATTCACTTCGAGATGTGAAAGAGTTAATTCATCCTGAGTGTTTTAAACGGATTTATAAATAAGAAACCAGAATTCAGTGTCTTTAAATCGAGGGTGAAATTTAACGTGTGTGTGTGTGTGTGTGTGTGTGTGTGTGTGTGTGTGTGTGTGTGTGTGTGTGTGTGTGTGTTTGCTGCAGGTAGGACTGACTTGTAGAGGGTGAGGTCCGTCTGTAGATCTGCAGACACTTTGGGGATGGATGGAGGAGGGTGTCTGGTGTCCTGTGGGTGACGCGTCTCGATGGCGTCCTGGGGGCTCAGGTGAACGGTGACGGGGATGACAGGCAGGATGCTGATGTACCTGAAACAGGAGGACCATTAAGACCATGAGTCCCTGATCCAAATCTAAACCGCCTACTGCTTTCATGGTTAAACAGAAGCCACGCCCCCTCCTCACTCACCTCTTCGCTAAAGTGACGTTGTAGTAACCGAAGAGAGACGGCCAGTGTCTGAAGGACAGCCTCCTCCAGCCCTCCTCGTCCTCGGCCCCCCAGGTGATCTGCGGCACAGAGGGCGGAGCCTGGGGGAGGAGCCCCGCCCTTGCTGGGCCGTGGTGGCCCTGTGATTGGTTCTCGGGTAAGGGAGTTGGATCTGGAGCGGGGTGGATGCTGAGGGTGCTTGTAGGGTCTCCTCCACGAAAGACGGGGGCCACGCCGATGTGAGGAGGCAGACCGGCTCCTCCGGGGTCTCCCAGGGGGCTTTGCTCGGACACCTGCGCGGCCAGGTAGGTGCGAATTCCAGCTGGGTCGGTGTAGACGAGGATGCCGATCCAGATCACCGTGCCAACCTGGAGGTCAAAAATAAACCTCAGCTTTAATTTGGCGGAGACTTTAAATCAAGAAGATAATCAAAGTCCTGTTTGGGTTTAGATCATGTCCAGACCGTGTCGTACTTCCTTCACATTCCTGTCCAGTAACTGTTTAAACTCGTTTAATGATTTTTCCATAAAACGTGACAATAGAGGTATTTACACTGAATGAGAAGGGGGGGCACTTCCTCCGACAGAGGTGATTACTTTGTGCGTCACGTCCCGACTTATCTCTGCCGTCTTTACCGTCAACAATCACAACATCAGACGTTCATTCTTGGGCTGGAAAAGTTTATCTTTAGCTTTATCTTCCAGTTTTCATTCAAAGATTATATTTCCAGACAGCATTAATCTATCTGGGCCTGCTATCATTTCAGTTTAGAAAAAACTGATCTGGGCACAGTGATCTCCCAACAAGTCTTCAGCTACACTCAAAAGTATTTAAAGCATTTACAGCACCTGTAAATGTAGAAAGGAAGGAGCAGACACGGCGTGAAAGAAAACAGGTCACTCTGAATTATAACCTCACCATGATGATGCGCTGTGCCAGGCGTGTTCGGGCCAGGAAGTACACCACACGCAGCCTCTTAGGCAGCCTCAGGTTCCTGAAGGCCGGGGTCTGCAGGGTGATGGTGTGGGGGGAGGGTCGAGGCGGAGGGGGGACCTCACGTGGACGCAGCGGGCCTGGCTTAGGCGGCGGTAGTCCTGCTTCGGCTGGCAGGCGGCGGTTCAGGTCAGCCAACTGAGGAGTTATACGATTAATAATCTCAGGTTATTGATTTTAAATTTGATCTAAACTCAGAGAAAATCAGTATGAAGATGTTAAAAATGTTTATCTACATTCATGTTAACCCTTTATTCTGAGGATAAAGGGCTTAAAGGTGCTCGAATATCTTTTTGTTGAGCACATTAATGTAAAGGTTTAAGGGGCCAACACTCAGCTAACAGCGCACTGAGCTAAGGACCAGATGTAGAGCAGTAAGAGGTTTTACATAAGACCTGCACATGTGGTTAATCAGAGTTATAATCTGAAAACTATGTGCTGAATGTATGTGACTGCCATCTGACCCACATCTGCTCAGAGCAGAGAGTCTCAGTTAGAATATTGAAGATTTTCATAATGATCATATAGATGATTCAGGTTCATGTTCATTTTCCTGACTTCTCACCTCCATGCGTCTGATGTCTATAGACAGCACTGTGGTGAAGAAGAACATCTGCAGGAAGAAGTCAGACACCAGCCCCACGACAGCGAACAGACAGAACTCCTGTAGGACACAAAAACCACCAGGACCACGAGACCATCAGAGGGAAGTTTCTACAATAAACCAGTCAATGACTCAAAAAGGATAAACTGCATCGTTTGTTACCTGGATAGCTGGCACCAGCGTGAAATACCCGATGAGGATGATGCACAATTCAGTGGCCATGTTCTTCATGATAGACCAGCTCTCATTACTAAGGCCTGAAGGAGAGAAAAAACAACATTTAGAGTGAAATAAGAGGAACGTCCTGAAGACAGGTGTCTACAAATCTCTGTTCTTACCCTGAGCGATACGAAGTTTGACCTCAAGGTCGACCGGGGTGGACACCACAGACTTGGTGAGGACTAAAACGTTCTCCAGACCGATCACCACCACCAGGTACGGGAAAATCTCCCTGTGGACAGAAAACAGGGGAAGTGATGTGAAACAAATCGAACCAAAACCGTCTTCCTTTCATACAAAGTCATCTTGTGATATCTGCAGAGTTGAAACATTTTAAACAAAGCTTATAAAAATAAACATCTAGGCCAAGGTCAAGGTGATCCAACACTCTTTAAAACTGTTTCACACAAGAAGTTTGACTTCGAACTCAAAAGTTTTGGCTCCAGGTCCTGGTTCAGAAAGTTCCCTAAACAAGGACTGAAGGGGGTAAAACTGAACGTGGTGGTGCAAATGTTCCTTTCTGAAGAAAAACCACAACACTTCAGCGTGTCTCAACAGAAACTCCAATGAGTCATGTCACCAGGAGCCATGTCCTTTCTACATAACCAAATGTGAGGCCATTAAGATCATTACCTACGAGACGTTGGAGTGAATCATCAGGTAAGCCGTCAGTCAGTGTGGGAACGATACCTGGATGTTAAAGTTTGTCCTCTGAGGGATCTCTTCTCGCTCGAGAAACAATTTGACACATTTGTTTAAACTGTCTTTTGAACATCTGCTGTAATTGAATATGTGATATAACTGGTATTTTAGTTTGTTTTGTATTTATTATTCTCTTTATTGTTGTTATCATTTTGTGAAGATCAAATAAACTTTACTTACTTTCGTGCTTCATCAAATCTATTTATTCATCTATTTTACGTTAAAAAGGTCTTTATAAAAGGGACAAACATGATTCCAGCGATGCCACTGATGGAGCTTTAAAGTTTATCAAAAATAATTAACAAAAGAGCTCAACAATTTTTCATTCAGTTTCTGGTATAATACGATACGATTCGATACAATATGATACAATAAGTTACGATACAGTACGATACGACATGATATGATACGTTATGATACGATAAAATACAGTTCAGTATGATACGGTACGATACGATACGTTATGATACAATAAGTTACGATACAGTACGATACGATACAGTACAGTACGGCATGATATGATACGTTATGATACAATACGTTACGATACAGTACGATACGATACGATACGATACGTTATGATACAATAAGTTACGATACCGTACAATACGATACAATATGATACGGTACGATACGATACGTTATGATACAATACAATTTCTGCATGCAATGACGAGTTACATGTCAACATCATATAAAAGTAAAAGGTAAAAAAAGAAGACATGTTTTTTACTTGAAAAAAGAAATGTATTATCGAGTTTGAAAATCATGCGTATCAAAATATCTGCAAACTCAAACATCCTACATCTCTATTTACTCCACACAATTGTACAGTGAGTTTGTATTTGAGGAAAAGGAGCAGCAGAAGTGGGGTCCATGAACAGGATAAATCAGCTAAAGATAATATCTACAGCTCAGATTTCAATCAAAGGTTTTCAGTCTTTTTAAGCAGCTCCAGGAACTCTTTCTATCAATATTTGTCAAACGTCTGCGGGGAATTTCTCCCCTCTGTTTAAGTGTACAGGAGGATTATTTAGAGCGTAGATAAGCTTGTACTTTAGAAGTAAGTGTATAACCAGGTCACAGAGGAGTCAACAGCTCTGCACATTACATCAGACGCACTCAGTAACACCGCACACATAAACACGCACACACACAGCTATCACAGCAGCCCTGTGTGGCCTCCACCATGAGTCGGCACAATGTTTAGCTTGTACACACGTCTTGGTTGTGTTGGCCTTGATGTTCGTTAAAGCAAACACACGGCGAGTACAGCCCATGGTGGTGCTTGTGTGGATCTCGATCAGTGGTTGGACAACAGTGTGCCGTTGTCACGCCATGATGTCTGCTTTCTAGTGATCCTAAAACGATTGGACAACCACTTAATGTCAACATCGTTATTGCTCCGCCTCTTTTTCAAGCTCAGCCCATAAACGCGTCCCCTTTTTATTCTTCCTTATTCAAATAAACACGCTGGATCTCTGCCCACACGCTTTAAACATTAACAAAAAGTCGATGTAGAGGAAGTGGGAAGCCAGTGTGTGTGTGTGTGTGCGTGTGTGTGTGTTAGTGTGTTAGTGGACCTGTCCTTGTCTTTCTGTGAATAAGATAAGAGATCATAATGAAACAGGAACAGCCTGTTAGGGCAGTAAATATTATGAGTCTATTTGAATGTCAATAACAGGACATGATGAGGTCTGTGGAGCGGCTGCAGAGCTGGTGATGATACATTTACTTCGTTTAAACAAACGTTTATTTTCCTCATTGATCGACATGACTAATATCAAATATTGATATGATCACCGTCGGTAGCTCCTGGCCTATGTGGGCGCAGTTTATTAAAAAAAAATAAAAGGTTTTACTGACCAGTAAATAAGGAACAAGAACACACACTCTGTATCTAATGGGTCACATAAACCGGTCTGAGTAGGACCAGTTAGGGCTGGGCGATATGGCCTCAAATCAATATCACGATATATTGATCAGTTCACCTCGATAACGATAAATAGACGATAACTACTCCACAAGCTGCTCACCCCCTCCCACATTAACTTCGTCTACTTCAGCCGCTACAACTTTCTCTCCGTCCTCCATCTCCTCATCTGTCTTTCCCTCTTTGTTACGGACTGGATGGGGTGGAGTCACGTCTCTGACGTAGGACAGTGACTTAAAGGGACATGAGACCATAACCTACCTACACACATCCAAAAACAACTTTGATTTATTTATTTTTTGACACCTACAATACCTTTATCGGCAAAATGATGCTGGTTATTGTCATATATTTCAGTATCTGTAAATTTTCAGTTTATCACCCAGCCAAGGACCAGTTTTTGTTACCTGAAGCGAGGGACGATCGGGGACATAGAGTGATTTCTATGAACTGTAAGAGCAATTTTACTGTTCAATTTGGTCAGTGTGTCGTTAACTGGACTCATATCGAGAAGAGAGAGCGGCAGCAAGATCTGATCGCTTTATGCAAATACATCAGATGTGAGATCATTGAAGATTTCGTGGCTAGAACAGCATCAGAACGCCTCCGTTTGACCACCTTTGCCATTAAAACTCACACTACTAAGGCGTTTTATTTCACCCAAGAACGACATCTCTTTCTAATTCACTTAAAAGACAAAAAAAAAAGCTGGTATTGTCTCAAAGTTAGGCTGGAGGTCGCTTATCATAGTCTGCAGTCTTCTTTGGTTTGGATAGTTCACACAGTGTCTTGTAAACCACAGGATTAGACGTTGACCGTCTCAGTTACAGTCATTCAAATTCATCTTTAGTGCTTTACTGATATCCTTGCAATCGGTTTAAAAGCTGTTGAGACCTTTCAGTAAAAGCACAAACTGCTGGTTTTGTTGTTGCCTCAGGAAAAAGAAAATCACTACAAACGATTCAGTCGAAACACGAACACACAATTTCTCAGGAGTCCTCCAAATGTTTTCAGAATTTTCAGTCAAATAAACTTTTCCAGCAATTTATTCATCCGTGAGACCAGTTTGGGAATTAAAAATGACCCGAGGCTTTTGAAAAAGAGCTCAAAAAATTTAACTCCAAATGTCTGACTGAAGTGGAAGTTGTAGCTCGGTTCAGCAGATGCAAACTTTCACCAAACTTTCCAAACTGCTGCAAGAGTTTTGGTCAACAACCAGAGACGGTGTTTTCTTACCCTCCATTGAGCGTCGGTGTGAGTCCAAACAGAGTACACAGTCCCACAGACATGAGCAGAGAGCTGAGGACTGTGACCACAGCAGCCAGAGCCAGACCCCACTTAGACTTCACCATGTCGATCTTACCTGCGGAGAGAGGACAGTTTAATAAAACAGAAGGTATTACTCGGTCAATTTAACCGTTTTTAGAAATCTAAAGGAAGATAATAACAAAAAGAGGTGGTTAACTACACAAGCTTTAGCGGCTTTTTTATTTTCAGAAAGACTGTTTTATTATTTACTTAAAGAAGGGTGAGATTTTTTTTTTTTGAAAAAAAAAATAAAAAATTTGGAGATGAACAGTATCTCTTTGTCCACAGGGGGCGCCAAAAACAACACAAACTTTAAGTTACTTACAGGAGCTTGGTTTCGTTTTTTTATTTGTGAAAAATATTTTAAGCCTCTTCCTCTGAAAACTAAACTATAAAGATCTAGCCAAATATTTTTCTTTCAAATCGGTTAAAATTAATCAAATATATGTATAATTCGCAAAAACCCTCACAATGGGAAATAATTGTTCCTCAATAACTAAAAAAGGACAAGATTTTATACATAAGCTTTAAAAAAAGTGAAATTTTAGTTTTGCAAATTACATTTGAAAAGAAGTGAGATTTGTTTTCTTAGAAATAAGATTAAAAAGATGAACAGTATTTCTTCGTCCACAGGGGGCGCCAAAACAACACAAACCTAAACTTCCTCACAGGAGCTTTAATCTAAATTTTGGTTTGTCAAAAATATTTTTAAGCCTCTTCTTCTGCAAACTTCACAAAAGCCAAATATTTTTCATTCAAATTGGTTAAAATCAATCACATATACGAATAATTGGCAAAGACCATCACATTGGGAAAAAATTGTTTCCTCGAAAACAAACAAAAAAAAGGACAAGATTTCAAATACGCTGCATTAAAAAAGTGCCATTTTAGTTTAAATATTACATCTGAAAAGAAAACATGAGAAACTGATCTGATTTTTAGTTTCTGTTTGTTACAGTAACAACGATTGTGCTGTTTGTGAGTTATTCAGGGTTAGCTGACCACTTTCTTACAGCAGTGAACCCTCTCACTGTAAAAGGATTATCCCTGTGCCAGACAGGAATAACACTGGCACACAATTATAAATGTACAAAAGGTACAGGAGGTCTAAGTCTGGATCTATGACTTAATAAGTAGAAAGAAAAAGTAGAAAAAGTGGGTCAGAACTGGATAAAACCAGAGAGGTGGACTAACGTGTGGAGAAGTAAATGTAGGCGAAAAGGATGATGTATGTGGTGACCAGGGGGATGAGCTCAGCGATGCCGATCTCCTCTTTGAAGTGAACGTGGACCATGTGGTCGTCTCTGAGGCTGCAGTTGGCTGATGGGTGGAGCTGCTTCAGGCGGGCCCGCAGGCTGCCCAGGAACCTGAATACACAAACACGCACAGGTCGACAATCAACATGACTCATTTAAGGTGTTTATTTAAGACACGCCGTATTTTTTAGTGCCGTTTAAAGGCTTCATTCTGCCGTGGATCAAATCAAACATTATTGAAAGTGACTCACCTCGCATCGTAGGTGGATAAAACCACAGTGATGGTGTACGTCACCACCCTCTTCCTGTTGTAGTGACTGACCCCTGTGTACTTCCCAGGAACGCCAAACAGCAGATCTAAAACACATAATACACAAACATCCACTTAATCACTAAATCCAGAGCGGTTTTGTTAAACAGCTGAATTTCCTCCGCTGCAAATGGGGATTTGGATTCTAGGACTGGAGGTGTTCTGGTCCTCATGTGTGACGAGTATCGACCGATCACTTATCTGCAATCTTTGGTGTGTGCAGAGCAAACACAAGCAGAATGTAATCCAGCATAATCTGTCGGGTATTAATTTGTCTCCATGAACAGGTATCTGCATGTAGGTGAAAATTAAAAAAGGTTTTACTGAGGGACAAAGTTGTATTTTGATTTTCTACTCAACCAAGTTTTGGGTTCAACAAATGTGCTTTATGATGATCACGTCTTTTTACTCAAATCTTATTTTTTTAGGCGTAAACTGCTCAAGTAATCCAGACTGAGGCCTCAGAGTAACTGTAATTTTGCAACTCTGTTCGTCGTTTTCGTCTCGTCCCGTCAACGTAAACGCACTTTCGTCTCATCACATTTGAGTCATCTCCGACTTATGTTTAGCTCATCAACGTTACGTCTTCGTCTGGATGAGATATGAGAAATAATACAAGATATGATGATATATGACATGATATGATATATATGATAAGTGATATATGATATGATGAAATGATATATGATGATGATATCATATGAGAAATGATATAAGGTATGATATGAGATATGATACGATTTGATAAGTGATATATGACGATATATAATATGATGAAATTGTGATATGAGAAATGATATGAGATATGAAAAGTAATATGAGAAATGTAGATATGTGATATGATATGATATGATATGATCCAATGCGTCTTGGCTTCAATTTAACAATTGCTAACTTCCTGCTAAAATGCCCTAAAAATTGGATATTACGGTGGCTGTCAAGGGCCAATCATACAGAGAAAATAAACTTAAAAAAACAGATGCAGAGGTCCAAAACCTGCAAAAGCAACTGCATTAACAACATATAAAGCAAAAACCCAGATTTTTGAAGGCTTCAGAGGGATTTATCACCCAGACTCCTAAAAGACCATCAGACCCTCTGTCCTCCAGCTCAGTGTGAGAAGAGTTATCAGTCTGTCTGTAGCTGTCTGCCAAACTGTCCCTGACTACAGCTTCTGAAAAAAAAAAGCTTTCCCCGTTTAAATCACTGGAGCTGGACGGTGAGGCAGAATGCTGAGCTGGCTTTAGTGAAACTGAGAGGGAGGGAGATGTGGTCACTGTGTCAGTGGGTAAAGTTTGAGAGAATTCAATAAGTTTATGAGGAATGAAATGGCTTGTTCTCTGTCAATAAAAGCCTCTTAACTCTCTGGTACCACTAATCCAGCGCTCACTCCCTTCCTATGATTACTGCTGAATGTTGGCGGACTACAAAAGCCTCTGAATCAACTCCACTGGTTTGTTTTCTAAATATTTATTCCAACCATCATCTTGATAAATGAAAAGTTTTGATTTCTCCATCTGTTGTAGAGCCCCATAGAAAGAAAAAAAACTGACACTTCTTCATGAGCTGTTCCTGTTTTTCCGTCATCTCACCTCTCAGTGTGGCCGAGGTGTGCAGACCTTTGGGTTCGTGTTTCTGGATGGTCTTGAGGAGGTCGGGGTCGGAGTCAAACAGCTCCCGCTGGTTCTGCCAGTAGTTGCCGGGGGAAACAAGTAGGCATCCATGCTCTGGCAGCACAGACTGCATCCGCCGTAACCCTGGAAACAGGTCCGTCACCTGAAGACACAGAGACTCCAGACTGCGGATCCCGGAGCTGATGGAGGAGAAAGAAGATAACTTACAAATACAAAAGGCTCCTCGAGGTATAAGTGAAGAGCATGAAGAGGGGGAGACACATCAATTATCCTTCAGTGTGAGTCTGCAGCTGAGCCACTCTGGAGCGCTCAGCCTTCAGCTACTGTTAAAACTTTTTAGGTAAACTCCAAAACAGCTCGGTACAGAACAGCTGTCAAACTAACAGCATGTTCTTGAGAAGTTAGAGTCATTTCTGAGGGTCATGGGTAATCTTCTCTCACACTGCAGGCAAAATAGTTTTTGTTCATGGCTGGACTTGCTTCAAGGTGTTTAAAGAAACACAAACATTTTCCTAGAAAGCAGCCGAGGTTCAGGGACAAATACGAGGCTTTATATTCAGCTGGTCTTAATCTCCACCTTTGACCTATCAGAGGAGAGCTGCACCGTTTTGTTCATGATGATAAATGTGATTATTTTGATTCATATTAAGATCAAAATTATGGATGTCATAATAATACAGTTAAATGCATTTATACTGTGTTTCTGGATGACGCAGGCGATTGTATCTCGATAGGACTTATTCATGATGCAGCTTCACTCTCCATGCTCTCTCCGTCCCTCTGCTTTACTAACACACACCACCTGATCTTCCTGTTCTCATGCTGCTTTTCTGCAGACGTTTTTGCACTCTCAGCTTTGAGCCCTTCAGGTAGACTAAAACAAGCCATAACTTCACCTGTTGTTACGCTGAAATTGCCTCTGGAAATACAAGTTATTTTATGAGTGTCACTTAATAAAACTAAAAGTTACAGCTCACACTAGGGCTGTCACTTTTTATCTCAAGTTTTCATCTTTAGTCAGACTTAAGGGAACAAATTTATCATCAAAGTTTTCCGATTTGATTACCGTATATACAGCGTTTAGGACTCTCTCACTGTTGCCTGAACATTGTTACTCCTCAGCACAGGGGAGTTTTTCTGCAATAAAAAAGGATTTCTGACAAATGATATTCAAAATAAGCTGCTGCATGGTTCCGATTCCTAAAAACCAGAATTAAAGCTGTTGGTTTACCGTAAATATTGTTGTGATTGGACAGATATGTAACTGAAACTCCCTTTTACTTCCTAATTTGACGCTTTTTATACAAGACAGCAGGTTTATTCTGATTTTCAATGGGCTACTTTTTTAAAAATCTTGTGCTACATCTGTGTTTAACTTACTAAAACTGAAAAACAAAGTCACGTGCAAAATTAGATGTTTTGTGCTTGTGTGGTGGAAACAGGGGGTTAAATATACCCAAACATCAGCATGTTATATCTGATATTCAGTCTGACTGACTGAATAGGAAGTGTTTTTAAATACTAATGTCCACTGGTCCGTTTTTGGATTTTGATTGCTCCTTTCATACGTTAATTACAGTCATGAGCTGAGTTATTGTTGCAATTTTGTGCAACAATGAAATAAAAAACATGATTAATTTTTAGGGTTTTGGGGCCATGCACTAATATGTATAAGTGTGTGTGTGTGTGTGTGTGCGTGTGTGTGTGTACCTATCAGAGTGAACATGATTGCGTATCTCCTCCAGTAAGCTAAAGACTCGACCGAGCGGTGACCGGAACACGTCCACCGGCACCAGGCTGCTGTCCCACGGAGACACCGCCGCCTTCACCAACACCTGCTGGATGTAGGCGACCGGAGGACCCCGGTACTACACACACAAACACACACAAACATGTTAGTGACACGTTTAGACACAACATGATACTGTTTGTCTACTTAATCAGCCTCTAACGTGACCGCTCAGGTTACACAGGTGTACTGTAAAGCTGGACACAGGTCCTGCTGCTCATCTGCATTATTTATGGGTCTCCATCTTTGTTGTGGGCTCGAACACGTCCCTCTGGTTCTGATTCTTATTTAGGAATAAAGCGCACACACTCCTAACTCTGAGATGTACATTTAAGCTTCTGTCGTCATACCCAGTCAGGCCGTTCACCGAGGTCTCCCTGGGGCTCATGGGAAGGGACGCTGTAGTCTCGCACCCCTGTGGTGAACTCCACAGGACCCGTCCCAGGCAGAGGAAGCCTCAATAACGGATAGCTGGCAGAGAGAGAGAGAGAGAGATAATGGGAGGAGGAGAGGAAGGGGGGGGTCACAGGGAGCATTACAGATATGAAACACGAGTGTGAGAATGACTGAAGCGCTCTCGCTGCGCCAATTTGATCTGATTGAAATGTTTTCAAAGGAACATTCAGTCCGACCCGCGTCCTAACTGGGTCATTCAGGCTGGATTGTACGAGTTTGGAGAAGCGGCTGAACAGGGAGACACTCGGATGTATGGAGGGAACGAGGAAAGACAAGCTTAGTGGAGTAGATGTAAACCTTTGAGTCCAATTTAACAGAAATGATTAACTCATCCAAGCCCAGCGAAAAGAGACAAATCACCTTGGCAACCGGGCTGCATCATCCTAGCAACCACACGCATTTGAAAAAGTTTAAGCGTTTTATTAACTTTGATCATAACTTTGTATAAACTTCATCTATAAATCAATTGCAAATTACTATTATTTCTCGACCTGTCAATCAGCTTTAATGTATTTGAGCGTCTAAAACTAACAGCAGGTCTGAGTGGATGTGTAGTAATGAGCCGTAAATCTGTCTGCAACTGTCACAGGAGGAATCTGCAGGTTCAAACATGCGGTTTGTATTTAGAGCACACACTTTATGGATTGATTCCTCGTGTGACGCAGATTTATGTCTCTGCAGCGCTGACAGGTGAAAAAAGAAGAAGCCATTTATGACCGACAAGGAGACTCATCCTCCTCTTTCTTGAGTTAAAGCAGGTGTCAGTGTTTAAAATTTAAAGCAGAGCTGCCGGGATCGTCATTAAAACAGGTCTACCTGCTTGAAAGTGTATTTTAACTGATGAATCAGCTAATTTGAGCCCAAAATAAAAGAGGAATCTGCATCACAGGTTTTGAGGAGACGATAACGTCGCTGCAGAAACCAAAAAATATATAAAAACCATACGAGTTATCGACTATTAAATCACTAATCTCATGTGTTTCCACTCTTTAACTGGTGTTAGTAGACGGCTCCACATCACTCCAGTTTTAGCCTCCTTTCACTGACTTCCTGTCAGTTTTAGAATTGATTTTAAGATTTTATTGATTACTTTTAAAGCACTCAGAGGATGTGCTCCGAGCTACATTTCAGAGCTCTTAATGTCTTATGAGCCGACTCGCAGCCTCAGATCCTCTGCTGAAAACCTCCTGGTCGTTCCAAAGTCGAGGCTCAAAACTAAAGACGATCGATCTTTCTCCATCAGAGCTCCTCGACTTTGGAACGACCGGACAGAGGAGATAAGACGCAAAGAGACAGAGACAGAGACAGAGACAGAGACAGTCGCTTCTTTTAAGTCAAATTTAAAAACTCACTTTTACAGACCTGCTTTTATGTGATGCCATCTTTTATCTTTCTCTCTTTTATCTCTTTTATTTTGGCTTGACTGTCTATTTTTTCTTTTATTAAATAACATTTTGGGCCTTTAATGTTTTATTTATTGTTTTTGTCTCTTGCCCATTTGTGTTATTCTATCGTATCATTATTACATTATCATTACTGTGTTATTTTTATGTTACCATCAATATTCGTATCGTCTTTTTATATTTTTGCTATCATGTTTTCTGCTTTCAACCCCGTCTTTTACTGCATTTTCTTTTCCTACTGATTCTCTGTCTTTAGCTTTTATTTATGGACCTTGTTGTCTCATTTTATGTTGCGTGGTTCTTGTAATGTCTTGGTTTCTTATGAGAGATGAAAATGGTCTCTTTATTTTTGTGCCGAAGCTCTCGTGCTCTTTCACTTTCAGTCAAAGCACTTTGTAAATGTCTGATTTTAAAAATGCTTTACAAATAAAGTTGTTATCATTATTATTATTATTATTTGTGTTTTGTTTTTTATTATTATTATCTTAGTTACTATTATTATTATAATTAATCGATATGAATAAGCAAACGTAAAGGCAGACGGATGTAATTAACCGACTGCCTGATAACGGCATCCCCTTAAAGCTGTGTGCTTTGTGTTCATGTGTGTTTGTCTTTGTGTGTTCACTGTATGCAAAACTTGTGAAAAATGACACCAGAGCCTCCAGCTGTCAACCTGAAGAGAGAAAGAGAGAGAGAGACCCTCCCTCCCTCCTTCTTTCTTTCTTTCTCTAGGAAGTGAGTGAGTGATTATGAAACAAGTTCTCTTCAAGTTAAACCACTTTTTTTCCCAGCAGAAGAAGTGTGTGTGTGTGTGTGTGTGTGTGTGTGTGTGTGTGTGTGTGTGTGTGTGTGTGTGTGTGTGTGTGTGTGTGTGTGTGTAAGGGTAACAGGTTCATTTTGAAATAGTGTTGAGCAACCCTGACACATAGCTGAAGGTCTGAGCTTTCAGCGGTGGTGGCAGCAGAGATGGAAAGATAATAAGATGGATTTGCACGGCGTGATTATCTGACAGAGATACAGGTCTGTTTCTACACCGACGTTCTTCCTCTCTGCCTCCTGTCTGCTTAAACTCACATCAAAATGACCAAAATCACAGCTTCTTCCATTAAGTCATAACTTCAAACTGTTGGAGAGAAAACCTTTAGCATTCAAGCGTTACTAAGCCCCTGACGTTGCTCAAGTCTGATGACATTATCAGCTTTTACAGAAGGCGGTCGAGTCGGGACATCAGGAGAGAAGCTACGGCCTCAGAGCTGTCAGCGAGACAAAGACGAGACACGGCTACAGCAGAGTTCACTTATCAACCCTGATGTGAGAAAAATGAAATCCTTCAAAACTTCAAATCCAGACACTGTGGGATCATATCAATGAGGACAAAAAGCTTCCACTTTGTTGTAAAATGTCATTTCTAAAAAAGAAAGGGTGTTTCAGCTGAGTAATCGTAGCAGCCTGAGAACCTGAAAAACCTCTGAGCTCATGTTTTATTTGCTCTGGCAGATGCTTCTAGTTCCCCTCCAGTTCTGATGGATTTCCATCCGGCCTCAAATGTTTGTCTGCTTTTGTCAGGGCTTAACTCGGCACTGACGAGACATCGTCGGCACACCTGTGAAAATACACGTGCACAGATTATCCCTGAAAAAGTCGGAGAAAACTTTGAGTTGATTTGAGGCCGTGTTACTGAGAGACAAAGTTCAGGTTTAAAAAACTAACATGCAAAGGTGACGTGCACGTACATCCACATGCATGAGAGCTGTTTGAACTGCGCTCTCTGACTCCTCACACTCGCTCGCTCAGTAGCTGCAGCCGTCTTCAGTCATGCAGAATAATAATGTACAGTATGTCACTCTTCAAACCCTCGCTGTGTGAGCTCTCTGGGTTTGTGCTTCCTGAAAACTGCCATGAGCTGCAGACTCACATTAGAAAATTAGATTATTTTGAAGCACAGAAGATTATAAAAATAGGATTACGTATATAAAACTGCTCTGTGCCTCTGTCCTAAAAAAGGAGGTTCTGTATCAAGGTGGAAATAATCCATGATCATTTCCTGAACCTGAAATGATCCAGATCTCACATATTGATGTTGAGGCTTTGTTTGAGATTACAGCTGATAAGGATTTTGCTGAGTCACTGTTATTGATCGGTAACATCACCAGCTGTGGATTCGGACAAACTCCACTCCTATTCCTTTAAAAATCTGCCGGTCGGATAGAAACCTCTTTTCCTTTCTGTCTCTCTCCCTCCATCCATGTCTCCCACTGCCTCCCCCCTCTCTCTCTCTCTCTCTCTCTCTCTCTCTCTCCAAGGTCACTGTACCTCCACAAAGGCCTCTTTTGTGCAGAGCCAGCCCCCCTCCTGTCAGGCAGATGGAGGGACAGACCTCCTATTCTCACAGGGCCATTTTCTCACAGCCCTCTGCTCTGGCTGTGCCTTAAACATCCCTGTCGTCAAGTCCTTTTCTTTCACCCCCCCCCCATGGGTGGTGGTCAGCGGTCCATTTGGTCAGCACCCCCCACTGTAAGGTGCTTTGAGGACGGCACGCAGCAGGTGCATGCCCTCGTTCCAGATTGTGCTGATTGTTTTACAGCTCTCTGACCTCTGTCCTCTTTTCTGACCATGAGGAGATCTGAGCGTGTGCGTGTGGTAAGTGAATGTTTGTGTCGTGGAGCCGGCGGGGGGGGGCGATGTGTGAGTGCAGATGGTTCCAGTCCAGATGAGCTGAGCTGGTTAGACTGTCTCTACTGTAAAGACATTTTAATGGAGGCTGCACAAAAAAAAGGCACCAGAGGTCTCAGAAGCATCCAAACATCAGCTCGGCTGCAGACACAAACATAAAATCTCCCTCTAGCTGAAATAAATCACCACTAAAGACACATTTCAGCTCTGACAGATACTCAAAACTTCCTTAACAGCAGTTGCAAAAGGGAATTTTGATTGATATCTTTCTAATACCCAGATTTACGGAAGCTCTACCAGTCGGGGAAGATTTCTGTACCTCTAATCGCGCAGATAAAGAGTTTCTTGTTTTCATTTTTGAAGGATTTGTAACACAGCTCCTGTTTAAAAATCTCTGAAAGAATTTAATCTAAACTTTGACACAGACTCTGAGGCAAGACGCCTACCAGCAGGTGAGGATGCTGGCGGAGGTGAAGAGGATGATGGGTACTGGGTAGGAGGCACACAGCAGCCCGTGGCGGTAGAAGGCCGCCGAGATCTTCTCTCTCAGCTGCTCGCGCAGCGTCATCCTGGTGGGCGGGGTCAACTCCCGGCCATTGGGAAGCACTGCGCGGCCGAGGACGGTGCGCCGTGGAGCATCCAAGGACCTGGAGGAGCAGAGGGAGCAAGTTAGAGAAAAAACTGATTAGAAGAGAAGTTTTTAATGAGTCAGTAAGACAGAATTTAAAGATTGTACATGAGGAATAAAGTCATTATTAAAGCCCATGATTATTACAGCTGTTCTAGAGGGGGAATACCAGATCAGCTGACTTTATACTTTAATTATTATGACTTTACTGGGTCTGTACTCATGACTAATAATAATAATAATCCACTTTACTCTCAAAATCTTTGGACTTCTCCTTCACTTTTTTCTCCTCTTATGAGTTTATTCACGTGATATTAGGAAATGACACAACTATAAAACTTGATTCCCGTAATAACATTATGACTGTACTTTAATTTTTATTTTAGTAAAATTATAATTTTGTTCTTGTAGTATCAGGCAACGACTTTCCTGAGAATTCATTCGACTTTGACTTTTTACATTCTACCATTTTTTTAGACCATTAACAGGAGAGTAACATCGATTTAACAGAGTTGAAATGAAACCAGCTGATTAACGGATAATGAAAATTGTGTTTGGTGTTGGATCAACCTGGTTCAACTGAAGTTAGTGAATCTGTTAAGAAAAAAAAGCCAAAATATAAGACAGGAGGGTTTCTCCCTTTTGAATACACTGACATTAGCATAAGCAGATGTAGGTTCTTTCTATAGAGCTGCAAGTGTCAACAAAATGCCTTTAAAAAAATGACTGTTCATACTCACTACACTGAAGTGCTAAGGGTCAAATTTAACAACGTGATCATACTTATCTTTGTGTTTAAGTACTCTGTCTGGATCTTAAGTTAGCATATCCCCCTCAGATCTGTTGATTAGCTTCAGAGAAACTGAGTTTTAACAGGAACCTGCTTCATTCAGTGTTTGTAGTTCAGATGTGTGAGATATGAACCGTGTAGGGTCGTTTCAGGACTCAGTTTTAACAGATTCTCATGTTGGTGTGTTTCTTTGTGCAAAATCTAAGCAGCTCAAAAACTAAAGGTGAAAGATTCAGCTGAAATATTTTTGTTTTTCCTGATGATTAGAAGATTTGTCGTCATTAAGGGATTTGAGAACCTTTTAGGAAAATATTTGCCTGAAGTTTGTTTGATAAATGACTGAGATTGAGCTGATGTCGAGGTGAAGGAGAAGAAGGAGTAGGAGACAAAGTGGAAAAAGAAGTAGTAGTAGAAAAACTAGTGAACTAGTAGAACAGAAAGAAGTGGTAGAAGAAGCAGTAGAAGAAAAAGAAGAATAGTAGTAGAAAAAGAAAAAGAAGTAGAAGAAGAAAAAGAAGAAGCGGTAGTGGAAGAAGTAGCAGGAAAAAAGGAAGAAGTAGAAGAAAAAGTAGTAGAAGAAGAAGAAGTAGTAGTAGAAAAAGAAGACAAAGAAGTAGTAGAGGAAGTGGTTGAAGAAGAAGTAGTAAAAAAAGGTGCAAGCAGAAGTAGTAGAAAAAATAGTGGTAGAAGAAGCAGCAGCAGAAGAAGTAGTAGAAGTAGTAGTAGAAAAAGAAGAAAAAGAAGTTGTAGTAGAAGAAGAAGTAGAAGATGAAGCAGTAGTAGAAGTAGCAGGATGAGAGGAATAAGTAGTAGAGGAAGCAATAGAAGAAGAAAAAGAAGAAGAAAAGTAGTAGAAAAAGAAGTAAGGGAAGTACAAGTAGAAGAAGCAGTAGAAGTAGAATTAGTAGTAGTAGTAGTAGTAGAAGAAGAAGAGGAGGAAGAAGCAGAAGAAGAAGTTTATTCATCCCCGAAGGGAAATTCAATACTGCTACCGAAGTTTAAACAAACCTGAACCAGGAGTCAGAGTTATAGAGTTAAAGTTAAGATGAAATAAAATAATAAGACTGTGCTCAAACCCACACAGACACACTCCGAGTGGACAGCTCTTATAGGACACCTCTGTCCTGGACACCTAATAAGTTACACACCCTCCATGTGTTGGTCTACACACTGCTGACTGGAAGCGTGGTGTTTTTCCTTCAGACCCGCTCACACTGAGATCACATGTCCAACAGAACTGAAACACACGGCTCATTCAGCAGCAGCACAGAAAGGTGTGGACACATTCCCACCAGTAGGAAACAAGCCACTCCGGCTCAGCAGCTCCCCTCGAGCAAACACATGCACGTCTCATCGATCACACCTGGGTTTGAAGACAAAAAAAAAAGGAAAACACAACCCGTGTTCCTGGTGATAAGAGCCTTTTGTTACCGGACAGGGAGAGTAATTCTCACCGCTGCTCAGAGAGAAAAGCACAGTGAGAGCCAAAGCTGCAGAAAGGAGGATTTAAGTAAGTCTGTGAGTGTATTTACAGATGCTGGACTAACACAGACTCTAAAAAACAGTTGTTTCGGTAAAATAAAACCACATTACTAAGCACATTTGTTCAATAAAGGAGAACTGAATATCTAGGCTCCTCTGACTTAGGGGGGGATATTTTCACCATCTTTTAAATAAGTAATGCAGCTTCTACACTGACACATCTATGAACCCGAGCAGCCTGAATTAGATTCAGAAATCCCAGAAACAATGTTGAACACAGTCGGGGTAAAAATATCAATCTTGTTGAATTATTCAGCAGACAAACAGACTTTAATCTGGAGGTTCAGCGACTGTTTAAAAACAAACACAGGAAAGCTCCAGTGAGGAGGTTTGAGACTGGAATAAATGGATGAGATTGGCCTGTCCAGATACACCAGTTTTACATGTGCAGGACAATTTAGCAGCAGACCTCAACAAGGTAGTACCACACTGTCCACAGGGGGCGATATAATGTGCAAAAAAGAGAATCCATCGGGGAGAACAAGTCTGAATTCCTTTGTTTTTGCTCAGATTGAGTGGTTACCATCACCAAGACACAGTCCACTGTTCTCAAAAATCTGCTAAACTGTGCCATCCTGCAAAACACTCATCTGTGCTTCTTTACCTCCAGGTAGTCGAGCCAACAACAAATGTGGAATAAAAGTTAAAGAGGCTCACACTCGCATGAATTCTGCTCGCTCCTCCTCCTCCCAGAGGGGGTTTGCGGCGGGTTTGACTGAGAAATTATGCAAATTAGGCGATGACGTCATCTAGCGACTTCCAGCGACTTTTTCGACAGCCACTAGCGACTTTCCTTACAGAGGAGTTGGCAACACTGGACACTTCTGCGTACACCACGCAAACACCAGAGAGGGGTGCTCTAATATGCCTTAAATGGTAGATAAAGCTTATAATTAAAGAAAAGAAGAATAAAGAAAACTAACAGCCAATCATGTCGCAGGGATAAAGCGGTAGAAAAGCTTGGAGCAGCTATGAAGAGCAACAGTGACATCGAAGGAAACAAACTGCAAACAGAAGCCGAACGAAAACACCGTCAACAAGAAAGGACGTTCAGAATCTGTCGTTTAAAGAGATCTAGAACTTTAATCTGGAACATTAAACAGGCAAAACCACAAACCCTTTCCAGCCCCTAAAACTACATGACCTGTTAGCTAACACTGAAAAGGAAGAATATACACTCCCAGTGGACACTTGATGAACATCGAGCAACCCTACATATGCACCACCTCGGCCGGTAACATGTTTCACCCCAAATAAACAACATGTTTAGGAAGAGTTTGGTCTCCTCCTTCTCCATAAAATATCCTGATTTTAAAAGTCTAAATCTGAGCCCACGATCCGCTCCATCAAACTTCAAACAACCTCAGCCCCTCCACCTCCTCCTATCTCCTCCATCTCCTGTTGACTCTCCTGCCCAATCTCAGCTCGTCTCTGTGTTTGCTCAGCAGGCAGGTTCAACGCCGCCTATCAGTGGTTGTAGTTACACATTGCTCCGTTACAATATTGAACTAGCCGCCCTGCTGGCACACATGCTGCTGCTGCTGCTGCTGGATTTGTTCTGTATCTAATCCTGTCCAACACTTCCACCTTAACAGCTTCTCATGTGATGCCAATTAGGAGCTAACTGAGCCAAAGACGCTACAAAACAGCTCTGTCACATCACACTGTGTCCCCCGCACAAGCATGGACTGTTCTGATCGTACCTGTTGATAACGGGAGGCCAGGTTACCTCTCTCCCTCGCTGCCCTTTGAGTCCCTTGAAAGCAGCAGCAGCAGCAGCGGTGGCGTTTTTGAGCTGAAGCTGAGCCTTGTGGTTCACATGCAGCTCCCCTCTGGACTTGGACAGAGTGTGCGACTGCTCGTCTCGTCCCCCCGGGAGCGACGGAAACATTCCCTGGGAGGAATTCACCTCAGGAGTCTCTTGATCTGCTGTTATAAATACACTATACAGTAAATACAGCAAACTCCTGGCAGGCTTGCACAATGGCTTCTGAAAGGGTCAAACAGGGCTTTGAAGTGAAACCTCTCTGATCTCCATTTCTGCTCTCGGCCAAGTTCTGCTCACTGTCCGATGAGGGGGAACTTCCAGTGAAAGCTTCCATCGCTCAGCTGTCCTGTGTCCTGTGTGCTGCGTGCCGTGCGGCTCCGTGGGTGTAGCAATGAGACCTGATTTGGCAAAAGGCTCAGCAGCATCTCCGTCAGTGAACTAATCCGGGATTGAGCCGATCGGAAACACAGCGCGCAGGGCTCAGGGCCTCCGGCCACCCCCTGCTACCTCCCTCTGACTCTGTTCACAGCCTGTGGGCAGTTTTTGCTCTGTGTTGAAGCATGCCCAGACAATCAGGAGCGTGACGAGTGTGAGGAGGCCTTTATATGCAAAACTTTGGACTAACCACTGGCAGAGAGCAGATAGACTGGAGTTTTAAGCTGATGAGTTCAAGTTCTCCTCCTCAACTTTGAGGAAATCCCAGGATACACCAGCAGAGGCGTGCAGGAAAACATTTCTGCTTGACCACAAACACATCTTTATAACAGCAGCGTGGAAAAGGTCTCCATGCTTTTGCTTACACATGCTACGCAACTCATAGTCCAACAAAGACCGGTCTATACGGGCTCCCACGTGAGGACCCAGCACACTCACTCACTCACAATCAAAAACACAGCGAAGAGCATGACAGTGTGTCACATTGCAGGCTCAAATTAAGTTAGGAAGATCCCTGTGAGTCACTGCAGCTTAACTTCATCACCTGCAGATTCAGATGAACACTTTCAAATCCAAGAACGTGCATTTTAAAATCATGTTTTTCTGAATTGGAAGGTTTTGAAAGAGGTAATCTCACCAGCTCACCTCTTTTCCACCCCTCCTAAAATACCCAGCTTGAAGGCATCCCCAGGGCTAATAGATTCAAATGACATAATCCGTAATGTTCTCTGTCATCTACATGCCAAATGAATTATCCTCGAGTGGAGACCTGAGCGCCAAAAACTCCAGACATTCCAGAAAGCGTCAGGCTGTGTCCACTCTCCGTAACATAACTGCATCACCATTCAGTCCCATCGTTGCATAATGTGGAGGCATGCTCCTTTGATCAATTACTCCCATTAGTCCTGCTGTAAACGTTGAGACGAGCTCCATGTGGAGGAGCAGATTACAGCAACACAGCCTTTTACAGCCACGGCTGTTGACAGAAGAGGGAAATGCCCTGTCAATAAGTAACTCTACTGCAATAAAGAAGGATGTGTTACAGTAAGCACGTCTTCACACCGGGATCTCTGACACATAATCCAGACGAAGGACGAGGGAAACTTTCACACTGCGCCCTCATGCTCACTCTATGTGCAACATCTTTCACAATCCTGCGAATAATTTGCAGCATCCCGATACTTGGCAATCGACCAAGTCCTGGTTATGGCCATCTGAGAGCCATCCACATTTTTTCAACTGACCGTTACCAAACTTGGTGAAAGGTCAAAAGTGATCTTCTTCCAAACTTGAGCAACAGATCATGAAAAGTCAAAATGGTGAAATCTCTACCACAAGACATGTGAAAGGATGATGGGGCTGATGCAACTGGATCACAACATCACCTGCTTGGAACACACCAGCAGGGATGCCGACACAATGACGAACACGCCTCTGACATTAAAGGGGTATTCAGGCGTAAAATTAATTTAGGGTCAAACACACTGTAACACTGAGTTAGACACCCCCTCCATAGATGAATGTTGCCGACCTCTTCCTTCACTAGTTATACCAACTTTAGTAACAACCGCACTATAGCAATACAGAGAGCCACGCGCTCAACCAAAACACCACTCTATAGCCACAAATAATGCTCAGAACAGCACCTAACTTCACCGGAATATCCCTTTAAATACATAAAGTTATAATAATCTTGAGGTCATTAGATACTAAAAAAGAAATTTAGACTGAGAAGTTTCGAGCATGTGAATTATGTACAGCACATTTTCCTTCTTGCAGCTCCTCAACCAACACAAACTTCAACAAGCAAGGTGTGTAAAACTCCACTGACCTGGATTATGCAAATAATATTCTAATTTAACACATTTAGATGGCATTCAAATTTTTTATGAGAACATGGAAATGAGCGTCACTGCAGTACGACACTATGTAAATAGATCTTCATAACATCCAACCTAAGTCCTGTTATCTTAGTGATTTGTGAGGTCTTTTACTCTCATTACTCAAAACATTTTTTAGACTTAAAATAAGATAGAAGAGATATTACTAGAGTCTGTGAGAGGGATAAGAAAAAAATATGTAGACTGTGGAAATGTACAGAAGCCCAGAGTGGAATTAAACACTGTTAAAGTCTATCAAACTACCTGGACAAAAAAGCAGGGCTGCCACTTGATAATTATGTAGTAATTTAGAAAATTAGATAATAAGCTGCTCCCTGTAATGACCTAGACCAGCACATGTTGTTATTGCTTCAACTAAGAAGATACACTCAGCAGATGTTTTTGCAAACCTGAATGTTATAATCATCTTAAATTAAGTCCAGATCCGAAGAAAACATTTTAATGAACTTGTTAACAAGGTCAAACAATACAATTATTATAATAACGTCCATGAACCAGATCTGTTTAGGGCTTCCGTACATTCAAGACGAGCCCACTAACTGTTAGCTAGCTTGCTAAGAGAGTAAACAGCGTCTGTTACAACCGCACACGAACTCTGTACGACCAATTATACGACCACGAATAGATATAACCATATGATTACAACTTTACTAATAATTTATGTTACTAAACACAGGACATTCATACAACTTGTAAAAGCATGAAGCTAACGGCTAACGTTGTGCTCTTGCTAACGTTTTCTCCCAGTGAACCCGGTGTTCCGCAGAGTTCTGCTACCCTATCAAATAATGTTCCAACTCTAAAACCGTTTAAATTAATGCTCAAACATCGAGACATCCTCTGTTTTTACCGTATATTTAAATTTAACATTTTCTTATCCATTTCAACAGCTAAATTTTGGCTAAAATGAGAGTAACAAACACATCTTATGCTACAATAAGCTGCGTCTGTTTACAGATTCAACATGCTGAACTTCATTACCAGCTTTATAACACTCACAGCAGAATTAATATGCTATTAAAAACAGCTTTAAAAAGGTTTAGAAGCTTGATTGCATAAATTATCGGCATTATTGCGAGTGCTGAAGATCTCTGCGCATGCGCAAAGGGGCACAAATCGACTGGTAGCAGAATTCACCGGCACATCAGTCCCAATCAATATGTCTCTAAGAAATTCGCAAAAATACAAACAGAAGTAGATCAATAACTTGCTCATCTTATGAGGGCGTGGATTTTCTAGTATTTCCCAAACGAATCTGTTAATGTGACAGTCGATATAGTTTGTAGCCAACAATTCTGAAGTTAGCATAATTAGCGCAGTGACGACGTTATATTGTACAATAATGTTCGTGAAGTCCTGGACAGACATCAGATATCACAGAATAAACCTGCTCCATGTAAAGCTGCTGTTATCTCGTTGCCATGGCTGTAGGAACGCTGAGCAGCTGATGTTCAGTCCGCAGATAATTCAGCAGCTCCCATGCTCTCCTTTAGCACAGAAGCTAATGCTAAAACGCTAAAACTGCTCACACACTCACCTGGATCAACTTCAGAAAAGAGCTCCTCAAAGGTAGATCCGGTCTGCTCTCCCCGTATTAACGTATCGAGTGACTACCGTGGTATTCCTTTACCTCAGAGGTTAGCTAAAGCTAACTCCAGTACGATGCTGACATGCAGGAGCAGCGGTTCAAATCTACTGGTTGTCAAATCCTTCAGAGACCTCTCCACTCCGACCCCTGACCCTGCAGAGAGTGCAGCAGGAGCACGGCGACCTCTAGTGGAAGGATGGGGAAAACCCTAACTGTAATAATTAACCATAGGCTGTATCTCATTTCAGAGACCGCATCGGGCTAAGTGCACTTCTGCTCCGTCGAACGGTACATTTCAGAGCAGTGGATTAAACATGATGATCATTACTTCATGAAAATACAATCAGACCGAGACGCTAAGGCAGAAGAACTACCACATCTGCAGTGCTAAATGATTAATATGGTGATTATTACTTCAAGGAAATGATAAAGAAATAATCATAAATGTTCTTCCTTGAGCTGCGGCATCAGGCTGTAGTCCGTAACGGACTAGCCCGAGGTCTAGCTACAAACAAGCAGCTGCTGGAAGAGAGTAGGTGAGTTGTGTTTCGTCTCTTTGCTAAAGAAATTAGTCAAAGCTAAAAAAATGTTTGGTGGCTAGTACTATGTCTGTGACCCTATATGTCCTGTTGATGAAGTTAGGTGCTGTTCTTAACATTATTTGTGGCTATAGAGTGGAGGTTTGGTCGAGTGCGTGGCTCTCTGTATCGCTATCCTGCGGCCGTTACTAAAGTTGGTATAACTAGAGAAGCAAGCGGTCGGCAACATTCATCTCTGCAGGGGGTGTCTAACTCAGGGTTTAAGGTGTGTTTGACCCTAAATTTTGACGTGGGATTATCCCTTTAAGTTTTAAGTGAGTGCTGTTCCCTTTAATGTCACATATTTATCACTGATTACAAACAGTCTGCATCCACAGCATGCTGTCCACAGACCAGGACATGGACAATAGTGTGTTTCTGTAGTAGGATTGATTTTTCCTTTTTTATAAAACCTCACAAAGAAAAGATGAGACAGAAAAATGCAGATGTCCTCCCAGCAGACAGTCTGAGGTCCAATCAGGCTGGTAGAACCGCCCAGTACACCGACCATTTTGACTAGACAATAATTATTTGTATTTCATGTTGATATAAGAGTCAATCAGTGATGCTGAAGCTGCAACTACAGAACAGCGCTGGACGTCCCAGGAGCGAAGAAGGAGGCTCCTTTATCGTGGACCTTATACTGAAAGAGTTTCTTTGGAGTATACTGGCCCGCAACCGGTCTCCTCCTCCAGCACACCTCCACCTGAACACAGAAAATATGTTCATTTAATCTGAAAATTAACAGTCTAAAACATTCATTTTAGTACGTACTGCTGATATACTGTCCTCATAACTCATTTAAAGTCTGATTTATCACCTTTTATACTTATTGATGCACATCAGCACTGCCTCAGTCAGATATCGAGATTTAAAATAAGTTTATTTTTCATGAAAAGATTCAAAATTAAGTGTAAAGGAAAACTGCTCAGACTCAATCACACACCTGTCCATGGATTTCCCTGCAGTAGCCCGTGGGGAGACCCTGTACATGCAGCGTGAGGCTGCACTGGTGGGTCAGACCCTTCAGAAGTCTCTCTGAGCCTTCATCATCTCCCTCATCCTCCTCTTCTTCCCCTTCACAGCGTGTCAACATTACCATGCTGCCCTGCAGTCACAGTTAAAGTGACAGTGATGAGACAGAATAAAGTTAGAGATCCACATCATCTCAGTTTGAACGTGTAAAATCAGCTGTACTCTGACCTTCAGCTGTGAGCACACGGTGGCTCTGCAGTAGTGGCTGAAGTCCAACACGGCGCCGACGCTCACCCCCAGACTCAGCAGCACGCTGAGGTCGTCCACCAGCAGCACAGGGGGTCCCCAATCCTCTGCTCCATCAGGACTGTTCAAACTGGACCTGACAAACTCATACAGACTCTTCAGACCAGCAGCAGGATCCCTGAAAGAAGGATAGAGATGAGAGTGGAGAGCTGTGAGACCAGTTAGAGACTGTTTTCTCCAGATGTGTGAAAGTTTGAAACGACTTTATATGAGAAAAAAATGCATTTAATTGTTAATTAAGTTGCAAAAATAACTCTGAAAAGAAATGAATCATTCTTACCTGAGGAAGTCCATGGCTTGACTTCCTGCGTTGTCCTCTTGAGGGATCAAAACAGACAGCGACTCACTCAGTCCCTCCAGAAAGACCAGCTGGCCTTTCTCTTTGGCCTGTAACAAGCTTACACCCTGAAGATACACAATCACAACACAGATCAGCTCACAGTTAGAAAAGGGGCATACAGTTATTAACTTCACTATTCAACCAGTTATTCCTGGTCCCAATTAAAGTTAATTTTACTAAATAGTTATTGAAGGAGAAAACTGTGTTGAGGAGGACCAGCATAATTGGGTGTATTTAACCAAAACCTACATCCAAAACTTTTCTGAATAAGCTGTACAATGCATCTTGAGTTCAGTGTTTGAAAGGTGCAGAATCCAAAGGTACAGAGTGTAGAAATGGAAACGTTTTGCCAAATCTCGTGGTCAGATTCAAGACTGATTGACACCCTTGTTAACCCCTCCCACCAGAGAAATAACGGCGGCCTTAAATTCGGCCTAAAAGTTTCTGCATCAGACTGTCACAATAGATAAATCTAGGTTTGTAAAATTGCAGTAAAACGTATTTTCTTCAAACTTTTCCTCATCTGGAGCTCAACATAAGAGTCGTAACTTTTCCTCTCAATCAAAATCAAATGAAAGTTTGTGACACATTCAAATGGATAAATCAAAAATCAATCAAAATGGAAGCCCCCTTAAATTTGCACCTTCTTAACTGAATTAAACAATGAATTGGGAACATACAGGGTAAGAAATATAACAGATGAGACTCACCAATCTCTGACTGACTGCATGGTAATGATTGAAGGACTGAACCAAACCCAGGAAACACACTTTACAGCGAGCTGACATAAAAAGAGAGAGAGAATACATCAGCTGTGGTCCAGATCCTCCTGGACAGACTGTTACAGGACTGAGACAGGTGTTTAAGACTCACCTTTCAGGTAAAAGGAGAGGAAGTGATGTATGAGGAAAGAGGCATCACTCTGTCTGTCTGAGATGAGGATAAATTCACCCTGAAAGTTTGGACAAAGTTAGATAGAACCATCAGAGAAATCTGCTGTAAATCCTGGTTTAATGAAGGTTTGGGTGATTTTAGCATAAAGAACGATGAGTGAAGACGTTACAGAGGAATGTTTAGTGTAGTTTAGTGTATTTGTGTGTAATGTAGACATGTAATAAAGAAGTGAGATCCTCACCGGTGTGATGCTGTCAGGATTGGTGTTCAGGATGCTGTTCAGCTCTGTAAACATAGCTAACTCCTTTAATATCTTGTTCGTAAATCAATATAAATTGAGTGTAGGTGCGCTAAAACAATGTTACAGTTTAGGGCGTGTAAGTAATACTCAATTTATTGATCTTCTAAAGGTTTAAAAGTAATGTCAGAGCGTCCTATTAACGTTTATTTGACTAATTTCTTCTCCTCTGTGCTAACAGCTAAGCTAACATCTACAGCATGTGTTCAAAGATGAGTGAATTTCAGTAAGATGTCTCACTCCGTACCTCGACAAATCAGAATCAGAATCAGCTTTATCGGCCAAATATGTGAACACATACTAGGAATTTGACTCCGGTAAACGTTACCATGTGTTTACAAACATCAAACATGAAATGGTACAAAAAATTACGAAGTATGTACAAGCTAGGACATTTAATTTATGTGTAGAAGAGGATCACAACGTTGCCGTTAGCAACCTCCAAATGTAGTAAATATTTTTCATTGCCTACCATAATGTGAAAACGAAAATAACGAGCTTGAAGACTATGAAGCTTTTTTAAAAACACGAAGAAAGGACAACTCATGATTTGGCCAAGATTGGTTGCCATGGTGACACCTATGGGGTTTTAATTGAATAGACGATCTTTGCAGCCGAGTTGTAACTTCTTCGTTGTGTTTCCATCTCAGTTGGTGAGACGCTCCTGCGCCCCCTGCTGGTGAAACAGCATATCTTACGTATCCAAACCAGGTGTGTTTGTAATATTACAAACGTAAAGAAAACTAATATTGTCCAACTGACCTATTTTACATTTTATTTTTGAGTATCTTCACACTTACGTCCAAGGACTATCCTGTTATTGTTGTATGTATTCGTTTATTCTTGCTGATTTGTCTGTTTGCAGTCCAAATATAGTCTCACACCAGCTTTATTAATGATGTGATGTTGTTGCAGGTTTGTTTTAAGGTGTTATATTCTACCACATAACCTGTAGACATGCACATTGTTGCTAAAATATTAAATACAGATCTTTATTCTTAAAAAATTAGGGGGGAAACAAAATGTGTGTGATTGTGTCAGCCTTGTGAAAAAAGTGCATGTCTATCTCGTGATTAAACAGGCAGATTTTTGTTAGTCATCCATCTTATACTGGAGCGTCATGTAGAGTAGATGATTAAAACCCGCTCTGGTAAAATGGGAGGACATCAGTGCGTGGTCATATCATGAATCAGCAGATGGCAGTGTCGCTCTGAAGCTGCTTCATATCAAACCGGTCATAACTGTGACTGCAGTGAGTCTGGATTTAAATCTCCAACCAGATTTCATGATGACCTTCTGCTCTCAGGACGGTGTTTCCATTCCTGATGCGTCCTTGTGCACACCTGAGCATCTTAACTGCAGCGTTTCTGAGCTTCAAATAGATGTGTGAGTGCATCTCCACCAAACAGACTCTCACCTGTAAACCAAATCCAGTTCAGGTGATAAACAATGCACATCAAGATCCATTAGGCTGCACATAACACAGATAAACATACACCAGATTTATTTTTCACAGCACAAAAGAATACACACACTTTGACATGTGAGAGGAGTCGTGTTGATGACCCTGATGAGCTTGTTTGTTCTCAGACCGCCCTTATGTGTCGGCGCAGATTCATTAATGTGAAAATGAATTCATGTCTTTCTGTTTCTGCAAAGGTTATCCAGGGTTAGAAACTCCCACGGTCCCTGAAGTGTTCCTGAACATGACGCTGCGGCTGAACAACATCACAATACACAATTAAATCCACGTCAAAACAGTGTTTATGTTGGCAGACATGGATGCACTGTAAAAATACTTGTGCGCTTTTTGTTGGTTTATTCACTCACTTACATCTCCAGACTTATAAATAATCAAACAAATGAAGAAAAAGAAAACAAAAGAAATGCAAACACTTTCTTTTCTTGCACCAGAATCCTGTAACGTTAGCTCAAGCAGACCAGACACACAATAAAACCGCAATATTTCACTGAATTAAAACCTTTTCTTGGAGTTTAAGATGCCCCTCTCTCTCTATCCTGAGACACCGTCACAGCAGGAGGAGGTCCCGGTTCTCAGAAAACAAAAGTGCGAACCAGCGTGATCTTTCCCTGATTACTTCCCAGAGACTTTATGTTCCCTTTAAATACAACATAAATATATTCACCTCATTTTCAAGATGACAGCTAGATATGAGGCCCGCTCCATCAGGGAGTGCAAGGGTTCATAGTCCACCGTATGGGCCTCTCGTAGATGACGGAGGCGGGCAGTGAGCGAGTGCTGACGGGGCTGCAGATGGAGCAGGTGGGAGAAGGAGGATCCTCGTCGTCCTGCCATCGCAGGACTCGACCTTTAGTCCTCTCTCTCCTTGAGAACTTCACGGCTTTGTTTCGTGGCCCGTTTTGGAGTTTGGGTTTGGTTTTGGGCATCCTGCTGAGGTAGATGTCATAGTGGGCCAGAGGACCCCTGGCAGACTGGAACTTGGCCTTTTTAACGAGGTGGATCTCCAAGTCGATGGATACCTGCCAAAAGAAAATCAGCAACGATAAAGTGATTGAAACTGATCTGAACGGACTGTTTTTGGTTTTTACCATGTTTTTCATATAGGAGTTTTTAAAAATGACAATGGTAGACGTTAGCAAGGTGGTGCTTTGAGCTACATGTTAATGTTAGCTCGCCAACAGCCCTTCAGGAATAGTGCTATAAGCTAAGGAGCGTGACCATGAAGCAGCTGTACTGACATTCGAAGGGGAAATCTTGCTAAATTTTAAAGAAAAAGTCAGAAGATCACCTTGTACCAACGTTCAGAGCAATCAAACCAAGAGTTGTTGGGATATTTCTGACCTGATCTTCACTTCCTGTTACTGAGACTTCAATGATTAACTTGATTACTTGATTGTAATCATACTCATTGGATTGGCCTCCATTTATGCATGTTAATGTTCAAGTCCTGTGTGCACACCAAGGTCAGTGATGGAGTTCCACAGGGTTCAGTGCTAGGACCAGTCCTGCTCCCATTATAAATGTTTCATCTGGGTAGTTTTATCAAGAAACAATCCATATTTTTTCACTGCTAAGCAGATGACACTTGATTATATTGACCAACCGTAACCAGAGGAAACCAACAGATTAACTTCACTTGAAGCATGTCTCTAAGATCGGGATGACCAGAAACCTTCCGCAACTCAATTCTTACAAAACTGAAGTTATTATTTTCAGCACCAAACACCTCAGAGAGACATTCTCTACTGATATAACTGCAGAAGATTGGCATCAGTCTAGCATCTGATCCCACAAGATGGGACTTGATCTTGACCCTGATGACCTCCTCCTTCAGTGCAGACTAGACCATCTCTTTGTGTAAAGCATCTTGAGATGATATTTACTGTTAAATGTGGCTGAATGAAAAAAGTTCAAAGACTCAGAGAGAGAAACTGGCCTCTCTGGTACCTGAGCCATGGAGCAGGAAATCTAGAGGTTAAAAAGAGGTCAAAAGCAAAGAAGAAAAATCTGAATCTTACGAGAATAAAGTCGCATTATGTTGTGAGAATAATTCATGACGTGTCTTCTTTGAAAAGTTTCCCAACATTGTCCTGTTAGGGCGCCTGCACAATGCCATCCTTCCATCCATCTTCTACCGCTTATTCCCTTTAAAGATCGTGGGGGGGCTGGATCCACGCTCACACCTATGTGCAATTTGAAAGTGGCCCATTTACCTAACCCCACTTCTGCACGTTTTTGGGATGTGGGAGGAAACCGGAGTGCCCGGAGTTAACCCACGCAGACACAGGGAGAACATGCAAACTCCAAACAGAGACGTCGGATTCGAACCCAGGACCTACTTGCAGGGAGGCGACAGTGCTAACCACTACACCACTGTGCCTGATGTGAAATAGTGAGAGTTCAGTATTGAAAACTGTTTGGATTTCCAGGTTGACGTCAAAAAAAGAAACCACTTTTTTACTGAAACAATCTAGAACTGAGTTTAATCAAGCAGCTCCTCCGGCGTCTTAATTATCAGTCTTCCTCATGTACGTTGACATCCTCTGAAGCCGCAGCCATCAAACCACCTCCCTGCCAAACCAGTCACTCATTCAACACGTAGCCCGATAGAAAGAGAGCAGGAGGGGGGGTGTTGCTCTGCTTCAGACGGGTAATGTATCTCTGCATTTCCATCAGAAAAGAAGCCAAAGGGTCCTGTTCTGATCATCAGCATTCCTCAGAGCCTCATTAGTAAACGAGACGGTGCCAGAGCGATTCATTAGACTTTAACCCCCCTCGCTTCTCTCTCCTCTTCCCTTTGGGTTTCAATCCCTTCTTTTCAGGCGGCTTTGTAAGGCACACTGTGTGCATGTGTGCGTGCATGCATGTAAATCTGAATTAAGAGCACCGTGCACTTTTCTCTGTGAATTCAGCTTCAAGATTTCTGCAACCGTGTTTGTGAGGACGGTCCATTTTGTGTTTCTGTGAGCATTTTCATTTTTCATGTGTGCTTTTGAGTCGACATACATCCATGACTCTGTGTGTGTGTGTGTGTGTTCTGTGAGTGTGTGGCACCATCATGCGTGCATGCGTGTCTGCAGCAGCCAATCACGGAGGCCCCTTCAAGATCCTAACACCATCATTCCACCACATCGTCAGCCAATCACAGACGGCTGATGAATCCCGAGTCCCAGCAGGTTTGACTTGGAGCAGCAGATAAAAAAAAAAAGAAGAAATCCTAACATGCCTCTCCCATGTTCTCCGTTTCCTATTTCCTTTCCTTACCCCCTCAGTGCCCCCCATTCATATTTTAACCCCCTTATAGAAGCGCACAGCTCAGTTTTTTGGATTCATTGACATAACTTTACTGTTTCACATGGTTTAGAGGATATGATATGAGAGGAAAATTATTTATTTTCTGATCAATTGGAGAAGTTTGAAGGTTTTCCTCATTAGTACGACTTCCAACCTTTAACAAATCTGTAAACATTACCTTTTTAAAAACCTCTGAGTGTAAAATCAGACAAATATGGTGACAGAGTGACTGTAAATATTGACGATTTATCATTTCACTGCAACACCAGTTTTAGATCTGTATTTAAAAGTGATAAAATGATCATTTTTACTTAATTTACTGCATCCTCTTACTGCTGATCATACAAATAGACAGATAATGCATCTTCCCTTACCTGTGTGTTTAAGTGTGTTTGTGTTTAAGTGTGTTTGTGTTTAAGTGTGTGTGTGTTTAAGTGTGTGTGTTTAGGCGCAGTGAGAGAACTGTAAGTGACAGCTGGGCAGCTGCGGAGGAGAGGATTAGGGTCGTCTGGAGAGATGGCGGGATTTAACTTTTAACCTGATGTGAAGTCAAGAGCGGCGCTAATGCTCCGATAGGCGACACTTTATCACTTGATGTCTGCAAAGCTGCCGAAGAGACTCTTAATCTGCCTCGTAAGTGTGTGTGTGTGTGTGTGTGTGTGTGTGTGTGTGTGTGTGTGTGTGTGTGTGTGTGTGTGTGTGTGTTTGATGTGTGTGTTCGATGTGTGTGTGTGTGCGTGTGTGTGTGTGTGTGAAGGCAGAGGAAACTGGGGGGTCACTGAGTTTGGATCTTGTTTGCTGAGATTGTAGCATCAGAGTGGGTTTCCATGGCAACAACGCTCCCTCTGTCTGAAGATGCATGAAATTGCCGCCAGCAGCAGATAAGTGAGAGCGAAAGAGAAAGCGAGAGAGAGAGAGAAAGAGAGAGAGCGAGAGAGAGAGAGAGAGAGTGATAGAGGAAAAATCTTCAAAAGGTCAGCAGTAAGCAGCGAATTACACACTTACACACAGACACACACTTCCTCACACACACACATGCTAACAGAGGTTAATGTGTCCTTTTACAGCTCTGACAGACACTGATCATTCAGCCGCTCCCTCACTCAGAGGGATCAGGTATTGTCCAAATCCACGACGCGGCTTTAAATCCGCCTCTTCAACTCCTCTGAGCTCTGACAATCATCCGTCTGAGGTTCACCTGAATGCTTTGTCACATGTTTTCAGCGTGTCCTTGACCTCTCTGATCTGAATCAGTCTTATTCTTATCAGGACAATCATTACGTCTCAATAAGTCCTCTTTGAATAATTCAGCAGCAGTCGCACAATCACAGACGTCGTAGAAGTTTTGAGATGCACTGTGATGGAGTTGAAACGCTCTGTGTAAATGACACTCAGCCTCTCATTTTTCAGTGGCTGTGCGGATGTTAGTGTCTGCAGAGGTAATTGATATATACTCACTTTTGGCTGCTGCAGCGTTTTATTTGACACCAGCAGCAGAAAAAGAGACGAGTTAAGAATCGGCAAAGACAAGCATCCTGAGACTGAGAATATTTCTGCACAGATTTGGTCTTTTGTTTTGTGGATTGGGATGATGTGGTTTTATGACAACATACATGTAGATTAATTTTCATTTAATACTGGTCTTTAATCAAAGTAAAGAGTCAGAGTCTATAATTGACTCTAAACAGTATTTGTCAGTCAGACTCATCACATCAAATCACTCCATGAAAAGGACAAAAATCACAATTTATGGTTTTACCTTACCTGTTGACATATTTCTCTTTTAGTTGGCTGTATTATTAAACTAGCTGGTTAAAAATATATTAAACTTCAGATCTTGGATGCTGGTGACTGTAATAATGCTGTCGACACAAGTTGTAGGAAAATTTTAGATCAGCGTTGGGTCAATTTCTTTACCCAAATAGTGTTTCTAATAAAATTATCTAATACTGAATTCACATGATGGTGATGATGAGGAGGAAAAATGCTGCCCACTTCAGATGTAGCTGTCAAGATCCAGAGTTAAACAATGAGGAAAAGGCCCAAATGCAGAACAAAAATGAATTAAATAAAAAAGCAACAAAAACTTATTTTAAATGTCCGACAGAAAAAAAACACAAGGGGCAAAATCCAAGGCAGCAAAAATCACAGGGGATTCACGGGGAAGACAAGCACACACAAACACCGACAAACAAACATACAACACAATGAACCAACACAGAAACAGGGGAAGGTTATATACACACAGGGAAACGAGCAACGAGAGGCAGGTGAGACACTGAGACACAGGTGAGGACAATAACAAAGGAAGGAAAACTGAGGAAATAGTAGACTAGAAACACAAGGAATCAACTACTACAAAATAAAACAGGAAACACTGAAAACTGACCTAAAGAATAAAACACTGAGAACATGAGGGAAACAGGGTCAGACACAAACTGAAAACTCACAAGACTGGATCACAGGTGAACAGAAACACAAAGAAAATACACTATTAAAAAAAACAACACAAGGAGAAAACTAAGATCACAAAACATCATGACAGTAGCTGCCGAAATTCGATCGTCAGGGAGGAAAGAAAAAGATGATTCCAGGGCTCAACAATGGGACTGTTTCACTCGCATTTGCGATGTTTGTGAATTGTAAAATGTATTTAGGGTCACATGCGCATAAAAAAAATCAGCCGAGGCAACAAAAGTTTTTTCATGTAAATACGGCGGTGAAGTTAGTTTTAGGTTGATCTACTGGTGTCTTTTAAGAAGGGACCGTCAATAAATTACCGGTTGATGTTCTCAAAAAAGGCTGTCTTCCTTTAGTAGCTTCCATGTCACGTGACCAACGGACCTAAAATTAATTTCAAATAATAGCACTAAGGTCGGACAATAAGACACATCTCTTTATTTCCCTCATCTGTCCTCTAAAAAAGTTTGGTGTTAAATTTGAAGGCAAATTTTGAACATTTCCTTCAATAGCTTCCATGTTATGTGACCAAAGACCTAAAATTGATTTCAAATAACAGTTCTCATGTCGACCAATAAGACAAACATTATCTGATCAATTTTTATTGTGCCTCTAAAGTTCTTTGTGTGCTCCTTACTTTTTCAACTTGGTAGCAGATGTGAAAAAAGTTAGTGTCAAGCCCTGGATACTGTCTTTGAATCTGAACCAGATCCCTTCAGGGTATCAAGACCCAGATTCAAAGAAAACTTAAGGAACAAAGGTGCTGGTTTGGACTGGTTTGTACTGGTTGTATTGGGGATTTTAATACATGTAATTTGTGGTTTAATCTGGAGGGCATTACAGTTCAATGATGCTTAAATCTGCATATTATGACTCTAAATCGAGGATTAGAGAATTAGCAGCACTAATAGCATTAGCTTTGTTGTCTATCTTGGACGGTATCAGATTACATCATCTTGTTAAAAACAGAATAAACTCGATCTGAGCTTTTCCTCCTCATCCTCCTGAAGACGACGGGCAGAAAGGCTCAGTGTTACTCTGAGGATGACAGCTACTCCCCCGTTGTGCTTCACTTCTCGCTGTCGGTAGCGTAACACCACTTGTTGCCATGACTCCCTGCCTCCCTCTGTCAGTGAGTGTGTGTAGGTGTCTGAGCATGTGCAGTCATGTCCTTCTGCCTGTGCCAACTTTCACACGTCCCTGAGAGTCTGTGCTAGTCTAGAAAAAGGTCTGACAGGAATCAGGGAGTGATAATCACTGCTGTTGCTGTTTTTGCGACTCTTCTCCTGCTGTTTACTCTGTCCTCTGGGGGTCTGAAATGCCCTCTTACCCCCTCCTCTTAATGTATCTGGAAAAAAGGAAAGTGCACTCAGACCTTCCCCCACCCTCCACCCATCAGCACCCCTCCACCCTGGGAAGGATCTGCTACAATGACGCTGTTTAACCCGTTGCTTTCAGCGATCCAAAGAGGCGAGCCGACAAAGAGCTGGCAATGCTGCGGCCTCTTCTGAGACCCATTCAGGGCTGTTTATCACACCAGAGACGGGTTTGAGCGGTGAAGTAGCACTGCAGTCCTTGTGGGAACCAGGACAGAACTAACCTCAACCAATAAGACCAAGTCAGGGGTCGAGATGAAATTTACTGTCCGCTTAAGGACTGGACTTGATTTAAGGCCCCAAAACCCATGTACCCCAAGCTATTTCTAAACACTCTCGCTCTTGGACTTGGGGAAAGACTTGTCCTGAGTGACTTGAGACTTGATACTGACTCTGCTTTGACTCCCCTCAGACCTGACTCGGACAACACTCAAATTTCTTACTTTAGTTCATCTAAAAAAATGTCCTTGTTTGGATAACGAGTGACCTGACTTGGACTTGTGTGATGTTCAACTTGAAACACGATTTGACGGTTTCTTTGTGAGACTTGACTTGGGTTATCCTCTGGAAAATGGCTCAAGACTTTTCATGACTTTCATGATTTGAATAATTCTGAATTTCTTTTATATGTGACTTGGACCAGACGAGTCTAAACGTGGGTCTTCACCAGCTTAATTTATAACCTGACCTCAATTCATCACAATTAACTAGAGAATAGGACTTATCTGAAATGACTTGAGACTTGTCTTGCCTTAAATATAAAGTTACTTGATGCAGATTTGTGCCAAATGGGATCCAGTTTGGCCAAAAAGCTTAAAAAGTCTGAAAAATACTGAAGTCATGACTTGAGACTTGCTTGACTTGGACTTGTCCCAAAGATTGTATTTTAAACTTGTACTGAGTCATGCTAACTCAGCTTGCAGGTCTTTAATAAACTCAGAACTTTAGACATGACTCAACCTGGACTTGTTAAACACAAATTTTGACCAGCCATCTTGCACTTGTCTCTAATGACTTGAAATTCGCCTTGACTCTCAAATGACTTGTTCAAAATTGTTTGAAACTTGTCTCAACTCAAAAGTGACCCAATATGGACTCGCTCAACATGACACAAGAGTTGAGACTTTCTTTGAAGGTTTTCAGAGATTTAACTCGGGACTTGTTCATATGACTTGACTTCAGTTTACCGCTTAAGAAGTTTGCTGAGGACTTGTCATGACTTTCTTTTGACCTGATTTGGACTGGAAAAGTCTTTAGCTGGGTGTTTCACCCAGAAATGTAGACCTGATCATAAATTTTCTTAAATAACTCGCAACAAGTCTTGAGTTGGGTCCAAAATGACTTGTAATTTTAGACCCTTTTGAAACGACTCGGCTCAAATTTCTCAGTTGTTCTCTTAATATTTCTTCATGTTTTTGACTTGTGATTTGGTTCGATCTACTTGACGTGGACCGGTCTAAACTGACTCGTGAAAGGACTCGGACTTGTCCTATAAGATTTCAGATTCAGGCTATACATAATTATAATGAATGTCCCATGAATGAATGGCATTATAAATGTGTGTGTGTGTGTGTGAAAGAGTGTGTGTGGCAGCGAGCATGGGAAAGTGACAGATGCTTTGTGAATGTATGAATGTGAAGTGTGCGCATGTGTGTGTCAGTGTGTGTGTGTGTCAGTGTGTGTGTGTGTGTGTGTGTGTGTGTGTGTGTATGCTCTTTTGTGCGAGTTCAGCCTCCTGAATAGAAGAAGGAAAGTTGTATAGCGCGGAGCAGAAACATGCGTGGGAGGTGTGTGTGTGTGTTGCTGTATGGAGGCCGGATGAATATGAAGAGTTCATTTCTAAACAATCGTTTCTAAAGAAAAGGTTGAATTCACAAACACTGACGACACCGAGTGTTTGGACGGCAGCGTTTCTCCGAGGCATCAAAATCAAAAATCATTAACTCTGAGTGTGTTACTCGAAGAGATGAAGGTAGCAAACCAAACCCTAAAGTAAAAACTTAAATAATGCATGCATCTGCATAAACTCAAAGACCCCGAGTTTTCCTTATCATGTTTACTTTAGTCATACTCCTGCCTAGCAACCCTGAGAATAGGAAAAATGCCACTGAGCAAACACGGCTTCTATTAAGTGAATGAATTACAAGACTGATTTGCATATGCATGCGTACAAAACCAGCAACACATCAAGAAATTCCACTTTTTTGAGCTCTATTGTAGCGTTGCAGGGTTAACATGTCAAATTTAAGAGCCAGAAACACAAACTGCTCTTTTGTCGGCTGCAGAAACCAACAAAAATGTCTTTCCCTGCAACACACAAGTGAAGAAAACAAAGGTAACTTTTCACCTCAGACTGTTCCAGCTACAGAGCGAAGACGAGGAACAACACTCGCATTTTAACATGTTGTTTTGACTGCAGCTAAAAACACTCAAACCGTCACCTCTTCCTGTTCAGGGACAGATTCTGGATCACATGTGTAACTTATGCTGCATTTGAGTTACCTTAGAATTCAGAGGTCTGAGCTGAAAATGACGTCACACCAGAGTTCCCAGCGTTTCAGTCACCAAGTCGGAAAAAAGAAAAATCGGAGGCCTGAAACAAGATGGCTACATCTAGGAAAGTTATTTTAGCACTTGCCTTATATTCGGACAAGGCTTGTTTTCCGACTTTGTAACTGAAACGCTGGGAACTCGGGTGTGACGTCATTTTCAGCTCAGACTTCTGAGGTAACTTGAACCCAGCATTACTTCGGCGTCTGTCTGTGCTACACTGTACCCTCTCTTCTAAGTCAACATTCAGGGAGCCAATCAGTGCAGGTCTTTATCAAAGCAGCCCCGCCCACTCTAATCTCTGCATGGATAATATGTGTCACCTGGTTCTTAACTTGACTGATTTCGTTAGTCCTGAGTCCTAGCTTGTTGTGGCTCCTCCTCAGCCCTCGTTTATTATTATAAATAAATTATTCTGCTCATAACCTCTGGTGGTCGAGTCTTTTCTTTCATGAGATTTCAGGGTCTTCACTTACCTGTTAATCTTGCTGGCAGTTTCCCCACAGATAATGTTCATTTCCATGTGTTGTTGTGCTGCATGTCTAAAAAAAGATGTATGTATAAATCTCCTCATGTGCGTCTGTAAGCAGTTTTTCTGTTTTGCTAGCGTTAGCATGTTTGTACATGTGATGTGCGTCCAGCTGGAAGCAGGGAGACGTCTCTGGAGTCAGGAAACATGCAGAAGCAGCAGACTGGTACCTGGTGTTTTCTGTCATGAGGTGTGAAGACCATTGCTTCATTTTTGCCTCCTAACCTTCGCATCGCAGAATAAAACATAAAATCAGCAGCAAAATGAGTATTTTTTACACTGTAGTGAAACTTTGAAGAGTTTATAACTGATATTGTTTTGTCTAGTGTTGGATGCATCATTTTCAGGGTCATTTGAAAGACTCATATCTCACTTTTGACTCTTCTTCATTCCTCTTGTTACTCTACTTTTGCGCTAATCTGTTCCTGTAGTTTTCTGTCGTTTGTTTGTGAGGTGTATGTTGTCTGTCTTGATGGCTTTAAATGTTTGCCGTCTTTACCACATACAAACTTCATCACGGCCAAGAAAGCATTTCACCATATTAACATTTGTTCCTGTTATTGAGGTCCAAAATGTTGCAGCCCTAATGCTGACCAGGACAAGCTGGTAGTTCTGCTGCTGTAGGTTTAACCTGCTGAGGGAACTGGCACATTGAGCACGTTTCCCTCCTTTTCCATCCTCTTCCTGTCTGTGTCATTACCTTTGAATCATCATGTCCAATTAGAGTCACTGATACTCAGTCTTTTCTAAGAGTCTCTAAGCTCCATCATGCCGTAGATTCCTCTGGATCGCTGCTGCAGACGTGGACCTGCCTGCTTTCTAGCTGCTCCAATTACATTTATCAGTCTCACCATTTTTAAGACTTTTATAAAGCTAATCTTAATCTACTGGCATTGGTTTCCCTATTTTTATCACAAAAAAACATTTAAAGGCCATTGAATGTCGAGAAGTCGAATAATTCCACTATTTCCCCAAATTTCCACCAAATGCGGAACGGCGGCAAAAAGGCAGTTGGCACCAATCATCGCTGATAGTTTCCATTCAAGCTAATGTGTCAAATTCCTACGAAATCTTTCCAGCCCTCTGCAGTTCAGTTCTATTTTTTCCGGATGTTGCAGCATGCCGCATAAATTCCGCACAGATTAACCCGTGCTGGAAATGAAATCAGGCAAAGACACAAAACAAAACCTCCAGCTCCTTTTCAAAATAAAACTCTACATGTTTCAGGCGGATCATATTTCACACCATGCAAACCTGGTTTGTTTCGTAGATAAGTATTACACTTATTCATCTTACAAACGCATCCGGTAGAAATTGGCGGACAGCGAAAATCGCCACCATTCTGCATGAAGTGGAAATTAGGGGTTAGTTATGTTTCAGAGTCAGAGTTGTGTGAAAGTTTATGCTGATAACTTCAGTATCTGTAAACTAGGGTGACCATTTTCTGACTTACCAAGAAGAGGACACGACTACGAGGGGGCGGAGTCACAAAAAGTTAATTTTGAGAGTTTGTCGTGGAGAATCGAGTGTCTTTTACACACTTCTAACTTAGTAAGTCCACATGACACAAGCTGGAACTTGTGTACCAAACCGCAGACATTGAAGGATTTTATAAACTTCCCCGGACAAACCCTGACAGCCCCCGAAAAAGAGGACATGTCCGGGTAAAAGAGGACATACGGTCACCTATGTAAAGGCTAAGGTCATAAATGATTGAAACAAACCTGGATTTGTGTGTTTATGTGCATGTGAGCGGGGCAGCATTTCTACGACACACATCTACGAAGCCGCGTTAGAAGCCATGCAGACAGTTTTCGGAGTAGAGGGGTTAATAAAGGGGACACCACACAGAGGAAAACACAGGATCCACAGAGATCATGTTAAAAAGGTTTATTTCAACAACTGTCTGAATCTTGTTTGTTTATTCTCTGTTCGATAGTCCCAAAAAAGTACAAAAAAAAAACAAAAAAACAAGTACATCAAAGGATTAGAAATCACATCAATGAAAACCAAGACACATTGTGTTGCTTCTTTTTTTTTCTTGTTTTAAAATCAATCCGAGCAAATTTTTTTCCAATATTTATACATACTCACTGGATTAGTCAGACAAACATCAAAACCTCTCAGTAGCTTTATCTTTACGTTTTTTTTTTTTTTACAATGACGTTTTACGTACGTTTTAAACTTCTGTATGATTTCTTTCTTTTTACAAAATACACCAATGCAGGCAGGGGGGAGGTGTGTGTGTGTGTGTGTGTCCGTGTGTCTACATATAAGCGTGTTCATGTCGTCGTCTTTTCACTGTATGTGTATGCTTCTTATGTGTGTTCATGTATGTGTGTTTGTGTGTGTTTGTGTGTGCGCTAGGAAGAGAAAAGGAAGAGAAGAGTGACAGCAACAAGGGGGCGGGGCTGCGAAACAGGGACGTGATTGGATGTCAAAGGGGGAAGGGGACGGTTGCAAGGCGGCGGCAGGGTGAGGCTGGTGGAGGGTTTTACTCTCAGCTGGGGCAGTGGCGGCGGTGGTTGTGGTGGTGATGGTGGTGTACGTATTTTTTTGCAGCGGTAGAGGCCGCTTGGTGGCAGTGTTGCCGTGTCGGAGACGGTTGCAGACTGGGTTGGTTGGCTGGTTTGTTGACAGGCTGGTTTGTCGGTTGGTTGGTTGACCAGTTAGGCGCACTCGGCAGCGGATAGACGGAGAGCAGGGGAGGTTTTTTTTAGGGGAGGGGTTCCGTTGCCGGCGCACCTTGTTGTTTTCGTTGTCGCGTTGCCGGGTTGCTGGGGTTGTTTTGATTTTGTTTTCACATCATGTTGTTCTGCAGTGAGTTTACCTCCGAGTTCTCCTCGCCCAGGACCTTGTGGTTCTCGTGTTTGGGGGTCAGAGAGTTGTGGATGTTGAGGGAGTCGTCCTCCTTGGGCGGGGCCTTCACCGGGTCCTCCAGCTTGTTCTGGGAATTAGGATCATCCTACCCAGGAGGGATGATGGAGGTGGAGGGTAGGGGGCAGAAAGCACAGTTAGAACCACCACAGGACAGAACAACGTCATGCTGGGTTAAAATTTTGAGTCGGCCAATCGGTTAAAGTATTTTGAACGGCTTCTGTAGCCAAACTGGACCAAGTTACTTCTACCATGGTGCAAAGAGCAAAGAGATTCAACCTTCTTACTCAAAGATGATATTGGACAATTCTGCATCTCACAACTTACGTCCACGCCAATCTTAAGTGCAGGTCCAGGAGTAGCTTCTTGCTAAATGACCCATTTTTGTTGAATACTTGATTTCATGAATCAGGCAGAAGGTTAACATGTTGTTCACAGAACCGATTTAACGCGTTAGTCTGTCTGAAACCAAACTATTAAAACACATGAAAACACAGAATTGAGCCGAAACTGTCTCCGAGGATGCTCCGAGAGTTTGCACACAGAACTTTGGCCTGAACTGCATTTCTAGGAGGTCAGTTCATGAACAAAACCTCAACAGACAAAGACAGAAAAAAGACCAAACTGTAAAATCGTATAAACCAAAGTTTCAGAGCTGTAAAAGTGAGAGTTTTCATTTGACTGTTTTGGTTGTAATGGGTCAACTGGGAGACGACCCACTGGCATGAGTAGAAAAGAGGGTGTCTCATATCAAAGGTGGACATACATCTGGTAATAACCTTGTTAATCTAAACAGCTTTTAAACATAATACTGTTGTTTTCAAACTAGCTGACATAGTGAGGGAGATAACCTGTTAAAAAACAGATTAATGAGCTCTGGTAGAGTTGCAAATCAGCGATAAAGAGGGAATTGACTTGTGCATCGACGCTTTTATTGGAACCGTTATTTCCTGCACAACACCAGAGCTACCACCTTGCCGTGGTCCTGCCTTTACTAGTTGCCTAATTTCTGCTAACCTGCTCCTTATCATCATCGAGTTTCATATTTTTTATCATATTTTCCCCCTCTACCAGAGCTGACCGTGGCATTAGACACAACAGTCGTCACATATAATCAGGTGTTTTGCAGAATTGTCCAATACCAAGATGCCAATGGTCATCTGTGCTTGTTTACATCCAGGTAGTAGAGCTTTACAGCATCACGGCAGGAGCTGCAGTCTTGGCTAGCGGCGTTTGGTTTCACCTCAGACTTATCCTTCATTAAAAAATGAGTAAATCTGGAGCTCAGTATTAAGGGTGATGATGCTTACTTGACTAAAAGCACGCCTCATGCTAAAACAGGTATCCCAGCCGAAACAGGAGATCATATTTTACAGAAACCACCTAAGGCTGTGGATACGTGTAGAAGTAAAGCGATTCCTTTAATTTAGCAGCTTTGTAGCCTTAAAAAAAAAACACCAATATGCCTTAGAATGCTATCAAATGTTCAAAACCAAACAAGGTCAGGTTTTGCTTTGTAACTCTGAGCAAACACCCGTCTCAGTGTTTGGAGGCTCCACCGTCTGATAATCGTCATGCTCAGCCGGCATGATTCGTTTGGTTCACTACGCAGTGAGGTGAGCTGCATGAGCGACACCATCCAACCTCCCCTCCACAATCCCTCTCAGGCAAACCGGGAAGCACATGCACATCCACATGCAAGAAAAAAAACCCAAACCGTTGACCTCCCTACCTCCCCGAGTGGACGGTGATGACCGCTCATGCAGAATCTCCTCCTGCTTTACTCTTTTTTTCTTATTTAATGTCCCAAAATAAAAATTAAAAAAAGGGGGCAGATAAAACTCTCCATCCTGGTCTTTTATCTGTTGGTACCACCGTCATACATATCCAAAATGAGGTTTAATTCACGTGATCTTAATTAAGGTCAGAGCGGAGAAATAAATTGATTGAGTCCATTTTCGCTCTGTTTTCCCAGCCTCTTATCTCCCATTAATACTGCATGGCATCATCGACCCTGCTGCGCCCGGGCATCCCGGGGCATCTAGCTGTGTCTCTTTGTCCCACACACACACACACACACTGAAACACACACACACACACGATAATCCTGACCCGCAGGCCGATGCATTTACAAACACACCCTGAGTGAATGTTCTTGTTTGAATCAATGGAAGTTTGTTTTTTTAGAAAGTAAGAGCAGTGAGAGCATTTACCCGCTGGCTGCTGGCCTAGATAGTAACTTCAGGCAGGACGTGCGGATACGTCACTTCCATGGTTACGGGATAGGGGCCCTCTGTCCTCCCGTCAGCGTGAAACTGGAAAATGTGTTTGTTTGTTGGATTTCATTGGAGTGCATTGTTGGAGGTGGGATTGGACGGGCAGTGGGTGGGAATCACGGAGTCACGAGGACTTTAGAGCGGGTGTGTTTTTTTGGAAGAGGGGGGCTGGAAACAGAGATAAACAGGGTCTGATGATGATGATGATGATGATGATGATGACGATGGAGGCATGTGGACAGCTTGAGTTTGAAGTGGATTGTGGGTTAGCAGAGGGTTTGAACCCTTTTCATACGGCGGTCAATCATTTTATTCTGTTTATAGTGTCAGAGTGAACGACAATCGACGCCATGTTAGACCGTGACTTGACAGTAGTGGTACTTTACTCTTCTTTAGGGGTGTCCTGATACAACTTTTTGACTTATGATATGATACCAATATTGTAGCCGTCAATACTGACCGATACCGATATTGATCTGATATTGGCACAAAATTGTGAAGAAAGTCCTAAAAACTGATTTGTGATTTTGTCGTCTCACAATCTTTTTATCTTTTGTTTCTTTAAATCTTTATTTGCTTTGACCTGTTGTTGAAGATCTGACCGTTTTATCTCAGTTTTGTTGTATTTTGTTTTTCTGTTTCATTGAATTTTTAGACTCCTGCTGAAGCTTTGCCTGTTGGAGCTCTTTAGAGATTAAAAAACATTAAAATACAAGTTAAAGTAAAAGTTAAAGTGTTGTTTTTTGCAGAAAGTGATGGAGTTATTGGAAATGTGTTGATTATTTGTTCATGTTTGTTGTTTAAAGTATATTTTAAATAAGTTTTCTGTGAGTTTCTGTTTATTTCACGGAGCCTCTTCTTCGTGTGTTTGAATGTAAATATCCGGCGGTCATTAAATCTATTAGCTTTGGTTATTTTTTCAGTTTGGGTACATGTACGATTTTAAATATTTGTGTATGTTTCTGTGGGTGTGAGAGTCTGCGCTGCTGCTCTGTGTGTTCACTCTTGCTTGTGTTTACCCACTGGCTCTTCTTCCTGAGCATATATTTGTGTTTGCACAGGTGTGAGTGTTTGTGTCAGGTCTGTGTTTATGGAGGAATATGAACAGGAGTGGACCTGATCAAAACTTAGAGACGTCAGTCGGAGGTAAAGTCAGATTAAAGCTCTGCAGCGTCAGGACTCGCAGGTCAGCTCCGTTTTGATCCGTCAACCTCCGAGCTCACTCAGTCGCTCGATAGAAATGACATTTTCTTAGAAATTACAGCCGGCTCTGCTCGGTCAATTCATTCCCTGTGTCGAATTTATTTAGTATTGACCAAAAAAACAATCCCATCTCTGTGTTTTCTGCAGAGGAAACTGTGCGGCTGGACTCTGTCAAATTACTGTGAAGGGAAGATTGAGGACAAGTGGGTTCAATCTGCCACAGTGGACGGTGTTACTGAAGGGGCGCTTAAGAGTTTTGTGTGCTTGTGTTCAGAAAATACTGGTTAGTGTCTCTGCGTGTTCACAGAATAGACGTGTTCATGTCTGTTTTCGCACTTGCATGTAAACTCAGTTTCTTTTCCACCAACTGCAGCAGATTTTCCTGCGTGTGTGCAGCAGAGGAGGTGATTCATCATCCGTCCAGACATGCAACAAAGTCCCCTCAAGGTCAGCCGACTTCAGCAGCAGGTCTGATGCAGATTGATCTCAGAAATGTCTGTGCAGAGGGGAATTTTTGGGCAGCAGGTTAAGGCTGCATCATGCAACTGAAATAGACTTGCATGTAAACGTTACATTGAGGTGTAGAATCACTCTCTCAGATAGAAACTGATATATGAGGAAACGCCTGGAGGATCACGACCAACTGATCTGTGAGGCTAGAGCTGACAAGTCTGAGTGCTTCAGCTACAGCGAGGGCAGAGCAGCACGCACAGCGAGCTTTGATGATGCTTGTTCGCAGTGGTGGGCGAGTTACTTTAAAAACCAGCGGCAAAATAGAAATAACTCGTTACCGCGTCTGTTTGGTTCTGACCTGAAGCTCATTTATGCTCGCCATACGTATGAAAATATTCACGTCCGTTTTAAATGATGCTTCCGTCACTGCCCACATACTTTCATGCCTCCTTTACGTTGGCAGAAACATGGCGACTGTGGAGGAGCGAATGAAAATGTATATTTTGGATAAGAGACAGAAACGGAGGCAGCGTAGGAGGAGGCAGAGGTCGGTCAGGCCGCTAAATGCCTCATGGTGGGAGGACGGAGAATTCCTTTCTATAGCCGTTCCTTTCTATGAGAACGCTCGCCATTGTCTTCTTCGTTTCTCTCTCGAGATGTGTATCGGGTAGTAACAGCAGCAACACTGCCCCCTGTTTCCGGTGGTACTGCTCCGTCTGGCCCGTATCTGTAAACTTCAAGGAAATGTGCAGAAATACGGACGAAAAGAACGCGAAGCACGGACGGAGAGGTTCGTATCTGTATCTGTATGTAACGTTGAGCATAAATGAGTCTTTACAGATGATGGAGCTGCAAGTGATTTATGCTTCGTTTGAGTTACATCAGAAGTCAGAAGTCCGAGCTAAAAAAATGAGGTCACATCAGAGTTCCCAGCGTTTCAGTTACCAAGTCATAAAAAAGCAAAATCGGAGTCCTGAAACAAGATGGCGACATCAACAATAGTTATTTTAGCGCTCGCCTTATATTCAGACAAGGTAAGCGCTAAAATAACTTTCATAGATTTTGCTTTTTTCCGACTTAGTGACTGAAATGCTGGAAACTCGTTTTGGATGGACCGGGTCCTCCTTTGTCAGCCAAGCTAAGCTGCACCGGTGTTCGCCGCTCGCTGTGTGTTGCAGCTATTGCACATTTTTCCCCGTGCATATGTGGGCAGGCGAATGTTAAACCAGAAAAGTACTTCACTGCTTCAACAGGCGTTATGTAAGGATCCGATAATGTTGGATTCAGTCCCTGCAGCATATATTTTTTGTTTCAAACTGTGAAGATGGAAATAAAATCAGTTCTTTAATGTGATGTTTACACGATGTTGGTGAGTTTTTACACTGTTTTCAAGCATAAACTGAAACATTATAGAGCATTTTTACCATATTAGTGTTTGATTTGTTGTATATTTATATTAACAGGAGCTAAAAATTTTTTTTTTTTTAATTTCACATAAATTCTGTAAAGATATGTTGGTTGTATAATTTCATTTTTAGGTTTATGTCTTTATTTGTGGAGGGGGTGATACTTGGATTGATCCACTGACGAGTTGAGAGGAGGTGATTGACAGGGCCACAGTAACAATGAGAGAGCTGTTTAGGAAGGAGAGAGAGAGAGAGAAAAGGGGGCGGGGCTATCTGATATTCGGGATTCTGGTCTTACCTCGCAGTCGGACTCCTCTTTGGTCTTACACTCCCAGGTGTATCTGCTCATGGTTTTCTGAGGGGAGGGGGATGGGGCAAAGGGTTATACTCCTCAAAAAAAACTATACAAGCCATCCTCAGAGAGAGACGGGGACAGAGAGAGCGAGAGCGAGACAGAAACAAAGAGAGAAGACGAGACAGAGAGGAGGAGATAGAAGCAGACAGATAGAACGGACAGAGAGAGATCGAGTTTTGGAGACAGAGGACAGAAGTAGGAGTACGTTCCTTCAGACGTCGGCTGATATTCCCAGATCACTGCAGAGTCTCTGAGGTCAAACACAGACTCTGGTGTTTTCCCAAAGTTAGAGTAGGTTTGGTTATTTCTGGTGAGGTTCTCCACCGTCACAGGGTTTGGAAGGGGATCGGGGTTATTTGTTTTATTAGTGGGTTTATTTTGGAGGGAAATTGTGAGTTTTGATGGTTTTTGGTTTGGGATGGTCGATTGTTTACTGGGGTTTTGTTTGTGGTTGGATTGTGTGTTAGAAAATAAACCTGGACTGAATAGTTGCTGGAAATGTGTATTTATCCGAGGCGCAGTGGATAAATAAGAGGGCAAACAGGCCTCATTCGGATCCCTCGATGTAAGACATGGAGTTTACACAAAACTTCAGTTTAACTTTCCTGTAACTGCGCTTACAGTCTTATGTTTAGTTTCTAAAATAAGTCTTATTGGACTTATTACGAGACATATTTGCCTGACAAAAGTTTAATTTCTAGATATACAGATTAAAATTAGGAACAATATTCTTTTGTAATGGTGAAAAAATAATCTGCTAATGTGGTGAGAAAACTTTCCTTCCAAAGTTTCCTAAAATAAGAATAAAATCGTAACCTGAATCTAAAAAAACCTTCCTAGTTTGAGTTTACGGTCATGCACTCTTATATTAAATCTAAAGCCAAATCACAGCCGCAGTACTTAAAGTGTCCACTTGGAGCAGACTGCAAACACACTCATTCAAAAGAGCCCATCTTTGCAGCTCCAATAAATGTGTTTACAGCCTGGTTCGAAAGGCAGTGTGAGTCTGGATAGTTAGTTTCAATAGTTAGAGTTAATTTCTTTTTATCACACATTTTTCAGAGGAATAAGTCAATCATTGTTTCAATAATAGACTAACATGTTTTTATAATTAAGGACACAGTGGACACACGTTGCCTTTTTGTACGTTGACCAAAAGTTAGTTTGATTCAGCATTAACTCTGCTTTAGAAACACATAGGCGACATTACCAAGACTATGCCATGTCTGTACCACTCAATGATAATTAGCCGACTGTTACAATAAATGAAAATATACAGAACATTTAAATATTTAGCAGCGAATTTATATATTTGATTAAAAATAAAACCCATTCATCACAGCTCTGCTAAAAAATAGCATTAAAAAAACTCACGTTCGCCAAAATAAGGTGCTTTGATTATTCACAACAGCTGTTCAGTCCAGAGGATGAGGGTGATTTTGAGGTTATGACGTGTGGCTGGGTTGAGTTAGAAGGTCTGGATTTTGACATGGTTGTTAAGAGGGGACGATGGATGTTTAAATAACGAGGGATTTGATGTTTTTTGGGTCATGAAAATGGTTTTCAGATGATAGTAAAAGGAAAACCTTCATCAAGCTAGCATTAAAAGACGTTAAAACCAGTAAGAGAGAGTTAGCTTTTTTTAGCTTCATTAAACTACTGATGGAGTAGACAGAGGGTGGTACCACAACCTTTAAAAGAAACAAAAACAAAACAAGTTCTACCTCAGTTGTAGCACAGAACTACCCATGCTGCTACAACGTTAGCGTAGCCGCTACTAGCTACCCATGCTTTGGTTAGTGAGGCATCAGTTAGCTCTCCGCTGCCACCATCAGGCAGCAGCGAGACGTTGCATCTCAGATGTTTATCCTGATCCCGACCATTTCTCACATCATGTCCCGCATGTTAACCTTACCTGTTTGAGATCCAAACCCCCCGCCCCCCCAAAAACAGAGTAAACACTTTCCAAACCCATTTTCAGGATAAACAAACATTTCGTCATCATTTGTAAACAAACAGCAAAGCAAAGCAAAGCTGCAGCAGCTAACATGTCCACCAGGTGGCGCATGTTAGCGGCATCACCGAAATGCCATGACATACCGATGCAAGAGGTGATTAAAGAGAGAGCGGGTTAAAAAGAGACGGGTCGAGCGGGGGTCAGAGCGAGGGATTGTGGGAGTTTTCTCTTAAAGGGGTCAGGGTTAAGCCCAGGCTGCCTGTCTCTGTCACCGCGCTGCGAGGGGAGAGCATTACTGTTCAGACTGCACGGTTTCAGGGGGAGTTTGACCTCCGACCTCGACTGTGTTAATGCACTCAGCTGCTGCGTCTGCTGTCTGTCAGCGCGCCGCGAGGATGACACCGTTCAGTCAAAATACAGCGGAGGGATGTCGCCTGATGCGCCGGATTTTTCCAGACAACCTCTCCCTAAAGAAAGAACAATGTTTCCACAGCGGGCCTGAACTGTTTTCACTTTGACATTTCTTCAGCGTGTGCACGATCAATAAGTAATAAACCAGAGGAACCCAATCAATAAACACAATAAACTATAGGACTTGATGCAGCCATGGTAACAACCTGCATGCCCTCACTTTGAGATCTTACAAGTGCATGATTCAGAGTCACACCAAGTAGAAAAGAGCGATTAAATCAGCCTGTTTCACTTTTTCACCCTTTGATTTTATTTCTTTGTTCTCAGGTAAATTCACTCTGCCATTTTCACTCGCCTCTCACTGCAAATCTCCTCCTGAACGGACAAAAGCCTCATTAAGAGACATTTATTTCTCCGCTCTGGATGCACGAGGGACTGTGTTCACTGATGCAGTTTTTTTTGTCAAACTAAATACAGTTGAGTGTTTTCAGCACTCGGCTTCATGCAAAAAAAGTCGGACGAGTTTAAAGGCTGTTGAAGATTAAGTTGAAGATTGTTTCGACTTTTTGAGCGCTGTTATGTTTGACTAAATCACTTCCTGGTCACTGACAAATGAGAATCAAGAAAGGGCAGGACCTCTGATGTCGACTTTGCCATCATGTAAAACATGTAAAACTTTAGAGACGTCTAAATTTATCAAGCTAGCGTTAAAAGACGTTTAAACCGCTGAGAAACAGTTAGCGTTTTTAGCTTTATTAAACTACGACCTTTAAAAGAAACAAAAACAAACAATTTCTACCTCAGTTGTAGCAAAGAACTACCCATGCTGCTACAACGTTAGCGTAGCCACTACTAGCTAGTGAGGCATCTGTTAGCTCTCTGCTGCCACCTTCAGGCAGCAGCGAGATGTTGCATCTCAGACAAATGAGAATTAAGGAGTGGGACCTCTGACGTCAACTTCGCCATCATGGGATAGCAGAGAAGAACCTCATAATTACGCTACGGTTTCCAGGGTAATCTGACCTACTGTAATTTTCGGGCGATAAGGCGCACCGGATTATACAGCGCACTGTGAATTAACCAAAATCGTTACATATATCGACAGATTTTTAAGCGCATTGTACCACATAAAATTGGTCTGTAAGCAGAAGTAATCATACAGAAGGCGTGCTGGATTATAAGGCGCACTGTCAATTTTTGAGGAAATCTAAGGAATTTAAGTTCACCTTAAAGTCCGAAAAATACAGTATTTGTTCATTTAAAGGTGTCATTATTAGGGATGTATAAACAGAGTTTGTTACGGAGAACATTGTCAAGAAATAATAAGTGACAGGTCAGCACTTTTCAGTCGAACAAAAGCTGAAACCCTCGACATTTCCTGGTTCTGACTCCAACAAAGTTAGCATGATGATGGCGCCATGGTTAAAAACTGCACTGAATTTAAAGACATGACTCAGGGACATAAAAAGAGACTAAAAACTTCCTCAATCAGAAGAAAATGTACGTTTAAGTGACTGTTTTGAGTGTAATCCTGTAGATTAGCTTCACATGCAATTATGCTGCGTTCAAGTTTCCTCGCAAGACAGATGTTGGAGCTGAAAATGACGTCACACCCGAGTTCCCAGCGTTACTGAGTCAGAAAAAAGCATATGAAAGTCATTTTAGCGCTTGCCTTATATTCAGACAAGACAAGTGCTAAATAACTTTCGCAGACGTAGCCATCTTGTTTCCGCTTCAGATTTTGCTTTTTTCTGACTTGATAACTAAAACGCTGGGAACTCAGGTGTGACGTCATTTTCAGCTCAGACTTTTGACTCCTGAGGTAACTTGAACGCAGCATTAGATTAACTCAGAAATATCTTCATTAGAAGCTGCAACACGTTTGATCTTAACGTCTCATCTTTGTGCATCAAATACTTTCCTTCCCTGCAGCCTGAGAAAACTCCCCTCATCCTTCCTCCCCACTCCGACCCCCTCCCACCCTCCTCTTCAGCTTAGCACACCTCGGAGTCTCAGAAAACACTCATGCCCATGCATTAGGAGGGGTTCGGGAACCAGGGGGCCCGGGCAGGGTTTGCGGGGGAGATGCAGAAAAAGGGGGTGAGAGAGAGGCGAGAACCACGTTACCTGACAGATAATGTTATCATAGTAAGCCAATGCACGGGCATGAGGGACGTTAGGAGGGGTGTCGCACAGTTTCCTTACATTTGGGTGGGAGCCCTCAGCGATGGTGGACAGCGAGAAATTATCATTGTGCGTCTCCGATGTAGGCCGGTACTTACTGCTGGGTGTGGGAAGACGGAGGGAGGGAGGGGTGAGGGGAGGAGGAGAGTGGAGGGAAACAAACATGGTGAGGAGAGAAGAGAGGGATAAAGAGATTTTAAAGAGGTGGCAGAAACGAGCGAAAGTTTGGAAACGAGAAATGGGAGAGGAGAGAGAAAACGAGTGAAGATGGAAAGAGGGGTCAAGGGTTAAGAGGGTGAAAGCGGTGAAATTGGGGAGCAAGATAATGAAAAGAGGATTGAGAAGAAAGTTCAAGCGCAGGACGGTTCGAGGATTTAAAAAGAGTTCAGGTGGAGGAAGAAGATTGAGAAGAAATGAGGATGAGAGAAGGACGAGGGTCAATCAGAGGAAAACCAAGAAAGACAAGAAAAAAGGGGAAAGAGGAAGGTAGATGAGCGGACCCAAACGGGGTAAAGATAAGGAGATATTCAGGAATAAGTTTATTGGTAGAAGGAGGTTTTTCGGAGAAAAAGGAGGGGGAGAAAAAAGCAAGAAAGCAGCATTAGTGAGACAGCAGGTCGTCCGTTTGTCAGCTGGCAAACAAACACAAACATTTCATCTGTGATGCAACAAACAAACTCTATCTCTGACCATCAAACGTTTGACCCCATTTTACTTCATGTGACCCAACTGAGGGGCGAAATCAGACTCTTTGCTCTCTGTTCGATACAAATATTGACATCTGTAATCTTCTTTATCCGTTTTAGGTTGCTGCAAAGGACTAATCCCATGTTTTCCACTCTGCTGACCAATAAAAGGCATTAAATCTATCTATACAAGCAATAAACGGCAGATATATGCACCCGTCTGAACAGAAACTAGCAGATTACTCCCTCTAAGTAACATCTGCGCACGAGAGTCCAGCTGCAGACTGCAGGTTTGTATTAATAAACGCCGCTGTAACATCTCATAAAGCTGCTGAGTGTGAGAGAAGTTGAAGTTTGGCACCATTTCTGTGTTGGAAGTTTCACCGCAGGAAAAGTGATTGTTCAACATCCACCTTTGTCCAAATATCTGTCTAATCCTTCAAATTACTTTTAGACCTGAACCAAAATGTTTTTCTGACTGTGACACCTGACATTTGGACGATCAAGAAGAACAAGTATGCAGAAAGTTGGACTCTGAGTCTGTTCAGGTATCTTCCTGCAGTAGTTCCACATCTGTTCTGTCTGCAGGGATTATTGATATTCTGACTATTTAAGAGTTTTTGCTGAACTTATAAAACCTTCAGTCTGTTGGCTCACATTGACAAGCTTTAGACTTAAAATACCCTTGGTCTCATCTCTGTCCATCTCTCTTTTTCTCCATCTCCCTCTCTCTTCCCTCTCTAAACTCAGTCACAGCAGATAACTGTCTAACATCAGTCTGGTTCTACTCGAGGTTTCTGTCTATTTAACAGTTTTTTGCTGAGCTTAACATAAAACCTTTAGTCTGTTGGCTCACTTTGACACGCTTTAAACTTAAAATACCATCAGTCTCACCTCTGTCCATCTCTCTCTCCCTCCATCTACATCTCTCTCCTCTCCCAGTCTCAGCAGATGACCTCTAACATCATTCTGGTTCTGTTCGAGGTTTCTGCCTATTTCACAGTTTGAAACACTTAAAACACCATCAGTCTCACCTCCGTCTTTCTCACTCTTTCTCCATCTCTCTCTCTTCCAGTCTGAGCAGATGACTGTCTAACATCAGTCTGGTTCTCCTCATGGTTTCTGCCTATTTCACAGTTTTAAACACTTAAAACACCATCAGTCTCACCTCCGTCTTTCTCTCTCTCCCTCCATCTATGTCTCTCCCCTCTCTAAACTCGGTCTCAGTAGATGACCCTCTAATATCAGTCTGGTTCTCCTCATGGTTTCTGCCTGTTAAAGGAAGTTCTTCCTCTCCACAGTAACCTGCAAAGTGTTTCAGCGTGGGAGTGGGTCTGATCTAACAACAGAGGGCTCAGTCTGACCCCGTCTTTAAACTGGATCTGGTCTCGACAGCCTGAGAATAAAGAGGGAAACCAATCTGATAATGATAATTGAGACGTATTGATGATTTTAATGGGAGTTTGTTGTGAAGTGATTTTTTTACAGGGTTTGTTTGGAGAAAGAGGAAAGACGCTCCCTGATAAATATGGACGCCAAATCTGAAGCACGGCTCGGTGGGATTAACATTTACCTGAGGCCCCAGAATACCATTAATCTGACGGACGGATAAAGCCGAAATGCCTCCTAACGAGGATAAGTGTCATGCATCCTTCTTTCTATCTCTCCCTCCGTCTGTCTGTCTGTCGTTCTCTCGTTCTTTTCCTCCGAACTTTTCCTCTTTTTCTTGATCTTGATTGCAGCAGAAACTCTCTGACTGCAATTACACACAGCAGATGGGGGTGTGTGGGTGTCTCATATATTCATGAGCCTCGTCAGCAGTGCACACACACACACACACACACACACACACACACACACACACACACACACACACACACACACACACACACACACCCTGAAAGTGTCACACTGATCTTTTTTCTCTCTCCTCTTCCCTCTTTCACTTTCTCTTTCTCTCCTCCCCTCCTCCCCCGTTTCATCCTGCCCTCCTTTTTCCTCCTCTCATCTTTCCTCCTCCTCTTCGATTTCTTTTTGCCGACCACTTGATGAGGCTGTGTTGTCTCTTTCATGCTGCACCCCGCCGCTGCACACACACACACACGCACACACACACCCCTCAGGTCGCACAGCTGTATGTAGGTCAACCCCGCCTCCCCCTGTCCTCCCTCCCTCCCTCCCCCCTCCTGTTCAGACTGCCCTACTTTCAGCTGGATGCAGAGTACCAATGACATCACCATTTCTCCCTTTTTCGATTTCTGCTAGCTCGTCGTTCGACCGCCGTCGTTGGCAGCACATCTCCTCCTCACCCTCGTCTTCACCACCGCCCATAATCTCCACCCACCCACCCACCATGACTAGCATGCTAGCCTCTCCAGTCCGGTTAAAAATAGACCCTGTTAGCGTGGGATCTGGTGTGGAGGATTTGGTGCCTCGGCTCACATTTGCATCCTCGGCGCTCGACGGCCGGGCGGCTGCTCTCATCCGCCGCTGCTCTGTTGCTAGGGAGATGGCCGCTAAAACACAGAGGAGGCAAAGCCAAACTGACACCCCCACCCTCCCCCATCCTCCCCCCCGACTCTCCAGCCTCCTCTCCTCTTTAGATTCAATCCTTCAATCTGTCTGTCACTCCAGTCCTCTCCTTCAGTAAATATCCACTTCACCTCCTCCTGACGGACCTTTTCTTTCTCTATAACTCAAATAAAATCAGCTCTTTAATCCTGATGTGGTCGATACTCTTAAAGACATCCATCAAATAAATAATAAACACACTTTAGATGGTATTTTCTGTCTTATTTTGCAAACCTGACGAGCTCGTTTTGGCGAATGTGCAGCCTAGATCATCATGCAGCAGATTTCAAGTTCATATACTTCAAGTTTGTGTCACTGGATGGATTTTCTATTATTTTTAATAATTTATTTGTATTATATTCATTTTATTTATTACTTATTAGGGTGTGGCTTTTTTTAGGAAAGGTTTTAAAACACAAATAAGTCTGTTTGATTCTGAAACTGATAAAATGAACAGAATCTATTCAAGAGACGGAGAAAACACACATTTTGACGTGCATCCTGCTCATGTGGTTTCGTAAAACCAAGATATCCTCAAACTTCAAGACTCCTGCTGAGTTTGATCCCTCTGCCCAAAAACCTGCTGAACCTCAGAGTGTGCACCGGCTTCTTCTTCTCCTTCTTCTTCTCCTCTTTATTCTGTCATCTGGTTTTCTGCCGGCTGCTCCTCCTCATCTCCTCCCCTTTCTTCCTCATTCCTTCATTGTCATCCTCACTTGTTTGCTTCCTACTTCAGCTGATCCATCCTTTCCTCCTCCTCCTCCTCCCTCAGACTGTCCTTGTCTCCCTGTTTCTGTTTATTGCCCATCCCCCTCTTCCCCCATCTTCCTCTGTCTCACAGATCCTCCTCATCCTCCTCTTCGCCCTCATTCTTCCTCCTTGATGTAATTTCTAACCTAAATATCCGTCTACTGCTGGAAAAGCATAAAAGGAAGGATTCACTTCTGCACCTTTCCTCTTTGCGTTTGTATAATTTGGTTAAAATCAGTTTAATAACTGGACTGATCAGGAGGAAACAGGCGCAAAAGTCTCTGTGTTCAGGTTGAAACTGGGGCAAACAGCCGGAAACATCTTAGTATGCAGGGTCTGAATCCGTCTGCACTGCAGCTTTAGAGTAACAGGTTCAATTAAGGCTCAAACCCTCGACTGCCTCCATCACTCTGAGTCACTGAATGAGTTATTTTTCACAAAAACACAAAAGCCCTGCAGATTGTTTGTCTCTGGTCCTTGTGAAGGATAAATCCTGCTGCTTATTATCGTAAATTTCAGTTGTTTACCGCAGAGTTCGACGCAACTTTACCTCTTAGATTTGGTTTCTTTACTGAGTTTTCTCCAGTTTCATTACAGCTTAGCTGACTATGGATGGTGGACTCAATACAGCGTCAAAATATGATAATCATCAGATTCAATGACTGCAAAGCGTTCATTAAAAAAAGTCACATTTTCTGTGAAATCCAGTGTTGTTTTTGGCAGGCATTTTAGATTTAGTTTTAGTCTTAGTCATTTTGACGAAATGCGTCTTCGTTTTAGTCCCATTTTAGTCATTTCTATCCTTGATAGTTTTCGTCTAGTTTTAGTCCGACGAAAACTCAAAAGGTTTTAGTCTAGTTTTAGTCTCTCGAAAAGGTGTCTTTTGAGGTTCGTGGTGTTCTTTCCCGACAGTTTGAAGCCGCAGCATGAGGAAGCTGTGGCTCCTCAACTGTCGTCTGTCTCGTCTCCCCGTCCCCGTACAAACATTGTGTTTTATTGTCACTTGAACTGTATCTGAAGTAGGACCAAAAATCATCCCTCTTTTTTCGGCCACCGGGCACCGCTGCTGTGCCTGCCGCCACGGTGTGTGTGTGTGCGTGCGCCTCGTTCACCTGCCACTCTGTGTATGTGTATTAGTGTGTGCGCGCAGCTGTGCGCGAGCGAGGCTTTTGGTGCGTGTGTGATGGGGGCGTGACTGTTAGGACAAAAAAAAGCATGTTTTGAAACTTTGTTCGTCCACCTAATAACAATTTAGTCTCCTCTCGTTCTCGTCAGACGAAAATCAATACAATTTTCGTCACATTTTAGTCTTTACAGAGCTTTAGTGACGTTCGTCTTAGTCTCATTTTCGTCAAGGAAAAAAGGGGTCTGACGTCGTCATTTAAGTTTTCGTCCTGCCTGACGAAAACAACACTGGTGAAATCAGGTCCAAACGATGAAGACAGCGACCAGAGACTTTCTGAGCAGAAATGCTCAAACTTTTATGTGTCGGATGAAGAAGCAAAGAAAAATGGAGTGCAACATCACAAAGTCCATTTACAGGGACCTGAATATATCAAAAGTAGGGCTGAGCGATAAACCGAAAATCTACTGATACTGAAATTTACGACAATATCAACGTCATTTTGCCATATCAATATATTCGTGTCAAAAAATAAAGTTGTTTTTGGATGTGTGTAGGTAGACTATGGTCTCATGTCCCTTTAAGACGCTGTCCTACGTCAGAGACGTGACTCCACCCCATCCAGTCCGTAACAAAGAGGGAAAGACAGGTGAGGAGATGGAGGACGGAGAGAAAGTCGGAGCGGCTGAAGTAGACGAAGTTAATGTGGGAGGGGGTGAGCAGCTGGTGGAGTAGTTATCGTCCATTTATCGTTATCGAGGTGAACTGATCAATACATCATGATATTGATTTGAGGTCATATCGCCCAGCCCTAACTGAAAGTGTCCTGTTATCGTGGATACACTCACCCCTGGACTAACATGCTGGACTCTTGTAACCGCCAACTTCCTTTTTGCTGATTCCTTCAGACGTTTGGATTTGCTCTTTAAGCTTTTCTTTATTTACACTTTCCTGCGTTTGAGATTTATTTTCGATGCAGCGGATTGATTTTTCGAGCCCCTTTGTTCCCCTGCTTCGGCTCTTATTTCTCCCTAACCCTCACTCTCTTTCTCTCTCTTTTTATTAACTTCACACTGAACACAATCTGAGGCAACGGTTCGTCTCAGAGGCAGCTCCAGTCCCCCAAAAACAGAGCTTTCTCTTTCAATCTTTAACATCGATGAGAGTAATGTACTGAAGCAGAGACTCCGGGTGTCTGCTGGGTGACTGATAATAATGTGCTGCAGCTCTGTGCCTTTGAGCAAAGCAATAAAGACTCTGCATTTTAGTGCTGTTTGATTGATCTTTTAAACTCGGACTAATTAGTCCGCTGATTTAAAGACGAGCCCGGAGCTTGTAGGACAGAAACGCACAGAGGTGGAGTTAACTTGGATTAGTAGTTTGAGAATTACTCTAAACTCTCTTGTTAACGTGAATGAAAATAGATCTAAGGAGATAAATCTACGCCTGAGACTAGAGGTGAGTCGTGCCTCGAAGGTGGGAAAGGATGGTCCGCTCCATGAGAGACACAAAGCTGGTTTTTGTTCATCGTGGTGGTGGTGGAGCCTCACCTGCGTTTGCGCAGCTTCTTGTTCTCTGTCTTGAGCACGTGGAGCTTCTTGGCGAAGCAGACGATGATCATGAAGAGCAGAAGGACCACCAGAGCTGAGGCGCCCACGGCCAGACACATCACCTGGAACTCGGTCACCACGGACTCGCAGCGAGCGCCCTTGTGCCAGATGTAATCCTGGACGTTACATCTGAGAAAGAAGAAGAAGAAGAAGAAGAAGAAGTGAGTTACTGATGAGTTATTTTTCTCACATGTTCAGACTTTTTAGTCAAATTGGTTTCCTACTCTTCTTCCCAGCTGGAGGTACAAACACGTCTCTGAACTGGTTTGCCAACGTTATCAAACTCCAGAAGATGAAGAAGAAGAAACCCGACTCTCTTTCCTTTTTTAAAGTTCTAGACATCTGCCAAACTTGATCTCACTCTGCATTACTCTGAATGTTACGATAAGAAGAGTCGTGCTAATTGGCTGCCTGGATGTTGTCTGAGAGGGGAGGATGGAGACTGATGCAAAAGCGAAAAAACACAGAAATTAGGGTTTTATGTGCTTCTAACTCAGTTAGTCCACGCTACACAAACTCAGAACTTTCAGACAAAACCCCGGACATTTTAAGGATTTTAAACTCCCCTAGAAAAGGCTGACAGCCCCCAAAAAAGACATGTCCACCCTAACCAAAGCGAGTGCTCCAGAAGAACTGATCCAGGATCAGTGTTGCTGTGACCCGGCCTCCTAACATTTATGCTCATTTAGGCCCGTTTCAGTCCAAATGAGGCTGGAGGAAATTAAACCCAAACCACGATATCAAGGTTTGTTTGATTTACTTCGATGTCTTATCTTATCTGGTCAGTCCTTACTGTTGAGAAAGTTCAAGGTCAAGTTTTAGTCAATGATTTTCAACCCATCTGACTCCGATATCTTGTCTGAACTTAAAAATTCAAGAGCAGCTGCTTGAGAAGTGAGAGCTGGAGTGGGAGTGGAAGTGGTTTTTGCACGCATGTCAAAGCAAATCACTCCTGTCGTTCTGTCACAACAGGAGCCACTTCAAATCACTTCGTACAAGCTCGGTTTTCCCAGAAGGTTGGCTGCAGAGGATTGTGAATATACTCCAAAGGTTTCCAGGCTGAGGGATGACAAAAACTTTCAGACATTTAAAGATTTAAGATGTAAAAAGTCCACTCAGGATTTCGTCTCTGTTTCTGTTTGAAGTTATCTGCTTCAGTGTGGAGTCTCCTCAGACTTATCTCCTAAAACTTCACAGCCTGATGGATGTTGCATAAAATCATTAAGAGTTTTTGTGAAGCAATCGACCGCGGGCTTGTGAGCAGACTGAAAGCGCGGACAGCAGGTTTTCAACGCTGTATTCAAAAGCCGGGATAAAATCGGCACTTTGTGTGTCTACAAATAGAAACAAAAAAAAGATGGAGCCCGCGGGATTTTCCAGCGACGAGCGCACTCACTCGCTGTCACAATAAACACACACTCCGTCAAAGAAACACAAACACGATCACAGAAGACGTTTGCATTCATAAGATCTTACACAATGCATACGGGCATCTGTGTGTGGATGGAAATTATGAGCACATGTGTGACACACACACACACAAACACACACACAGCTGCCATCAGAGTCCCAGACTCCCTGTGTAGCCGTTTGGCAGAGGACGGCGTCCGCCTGGGGACATAAACGACGGCAGCAGATGGCTTTGTCTACACACTGTTTGGCGTGCAAATCAGCAAATATATTTCACTTCGTAATGAGGCTGAGTTACGCTGTTTCACTGTCACGTGTCGAGGAATTTCACAAGGTTAAAATTGATCTGGCAGAGATTCACGTCAAACTAACACAAATAACTAAATTGTACATTGCTTTGACACACCTAACTATACACTCTTTGCCAATTTATGCAGCTTAAGAGAGTTATTCCTTAAAAAAATGTCTCTATTCGTGACGGTTAAGGGTCGAGGTAGAGGTCGCCCTCCATGGGTGTGTTGTTCATCCTAAACAAAGTCTTGTACTGTTTTTCCTTGTGTTGTTTTTGACCACGAGGCTGTCGAAAACTCTGACAGAAACATGCACAAAGTGAAAAATACAAAACTGCTGGAAGTATTTGAAGCGTGAAGGGAGCAGCGCTCGTTCTCCTCCTCATGTATTTTTCATATATTTCAAAGATGTTGTTTCCGTCAGTTTTGGAGCACGCTGGTGTCATGATACCCGGTTTTGATAAAAAGGACCAGGGAGGCTCTTAATTAATGTTTTCCTGCTGGAAAAGTGTGTGAAATTATAGAAAGAGAGCAGCTGTAGTTACAGGATGATGGAGCAATTTACTGTGCTCTGTTTCCAGCACACACACATTCACGTTTACATCACTTTAGGGGACATTACATTGACGGGTGTTAGTTTTTTGGGGACCTGCCACAATGATAACCATATACCTCATAACTACTTAGATAATTATACTACATAAACATTATAATGATATTTGTTGTGGCAGCTGTTTCAACTCTTACAAACAGAGAGGTCCCCATGTGACTTTCCAGACCAATGTCCCCACAATGTCCTTCAAACAAACACACACCTACACATATGAAGAGGTACAAAGTGAATGGAGGTGACAGGACGTGAGGCCGCTCCTGTTACGGACTCTACATGCTAAGCAGGCTCCTTTTCAGTGTTGAATTTCCCGTATCCTTCCTGAATGCCTGACGCTCGATCTGGTCAGCTGAAGTGAAAAGCTGGAAAGGAGCCAGGAGACATTTTGAACGTGGAAACATGCGAGAGAGACGGAGAGATCGAGAAAGAGAAGGAGGGAGGGATGATGATGATGATGATGATGATGATGGTGCCTGAAATCACATTTTCAAGGAGACTTCAGTGCACTCAACCTGAGAGCCGTTCTGCCTTCGCACAAAGACGAGGTTTATGTAAGTCGGAGTTAGACGGAGCGAGGGCGGGGGATGGGGGGAGGGAGGGATGCACAAAGGAAGAAGGCGAGCAAGCAAGGATGTGCTGGTCGTCATGGCAACCCAGCTGAGCAGTAAACGCAGCAGATGCGGCGCTGACATGTCATTCCATCACACGCACACACACACTCACACACGCATGCATTCACAGCCGTCCGCAGGGACGCAGTCGTGCTTTAGCGGCTAGGTCCAATTTTCTCTTTCTTTCTTCCTCTCCCTGCCTCACCCCTCCTCCTCCTCCTCCCCTCTCCTCTCCTCTCCTGCTGCTTGTCTTCTTTAAAATCTCTTTTCTTGTTCACTGGCTCTTTACCTCCCCATTTCATCCTCCTCCTCCTCCTCTCTCCTGCACTTTGCTGAGCGCCTCCAGCTGAATCATGCCTTGGCTTTGACATTGTGCAACAGATTTTTTTTACCCTCTTTCTTTGACATTCGGAAAAAAAAAAAAACACGCAGCCGACCAGGATGAATGTCCTGCTGCACTTGTAATTGGAAAGGAATGACAAAACAATCGGGCTGAATTGTAGGAACAAGAACTGCCTGTGTATTTAAATCCCCGTGAGCCAAAACGAGGACTCAAACAAGCCTGCAGTCTTGATCTAAACGCCGACAATAAAGCTCTGAACTCTTGTCTGTTTGTTTTTGACCCACAGCATTTTCCTCAGTCTGTATCCAAACTTTATGTCCGTCAACAGGAGGAGCCTCTCATACTTTCAGCCGGCGTTAATGAGTGCTGTGGTGTTCATAAAGTTGAGCTATTCTCAACTGAGATTGTGAAAGTGCAGCAACAACAAGCAGACAGCACTGAGAGTGTTTTTGAGCTGAGGATAATCAGCACTCGAAACTGTGGACTCCGGATGAAAAATAGACGCCGTTGGCACCAAAAAAGGACACCAGTGCACACATCCCCTCACCCAGTCAAGCCTTGGTTGTAGCATTTATCTGTGTATAGGGTTGCAAAGGGGCAAAATATTTCTGGTAAATTTCCAGAAACTTTCCATGGGGAGTTAAGTTGGGGAATTTTGGAAATATTCCAAATTGGTAACTTTCTTTAAGAATTATTGGGAATTTATGGAGGTTAACTTGAAATTGGGGGTAATTTGTATCATATCCAAACATAAATGTAAATATTTTTGTTTTGTAATACGCAGACATCTACGCAAAATAATACAATTAAAAAACATGACACACATCGGATGGTGAACGTGGCATTTTTCTGTAGAATAAAAAAAAACTTGTAAAAACATTAATGCAATGGCCTGAACAGAAATATTATTGGCTGAACAACTGGAATGGTCTTCAATATGTTTGAGGATTGATTTATAAAACTTATTGTTTGGTTTCAGAAAACCGTCTGTCAGGTGTCAGAAGAAACAGCATCACATTTGAGGTAGCAACCACCACCATAATAAGCTAGACCCTTAAATGGTCAATAAAATAAAAAATAGCTAACATTTAGCAGCTATTTCTATTTAATTTTTGCTAGTTATCAATACTATTATAGATCAAATATATTTACCCCATGATACTATAAAAACTTACTTGACTTTCTATAGTTGGTGGACTCAAATGTCTTTGGGCTCTAAAGTTTGGCCTCCAGGGTTCAAGAAATCATCTGGTCATGTGACGGAGGAGTGGACAGAGCATGTAGGGGGTGTGGCCTCAATAGCCCTGCAATGAACTGTGTGGTGTGTGTATGTGATTGAGGAGTGTACTTGCATTAAATTAGGTTGTTTTAGCCACGATTATGATACAATATATTTTCCCCACCTATATTTAAGTTCCTTGTTCAGGGCCAACCTTCAAGTTTGTAAATTTCCAGCCATGTCTGAAATGGATCCCTAACCCCTATATAGGCGACTATACGGGGGATAATCACCATTTTGAGGGGTGTCCAAAACCTGAGTGATCAATTCCAGTGCCCCATTTAGGCGACTCAAAATTTCCCATAGAGCATTGCAAAATGTAGTGACCATCCAAAGGTCACTCACCAGTGGTGGGCATCCCGTCATGCATTGCGTCTTGCCATGTAGAATCTGAAACCTCCGGTAATTGAGTTTACTACATAGTCAGCTATAAAGTGAAACCCCATATGGCAGTTAGGGGTTAGGGATTGAGTGATTCATTTCAGACACAGCTTCAGATTTATTCCCATTAATTCCCATTAATTCCCATGGAAAGTTTCCAACTTTGAAAATTCCTGGAATTTTGCAACCCTTTCTGTGTACAACAAAAACTTCAGCAGAGGAAATTTCTCTAATAAGTTTTGAAGACGGTCTTTGGGATTGATTGGGGATTTCTTGTTGGCTGCGGAGCTGAAATCAAACTGGAAATGACTCCTCGTCAGGGACAGAGAAAACTTCCACCGTCAAATCTCTTTTCAGCTTTCAAAGACCTGATCCCTCTGCCTCAGACCGGCAGCAGACCTGCCTCTCTTGTTCCCGGTCTCTTCCATTATTAAACCTCCCACACATCCCACAGGCCTTCCCTTTGTGTCCCACTGCGTTTTTATCCCCTCCTACTTGTCATTATCTCCATCACAGGCACATTTAAAGCGTGGTTGGAGCCCAGTGGGAATACAGCAGATCCTGTACCGGGTCAGCCCTGAGCCACAAGACAAAGAACTAACAAATGCTCTCAATATTTAGCTGATTAGACCGGAGACGGAGAGGCAGACAAAGAGGGAGAGTCTTTAATTTAACTTACACAGGGTGACAATAGTGCAGATGGGGTTGTGGTCCTCTAATAAGACCCCCTGATGGTTTTGATGAGGACTAATGGAGGGTGAGAAGGAGAGGGAGGGAGGGAGGGGGGAAAGGCCGACTCAGGACAGACGGTTGGGTTGGTTTAAGACCAGCAGAGGACTCACAGTAGGAGGTTATAATCCTGAAGTGAGATTTACCTTGAAGAGTCAGAGATACTGGTGAACTGGTGATGGAACTAACTCAAACTATTGCTAATGTATCAATACAACAGAGGCAAAGGAGACCATCAGAAATCTGACTTTTTCCTGTCCTGTTATTCTATATATATATTTAATAAACAACACTCAGAAAGGAGGTCTCAGGTGGAGTCCTTTATGATTAATCACTGGCTAGACCTGAAGTTGTAAAAGGGGAGCAGGACACCAGACCTGAGCGTGCTGCTGGAATAATACTTGCCTTGGTAATAATGATAATAATAATAATAATAATAAATCTGGTTTCATATAGCACTTTATCAAAGACCCTCATGTGCTTTACATTGGATACATCATTCATTAACTCACACAGTCACACCCTGATGGTGGTAAACTACCGTAGTAGTCACAGCTGTCCTGGGGCTGGCTGCCAGTTTGCCTCTCTAACCACCACCACACAACACTCACAATCATACACCAGTGGAGGACACACACTGGGAGCAAGGTGGGTTAAGTGTCTTGCCCAAGAACACAACAAACAGACTCGGGATAGGGGGGAATCAAACCGCCAACCTTCTGGTTATTGGATGACCGCTCTACCTCCTGAGCGACTGCCGCCCTAGTGGTTGCCTTTATTTGATCATATGGACTTGAAAACTATTTAAAATGCAAAAAGATGGAATCTTCATTATGTGATTAAAATGCGATTAATCCCGATTAATTGTGATAAACCGTGGTTTGATAAAGGATTTACTTGACAGCAAAAGTTTCATGTTAATTTAATCAGCAAATTGACAGTTTGAACTTATCACTGTCTCTATGAGTATTACTTATCAGCCGGCACCATTTACTGCATATCAAAGATAAGATAAAATAAGAAATTTGGGGAAATTCCAAATTTACTTTGTTATAGATTTAAAGTCACTTATTATCAGGGTAAAATTTACTCTATATGGTACAAATATTTGCAGATTTATTTCTGCTGACATTACTCTCTGTTACTGCAAAAAGATGGAATCTTAAGCATGTGATTAATCATGATTAATCCCGATTAATTGTGATTGTGATTAAATGCGATTCATCACAATTTTAACATGATTTACTTGATGCTAATAGTTTCAAGCTTTTTTAACTAGTATTTAATTAGTATTTTGACTAATCACTGTCTTGATGTGTATTACTAATCAGCCTGCACCATTTACTGCATGTTAAAGTCACTCATTATGAGGGTAGAATTTACTCTGTGGTACGAATATTTGCAGATTCATTTCTACTGACATGACTGACATCCTGCTGCTCAGCCGCTCCCTCTCTGTCACTCTGATTCCTGACTATGTTTCATCATCGGCTAGACCTGAAGTATCAAAAAGCCGGTTATCACTCTGAGAAGCAGTGCAGTTAAAGACAAGATTATAAAATAATAGACTAAACTACTAGATCTTCTCCAGAAGATCAAAACTTTCCATAACAACAGATGTCAGCTGATTAAAGCTGCAGATCAAGCAGAGAGGAAAAAAACAAGGTCTTTGGAAGGTTGTAGAAGGAGCAGCAGGACACCGGACCTGAGCGTGCTGCTGGAGCTGGACTGACAGGAGAGGGCACGCCACCCTGTTTACAGAATAACTTAGCATAAATTCCATTTGCATTAAACAACTCTATTTTTATATGTTTATTCCTCGGAGCGAAGACTATTTTCTTATGCAATCACCACAAAGGGGTGGGGGGGGAAATGGAGCGAAATCTGCAAAAAGAGGTGGATCCGAGGCTACAAGGCCAGCAGAGGACAGAAGAGGAAGGGTTCATGCCACTGGAAACTTCTTTCCATAACAAGTTTGGAGCATCAAACAACAGCTCTGATACTGGCTCTGACACAAAACCTCATCGGAGCAAACTTTCTCATTACTCTGAGGGCTTTAGGAGGGGAGGGAAACAATGTGGTCATGTCGAGGGCAGGATTAAAACTGGATTTGATGTTAAAGGCTGATAGAGAAGAGGAGCGGTGACAGAGTTATATCCTGTCTGACCGGAGGACTTAAAGGTGAGTCTGATTAAAGGACGACAAGTTTTCAGTCGGTATCAACAAAAGAAGATACGAGATTAAAATCTGAATTCTGACACTTGATTATTTAAGCCTCCATATAAAAGTTAGAACATGATAATATAAGTCAAGTTTGAGACAAAGATAACTCAAAAACGATCACTATATTAAGTCCTTAAATTAGAGCTGTGAGTTTCACTGTGACCTGTTAAATGCACCACAAGTACATGGAAAAGCAGTTTCATGCGACCAAACTAAAACTCCTAAAAAGTGCAAATGCTGTTGCATTAACCAGAAAAACTGGACCTGCTCATTACAGCCCCAAAACCTCCCATAGCGCTGGTTCAGCATTTGTTTGATAATAAACCTCATAATTAAGACCAGAAAGTTCATCTTACTGCATTTATCTGATACTTGCATTAAAAATTCTGGTAAGAGTTGTCTTTATTTATCCGTATGGACTTGAAAACTATTCTAAAATGCAAAAAGATGGAATCTTAAACGTGATTAAAATGCGATTAATCGCGATTAATCGCAATTAATCGCGATGAATTGCGATTTTAAAATGGTGTACTTGACAGCAATAGTTTCAAGCTTTTTTAATTAGTATTTGACAGTTTTAACTAATCACTGTCTTGATGTATATTACTAATCAGCCAGCACCATTCACTGCATATCAAAGATAAGATAAATGAGATAAGATATTCCTTAATTCCTAATTTATAGTCACTTATTATCAGGGTAGAATCTCTTCTCTCTGGTATGAATATTTGCAGATTCAATTCCACTGACATGACTGACATCCTGCTGCTCAGCCGCTCCCTCTCTGTCACTGTGATTCCTGGCTTTTCTGCTTTGCTGCTGATTGAGAGCATGTGACACGTGTTTATCAGATGGGAAAGACAGGATGAAAAATAAAACCCCCTCATGAAGCCTGGAGGTCTGCGCTGCTGCAGCGGGTTCAGGATGTCTGTAAGATTTAGCAAGTCAGCAGCTGCAGCTCGACAGACCTAATAAAACAAACAGAAGAGAAAAGCCAACAAAAAGAAAGTGACGGTACAATCCAGGCCACCTCCATCTGACAGCGCTCACGTTATTATTTTAGGTCAGACGCTTTTTGTCCTTCAGCAGCCAGCCTGCTAGATTTCCCCGAGGCACCCGGCCCGCTGCTGCACATCCAAAACAAACCAGCTTAAATAAAATATCACTGCATCATGGACTTCCATTATGCAGATGGAACCAGTATAACCTTATTAGTAACCGCAGTGGGGAAAAACTGCTCCATCCAATCAGCCCGTAAAGCTAAATCCCACAATCTGAGAACTGGAAAGAGATTTGAAAAAATTACAACATAATCTGTGCGCTACATTTGGCAACAGCACAGTCAGACTCATTACAGATCTGGTCGTAGTAGATGGTTATTTTCAGATGTTTTGGTCTGTTGAACTGGTTATTTTTAACAAGGTTTGGGCCGAGCGGGGAAATTAGGGAGAGGAGGAACTATTTATGTCCAAATATACAAACACGCAGCAGTGTGAGCATCAGGATACCCACACAAAACCACATATTTCAGGTGGCGAAGCTGACATTATAATCTATAAACGACCACATCTTCACCATCATCAGGAGCAGCTCTGGACACAACTGTGACCAAAAACCCTCCTGGAATAAACGCCCAAGTCCCCAGAGAGCCCTCGCCATCCCATAAAGTGTGAACCAATTAGCGACATCCAGATGTGTCCCTCATATCCAATCACTGTAACCGTGACCCGGGATTATCGGTCGGGAGCTGCTCAGTCGCCCTCAGGCAGGCGGACACGTGGTCACCTTTGATAAAGGGGGCGTGTCAGATTTATGTCACATCAGTCAGTTAGTACTGAGATGATTATCCTCAACTTAAAGGGATATTCCGGCGTAAAATTAGGTTAGAGTCAAACACACAGTAACACCGAGTTAGACCCCCCTCCAGAGATGAATGTTGCCGACCGCTTATTTCTCTAGTTAAACCAACTTTGATCATAAATGTTCTTCCTTGAGCTGCAATTGATGGACTCGCCCCGAGGTCTCACCACAAACAAGCGGCTGCTGGAAGAGAGTAGGTGAGTTGTTTTTAGTCTCTTTGCTAAAGAAATGAGTCAAAGTTAAAAAGATGTTTGGTGTCTAGTACTATGTCTGTGACCCTATATGTCCTGTTGATGAAGTTAGGTGCTGTTCTGAACATTATTTGTGGCTATAGAGTGGCGTTTTGGTTGAGCGCGTGGCTCTCTGTATTACTATCCTGTGGTCGTTACTAAAGTTGGTATAAGTAGAGAAGGAAGCGGTCGACAACATTCATCTCTGGAGGGGTGTCGAAGCTCGGAAATCCTGACCTCCAAGAACAACTGGAACGCAGCATAAGATTCAGGAGCTTTTAAGCCCCGCCCACATAGAGACGTATGAACATCTAAAAGTGCTTTCTTGTTTGTGTGTGTGTGTGTGTGTGTGTGTGTGTACGAGTGTGTTTGTGTTCATGAACCTGACAGTCCAAACTTGGTCACCCTGCAGCAAAGAGTCCTCTGCCAACACACAAATGTGTGCGTGTGTACGTGTGTGTGTCAACAATTGAATCTGTCAGGCCAGGCCTACCTCTGGCAAAAACAAACCGCATGAGTGTGTGTGTGTGTGTGTGTGTGTAGTTATTTGTGTGCGTCTTTTGTCCTCCCCGGTCCCCATAAATCTCTGAGTGTTTGACCTCTGGCCTGATTCCACGACCCCACGCTCTTTGACTTGGAAGTGATCCCTAATACACACGTAATCCAGTATATGTGTGTGCATGCATGTGTGTGTGTGTGTGCGCATGTGTGTGGGGGGGGTGTATATTAGTGTGTTTTCCATGATGTGATCATGAAATCTATAGTGGATACAAACTGCTGTTGGTGTTTAAAATTCCCCTTAATTACATCAAGCTGCAGGACACACACACACACACACACACACACACACACACACACACACACACACACACACACACACACACACACACACACACACACACATTAAACTCGACCTGGCTCGCCTGAGTCGTTTCCATACTGGCAGGCGTTTTAAAGTTCTGACTCATTCTCTCGCTCCGTCTCTCCGTCCACCTCCTTTCTTTCTCCCCCGCTCTCTCTCTCTCTCTCTCTCTCTCTCCTCCATCACCCTCTCACTCCTCTTTCTCTCTCTTTCAATATCTAATAAACATTCAGAACATAAACACTCTCCCTCCAGGTCCTCTGTGTTTCACTCCTCTCTCGGTTTCCTCATCTGTTTCTCCCAATATGGTCGGCGCTCCTCCGGCTTCATAGGAAGAAGCGATTTACGACTCGATCACTGTCAGATCCCGTTATTCGGAGGGACAGTGGAGCCAAGAGAGGAGATGTCTTCAAAAACAAAGGGAGGAGATCACAAAGCAGCAGCAGCGTGTTTATCTGAACCCTTTTATACGAAGGGTTTCCATCTGCTCTGAAGCTTTTGAAGACTTTCTGCAGTTTCTGTTTTAGACTCAATAAAGTCAGGAAGTGACGATTTGAAACACTTGCAGCAGACGTCGTCTTTGTGATTTTAACTTCATAGAAATAAAAAGAAGTATTTCCTCTCTCTCTCTCTATCCAGATATTCTTAGTTTCCTCCCTCTGCTTTGTGCACCCAAGATGAACTTTTACTCCTCATTCCTAAATACTTTCACCTCCTTTCAGTCCCAGAAAAGTTTGACTTAAACTCAAAGATTCAGTGTGAAGATTTGTACAGTCTCGTCTAAATTTACTAACAGAGTTTGGGGTTTCTTAAAGATACTGATAAAACTAGCTCTGCTTGAGTAAACAAATCACAGTCACTGCAGGGAGCCGAGAATGAAGTGTGGACGCCAAACAGGCTGTAAAATCATCCTCCAAGTCATCTCATCTTCTGCAACGATGCATGATGACGAGCTGCATCTACTTTAGCTGGTGCAAGCACAAAAATGTTTATAAATACTTAACATCAGTCTTAAATAACACACTAACCACTGTCCACTAACCTGATGTGACTTAAACCACATTTGAGCAGCTGTTTTGTGCAGCCCAGTTCTGGGGTTTGATCTGTTTTTGCATTTTAAAGACTGACAGAGAAGCTTAAACATCAAAGTTAAAATAAAAAAGCGGGAATAAAGGCATCTGTAATAAGTCTGCATGATTGATTAGGTGGAAAAAATGTCATTTTAAACCACAATGATAAAGTAAAATCATCATGTTGCAAGTTTGCACTGCACTTAAATGTTAATAAAGATAAAAACAGCACATCCACTGAGGTAATCGTGTTTTAATCGACCTTTTTGTTAACCTTTTGCCAAATATTGAACACAACCCCTCATTTTGCTGACGTTTTGTTCAGATATAGAGTCATATGTGATAGCGGCACACACGAATATGTTTCTCAATCATCAAATTGACTTTTCTGGTGAACAAAACAGTTGTTTAGTGACTCTTTGGGCCAAAAAAGTGAAATAAATCAATAATATATGGTATTAAAATCAAAAACTAGATGTGTTCCGATATGAAATTGATATCGGATATCGGTCCAATATCAGCAAAAAAATGAATATTGGATTTTATCAGCCTGCATCTATCATTCCAGACTCCACTCCAGCACCTCTATCTAACAGCGTCCTGATGTAGCAGCATGTAGAGCTCGCAAAATCACAACAACAGTGTGTACTGAGGTACTAACAAAGTAGAGTGGAGCCGGAGTGATGTCGGCCGTGTGGAAGTATTTTTTGTTTAAGTCCGAAAAAGACGTTGCAGCTGAGTTAAAAACTTGTCATGAACAATTTCGTGCTGGTACTGCATCAGTATCGGTCAATATTGAAGCCTACAGTAGCTGTATCGTATCAGAAGTCAAAAAGTCGCATCTGAACTATCTAAAACTGTGATTATGAAGCATAAAGATTAAAGTGAGTTTGAAAATACCGGTGCAAACATCACGATATATAAAAGTTCATATTTCCATCATCTGTGAAGCGACGTATGTGGCTGATGGAGACGATGTCTGTGGAGAATAAAAGCTCTGTAGTAAAGTGTCTCCTCTAAAGTGAAATGCAGCTCCTCAATCAAAAGTATTACAACAGAAAACTTCATACGATGATGAATCTGGAGGGACATAAATGAGTATCTGGCTGCGTTTTTGGCAGCTGGCTCTGTGAAAGGCTTTTGCAGTTGACACCGAGCATCAGGCATAAATCTGGCTTAGAGTGAAACCCACACCGGATGTGTTTGGTAGAGCTGAGCCATGTGTGGAAAGGAAAGTAATTTTGATGAATTCATTAAAAGTTCTGGTATTATTGTTCAAAAATGATCAATTCAGACACGTTTCAGGCACAAAGACGGTGTAAAAGTTGTTGTTTTAGACTTTTAGATATGAGTCACACTGAGGCAGGTGAGCTTCCCGAGTCTGCAGGTACGTATATTCCTGCCTGTTGGACAGAGATACGACAGGCTGGTCTGAGGTCAGTGAACAGCTCCTCACAGGGTCGTGTGTTTTACTGCAGAGGGCTGAAGGTCCGTACATCCATCCTGCTGTAATTGAATCGGCCTGATGTATGTAGCAACTCCGGCTCAGCTGCACGCACCAAAACACCAAACACACAAATCTACACAGAGCTCTCTGGGGTCCATATGTGCATGCAAACTCAGTCTCACACAAATCATGTCCAAACACACACACACACACACATCCAGAGGAGCATATTGGAGCTCATCTGTGCCAGCGCTCCAGTGACCCATATTGCTCTCCTGCCCGGCAGTGAAACGCCTCCCGGTCCCTCTGCAGCCTCGCCTGACTCACTCTCTGGAGCTTCATCACTGCTAATATCTGCTGACTGAGGACCAGAATGTGCCCCGAATATCTGGATCAAGTTGTCCGCTTAGCAAGATTTATTTTCTAACAAGGCTGTGTGAGAAAATCTGCAGAAAGAGGAAAGAAGAAATCGATCATCTCTCATCCTAAATCAAGACTTTCTGCTTTTCTCCGACGCTGGCACACTTCTTAATCTTGTTGATGTTCTTGTCAGCGCAACTAGTGGTAATAAGGACATAACGAGGTTTTTAGCAATTAAATAAAATCTCAAGTTGTAAAAATGCTTCAGTCCTGTTTCCACATTTGCAGGATGGAGCTGCACGATGTGAGTGAGTCCATTAAAGTGTCCTCTTATTTATTCATACCTTGCTCTCCACGGTAACTGCCCTGTAATTGTGTTTATCTCTTTCAGCTCACTCTTCTACTGAATTTTACCCGCTCTCATAAATCCCGCTTTAATACGTCTTACTTTATTGCCCGCCTATGCGTCTGTTTGTCAACCGAAACCTTATTTATTTTTTAGGAGCGGTATTTGAAGCATCTGCTCGACATTACCCGAGTTACTCTGCCCTCAAATTGAAGAAAAATGATATTCAATCCTTTGCAATAACCCTGAACATGTATTCATTGCAAAGTTTGTTTACTAGGCAACTTTAAAACCAATCGTGGATCGTGAAGCTGTCTGCAGGAGGATATTTTCCCCGTCCACCACGGTCAGCCGGACGATTGTCACTGTGGTATAAATCTGCATTTCAAAGAGCGCAGCTGCTCCGTAATTGGAAGTCTCCCCTGACTGATTGGTTGGTTAATTTATTTCATGATTGTAGGGATCTGTCCTCGAATCTGTAGCCTGTGTTTTTGGAAACTCGGTCTCTGATCAAACATTGTTGGATCTCATCAGTCTCCGTCCAGGTGTTCCTGAGCGATAAAATTAGTCTTACAGCCGACTTTTCCGTGCAGCCAGTTTCCCTCAGAGCTTCTGTGGGTGTATAAATTGATCTGTCTTGCTCGCCGTATGATGGATTGCTTTCAGTACTGAAGATGACCTGCAGAACAAAATGGTAGCTATGGAAAGAAGTGCAATTTCTTCTTCTCAGGGACTGACAAATGAATCTGACATCGACTTATAATGTGTCTGACATTTTCCATTTCCAGCCTGTTACGACAGTAATGAGGTATTTACAGGTGATATTATTTCATTCTGCCTTTTCATGAGTAAGATTGACAAAGAAAATCTATCTGAAGAAATACTATCATGATTCTGTAACCTATAAAGGGCTTAACTGGCAATTAAAAGACGAAGTAAAGTGGATTTTAAAACCAGATCAGGGCCCTGAGTGAGAAAAAGGTTCATATTTTAGCTAGTTAACTGTTTTTAAACACTGTTTCTAAACCTCATCTGATCCAACCGAACACACAAATCATAAAAAGTTTTATCAAAAAACAAAATTTTACAGTCTGTAAACAGATGTTAGTTACTAATTTAATCATATACATATACATAAGTGTACTGTGCTATTGCTAATCTAGCTAAAAAGTTTGTTTACTACTGTTTTGCAATCACTGAGAACTTTTTTCCACATATATAGAACTTTTTGTTAAATTAAATTGACAACTACACACTAAAAACGGAGAAAACCTCTTAAGTCAAAAGATTTAGAGCTCCCCCTGCTGACTGACTGGCTGCAGTACAGGTCATAAGCCCCGCCTCCTTTACATAAAAAGATAGGACATGAGTCGTACTTCAAGATTTTTTATAAACAAACATGTTTTTTCATCGTTAGAATATGTTGTCATCTTGCCGATTTGTTCATTTTTCTGCAAAGTTAAGTTTTGACGACTAATTATTTGATTGACAGCTCTGTTGACCAATGACAGCGACTGCAAGTGCATCATAGGAGGAAAATTAAACAAATACGAACACAAAGGTCGGGAACTTTTCATAGTTCTAAGCATCTAAAGTGAACATTGGCGCTAATGTGGAAGAGCTAAAAACTGCAGTTCCAAAAGTGACCACTTGAGGCACACACTCAAAGTCAAAAAACGAAGGAGATAAACATGATCGAAAACTGTATCTAAAAAAACCAGTGTATCGTAGTGACTAAGTACAACTTTCCACACAGACCTCCTGACTTTGAGAGCTGGTAACTCCACATATCTGCAGAAATGACTTTTATAAATACAACTTTATTTGAAACATACATCCTCCTCCATGCTTTTGTAATAAAACTGTCAACATTTCCCCCTCTGATCTTTCACAACATGAGTGAACACAGGACCGTGGGAACTGGGGGACGACCCCTCGCTTCGCGGAGCGGTTCACCAACTCCCAATGCAAAGAGTTTCTCATGTCATGAATCATCATTTCGACAGATGAAAACCATTTCTGACACTGGAGCGTAAATGAACAACACTGGTTGGGCTGAAATAGATCATTAGAAATCAGCAGAAGAACCCTCATCCATCTACAGCGGCTGTAATCCTCTCATGTGTTTTTTTTTAACCCTTTGGTTGCTGTTTTCATCTCAGATCAGGATGTTTTGATCCACAGATGCACCGCGCCTGCTGACTTTTATATGCACTGGCAGAAAAATTCCTATTACGCTGGAACTACTCTCAGGCTTACACCATATTTTTATAAATAATTCTGTTAATCCATTTGACTCTTGACCTAGATTATCAACACTGCAGTTCTATTGGATAAGTGCAGCTTGTTGCAATAATGACTGATGATAACAGGAGTGTTTAGAGGCAGATGGAGGTTCGACTATAAGAATAATCAGCCTGTATACGTCTGTGAATGTTTGCAAACCTTGCACTGCAGTTTTCTGAGTCTGTTACAGGGCCGATGTGTTTGTGTCCAGTTTGCATGACAAAAGAAAACCCAAACCCTCACAATAAAACGGGATCTCGGCATACAGCCTGGCAGAAGTCGGGACATTTCCTCGTTAAAGTCTCTTGTTAAAACAACAAAAACACGCGGGGATGTATTTTGAGTTTTTCCACATGTTCCTGATGAGCAGAGCAGAACAGCAGGAATCTAGAGTTTCATGGAGCTGTGCACATCATGTGACGGAGTGTTTTATTTTATACACTGGCGCCTGATTGCTCTGCTTTGAGGAGTGTATTTATCATCGATTATAGATGCGTATGATGATCCTGATGAGGCCTGAAGCAGCTGCAGAGCTCTGATTACTGTGTTTTAAGTCAACTTGGTAAACGTTTCAGTAAGAATAGACGACTTTTGAGTCCTTGTGTTGCTTTTTTTTTTTAAATCAACTCTCTCTATATGCTCAGTTTTTCTACTTTCACCAACACTTTTAAGGTGAAGAAAGCAAACGTCTCAGCTGTGATGCTTACCGTATTTTTCGGACTATAAGGAGCACTTAAAATCCTTACATTTTCTCAAAAATTGAACGTATGCCTTAAAATCCAGCACACCTTATGTATGATTACTTGTTGTTCTTACTGACTAGTTTTATGTGGTACAATGTGCTCAAAAATCAGTTGAAATATGTAAGGTAAGGTAAGCAACAAGGCCGCTTCGTTCAATGGATATTCGGAGCATTGCGGTAAACTGTGTCACTACCTGATCGACCCTGTAACAGGACCCCTGAGCAGTCTACGAGACTGCCTGACTGTAATGTCTAAACTAGGAGTGCATTCATGTAACCCAGGATTTCCACTGCATTTTGATTGGTCGACATACCTGCAGAAGACTCCCATGCCCTCCAGCAGGTAGCACTGTCCCCCGTTGAAGCAGTAGTTTGGCGACATGTCACATGGCGAGCGGCAGCTTCCATTCGACATCTGGTACCCCACGCGGCATCCACCCATCCCGTCTGACCCGTCCACAGGTGCAGCAGCAGGAGGGGCACCGACAGGGCTGTTCGGAGCTCCCGCACCAGGAAGTGCAGCCCCGGGGACGAAGGAGCCGGACCCTGGGGCCCGAGGCCTGGAGCGAGACCCGGCAGAGAGTCGGAGGTCTTCGTCAGTCTCGTAGGCGTCGGTCGTGGTGCTGTAGGTGTACTCGTCAGCGGTAGGGGAGGCGCCGTCCTCGTAGGGGGTGAGGTAGTCGTAGTTATCCGGCATCGCCCAGGAGGTGGGGTCTCCGCCCTGCAGCTCATGAGCCAGTGATGAAGGAGAGGGTGGGGCCAGGTCAAGGTTGCGTCCACGGGAGGAGGGGTCGAAGAAGTCCACGTGGAGGATGTCAGGGTTGGATGGGTTGGTGGCGGGTGGCGGGGTGGTGGTGAAGAGGCGGTCCAGGTCAAACACAGCTGTATCCTTGGCGTGAATCCAAGGCGGGTCGGTGTGCGGCAGACGCTCCTCCTCCTCCTCTTCCTCCACCTCCACCTCCTCGGTTTCTCGTGGGCTGCTGGGTAACAGGTGCTCCGTCTCGGCAGAATCAGGACTGAGCTGAGGCGGGGCGGCCACGCCCACTTCCTCCACCGTGGGGACCACTGACTCAGCGAACATGCCGCTGCTTTGCTCGTCCTCCTCGCCTGCACGGGGCATCCGGCCCGCCCTCGGGGTCACAGTGCTGATTGTATCAGGATTGGCTGAGACGCTCACCTCATTGACCTTTTCAGGCCCCTCCTCCTCGTTAAGCAGCGAGGTAACATTGGCCGCGCGGTCAGGCTCAGTGGCGTTGATCCCCACGACATTTCCTACAAAAACACGAGAAGAAAACGGAGTTAGATATAAAAAAAACAGCGGCTGAGTTTTCTCGAAAGCTTTGTGATCTTTCCCTGAGCTGCTGGATCATCAATTATTCCTCTGCTTCATACATTTTTAAAGCATGACCGTTTTATCATCGACCTTTCAGCCTGATTATGAGACCTGAGCATCAGTCAGAGTAAACCCTCACTTACACGGCTGAGGGCGAAACCACAACCTGAGAGAGAATGTAAAGAGCTCTTAACCGAAACCTGGACCACGGTTTGGATCGATCAGCTCAGGAGGAACCTGTAGCTCTGAAGTGGGCGGGTTAGCGGAGTGCAGAGCTCATTAGTGGGACGTCTGTTGTTGTAAAACAGCTGGTTTGATTTAAGGCACCGATACTGTCAAACACTGACTCTGTGAGTGTGTGGGGTTTAAACCAGAGCCGCTAAAAATACTCATGGAGGCGAGGAAGCTTTTGGCGCTCTGTGTTTGTGGTTACGCAGCGTCTGTACAACCTCAATGTTTTAGGCTGGAGTTTCAAAGGTTTTCACTGTTATTGTTGCGCCGGACAACCGACATCTGGAGTTTAGATAAGAGAAACGACCTCCATGAGTACAGATGAAGCAACTGGTTTTCCACTTTTTTATTTGTAGTTAGACCAGGGCTGCATGAAGTTTTTCTATCATGTCTCAAAAAGAAACCACTGAAAACGATGTAGTGCACATGCCAAGCCAGTAAGTGGCGCTGTAACGCTGAACAGGAAATACACAAAAGACAGAAGAAGAGTTCAGAACATGATCATTTCCAGAGATGCAGACAATCATCCACACGGAGATGAAATGGTCGTCGTTTACGGATTTATTTACTCTTTGACCCGTTTTCAAAAAGTACCGTTTACAGTCACCTGAATACAGTTTCCAAGCGGATAAAATGCCAATTTCGTTTCCGTGGTGACGGGTTGATACCGTCTTCAGACAGACTTTACAGCAGGGAGTGGTTTACTCTTCATCTGAAACTGTGAAGTCGTACCAATTCAACACGACTGACTCGCTCTTGTCCTATTTAACCACGAAATTATCGCCTTCTTTTGCAAACGCCATGTTTGTCTACACTGGTGTGTGTGGGAACTGGGGAGCCTACGGTGGCCTGGAGGCGTGAGAGACATGATAGAGAGGAAAATTAATTGACAATTTACATTTTTTAAACATCATCATTATCAAATAATCTGATTACGATTTAAAATCGATTAATCGTGCAGCCCAAAGTCAGACAGACTCGCCTGACGATCAACAGAGGTGACTGGATTAAAACAAGCGAACACACTGTCCAAAAGTTTGAGGTAGATTACCAAACTAGAACAGGTATATTATATATAATTTCATCAATAATTCAAATCAAATAAAACAAACTTTTCAGAGTTTTAATCAGCCGCAGACTTCATCCGTCACTGATTACTTTGAAACTGATTAAAACTTCGAGCTCAGTGACTTTCAGAGAAGTTTTGGAGACGTTCAGGTTTCCAGGTTTAAAGATTTATTTCATTTATTTGTGTTTTCTTAAATCTCAAACACGTTCAGATGTAAAACAAGAAGACAGGAGCTGGAAATGTAAAGCAAATATCAGCTGAGAGGCACCGAGCCGGTAAATTTAACATCTGCTGTTGTTTGTATCTCAACTACAAACATAGAGTCACCAACAGTCTCTGTTCACTCTTTCCAGAGAAGCTTCTCACACCAGCGTCCACAGACTGACAGACTGGAAACTTTTAGCCCTATGAGAAGGACACAGGGGGTCCACAGAGTCCGCTATTGAACTCCACTGACCGGGTGAAACAAATTAAAACAAGACCTGATTGGCTGAGTGCTTATCCCCCGGTTGATTACTTCATCCCGGGGTGGCTCGAGTCGAGTCATGTTGAAAGCTGCCTTACGGACGTTCCCCTCTTTTGGATTAAAGGAATAATTCACTAATGTACTTGAATGGTGCGGGATTATGGATTATGGGGGTTTGAGAAGGAGGGATTTGGGAGACTTTAGGGGTTTCCCTGCAGGGGGGAAGAGGTGATCTTGAGACAGACAAAAACAGAGTCTGGACAATGATAAGGAAGAGGTAAATATGTGCCGATGACACGAAAGGGATGGAAACTAATCAAGATGATTTAGTGAGCTGTATGAGAACCTAAAGGGGGTCAATAAAAACCACATTAGAGGACTCTAGTCTACGACTTTAAAGTCACAGACAGGATTCTGCAGAGCATGCACTTGGAGGATCACGTCTGACAGGACTGTGCAGAGGTTCATTTGTAGAGACTGTGGTTGTAATTTGATTAACATCACAAGAAAGCGAGTTCCTGGAAAGCCGTCCCCTGATATCTCCTGATCTCAGCATTTCACAAGAGTTCACCAGAAATAAGTTTTTACCGCCTACATCATCTGACATCCCTCATTTTATCGACCACCAGCCCTTCTGTAAAGTTCAGAGAGTATCTCTGTTGGTTGTTTTTAATGTTCACGTCACCAAACTTCCACAAATATCATCAAACACGACAAGAACCAAAAGATCTGCCAAATCCTTAAATTTAACATTTGAAGAATAAAATCAAACTTCACTTTTTTGAGGCCAGGTTTTTACAAATATATATATTATTTTGCATCTAGACTAAAAACTTGGACAATTATCTTTAAACTTCAAGCTTGGCTGAAATACTTAAAATATAAATAAACATAAAAATCTACATGTCCCTAAATTAAAGAAACACATCAAACTTTCATCATCTGCGTGAGCTCAGACTGAAAAACTTCCTTAAAAAATATCCTTAAACTTGATCATTTGCATCAAAAGTTCCTTAATATTATCAAAGGTCACTATTTGCACAGACCTAGAATAGAAAATCCTGCAAAAATATCTACAGATTTTTTTTATTTTCTGCATGAGGGTAGACTGAAAAATTCTGTAAAATGATCATCAAACTTTGGTATTTGCATGATGAGCCTGGACTAAAAAACTTGCACATAATTTAATTCCATAAAAAAAAGGTGCTAATTTGACCAACTACAGTCAAACGTATCCTTAAATGAAGTTCTCAATATACAGAATATAAAAGCTTCTCTCCACTACCTTGAGCTTCTTGATACCTTGATGTGATTTTAACGTTTGTCTTGAATGTTTATTAAATGATTTTCTTCATTGTTAACCTGATTATTCATGAGGTCAAACCCACCCAGCAAAGAGTGGTTGGAAAGACGTTAAAAAGACGTCTTCACCACACATCTACAGAACGTCTAGATTCGGATTGTCTAACTAAAACCCAGTTTTCAACGTCTTTTTTTGGGCAACATTACGGCCATGACAGGCCGGCGTGATTTAGCCTGAAAAAGGACGTTTAAAAGACGTGAATGGACTGAAAAACTAACGGTCCTGTGAGAATAATAAAGATCAGAAATCCACAAAACAAACTCGAGAGAGAGGACTCGAGTTTTTCTACTGGAGATAATTACACAAAATTATCTTCCATGAATAATCGTCTCTTCAGTTTGAACAGAAGTCTAAGATTATCTCAGGTTAATCTCAGGTTAATCTCAGGTTAATCCCAGGTTGGTGTTTGATAATCACTAGACTGAAGATCTTTATAATTTAGTGAATCTGCGCTGATTTTAAATCGACGCTGTTTTTGTCTGGTCTGAGGGTTTGGAGGTTTAGTTTCTGTCCTGATCATCCACTGTAAATAAATAAATACTGTAGACTTGAGGTCATGTAAGGAGCTTTAGTGGACAGCCTCCTCTGAATAACATATGTGAGGGTATCTTTGAGGATCTTCGCTGACTGCAGATAAGCTCTGCTGACCCTCTGGGGTTTAATCTGTTCTTCTACAAACATGCCCTCAGTGCTCTGCACACACCCATCACTGTATCTTTTATTACGGCCTCTAAAAATGTTATGACTCATATGACGTGATGTCTGCGAGTCAGAAACAACCGAAATAAAAAGGTGCACACGCTCAGGTCGTAAAAAAACAACAACATAGTTTCAGAGGATCATTACTCTGAAACTGAAGAAGAGAGAGCAAGAGTGATCTAAGAAGGATTTATTTATATATTTGACCATCGTAGAAAATATCTTCATGGGCGAGAAAAAAATCAAAGATCCAAAAAGACGAGAAAATACGAAATATTTGGTCAAACGAAACTGTTTAATGATGAAATATTTCCAACTAAGTTCTCTTCACCAAACTTCAACGAAGACAAGAACTAAACAGAAGCTGAAACACGAGGACAAAAGCTTTGAAAAGTTGTATTGAGGCTAAAAACAAGATGAAGTAGCTGTTTGGAAGGGGCGGGACGAGTTGGGAAGAGAGCCAATCAGAATTTAGCTCCATATACAGATAACTCACAACTCACCCTGTCACTACTCCACTGCAGTAGGTGGCAACATGTCCTCTTTATCAATCAATCAATCAATCAATATTTATTTGAATGGTACAAATCACAACATTAGTTCTAAGACTGAGTCCATCTAGAAATCAGACTCTTTCTTATTCCATCTCCAACCAACATGAGTAGAACTTTGCAGTATTTAGCAAAAACTTCTCAAAAACAGGCAGAAACGTCGAGCAGGACCGGACTCATCTGAGCACGTGCAGAACGCTTAGGTCAGTTTCAGTCCGAATAAGTTAAATACATGACAGAGAGCTGCTTTTGAAACACAGCCACGGTGGATGAAGAAAGCGTGGAGTCCTGGAGTAAGAATGGGGCTGGGCGATAAACTGAAAATTTACCGATACCGAAATTTATGACAATAACCAACGTCATTTTGCCCGTGTCAATTTATTTGGTGACAAAATAAATAAATCAAAGTAGGTTTTGGATGTGTGTAGGTAGGCTATGGTCTCATGTCCCTTTAAGACGCTGTCCTACTTCAGAGACGTGACTCCACCCCATCCAGTCTGTAACAAAGAGGGAAAGACAGGTGAGGAGATGGAGGACGGAGAGAAAGTTGGAGCGGCTGAAGTAGACGAAGTTAATGTGGGAGGGGGTGAGCAGCTTGTGGAGTAGTTATCATCCATTTATCGCTATCGAGGTGAACTGATCAATATATTGTGATATTGATTTGAGGCCATATTGCCCAGCCCTAAAAGAAGCATTTCTACCTCTTTTATCAGTTTGTAACGAGCTCTTTGCATCGTAGGAGAGTCTAGGCTAAGAAATCAAACTACGGTCAGAGTCCTGACATTTGTCTTTACTCATTTTCTAATCAGCTGATTAGATTAAAGAGACAAAACATTAATCTTTAAAGAGCTGTGTGCAAAAACTAAAACTGGATCTCAAACAGCCGCAAAATTTGACCCTCTTGTTCCAGCTGCTTTTGCATGAGTATAAATGGAGCTGAATCGTGTGTGAATATAAAGCAGGATATCAAATGTTAAAACTGTCTTCATGCATGTCTAAAAAATCATCCTTCACCAAATCGCCTGAATGTGAGCGTCTCTGTTTCCATCAGGTGTGAGGCTGTCATTCCCTCCACGAGCCGTTCGACAGGTGGAAGGCTTCGCTTTATTAAAGATGTTGTTTTCTGGCGCAGCAGCGTTCAGCTGCGTCTTTGATGCCGGGGTCGTTCAAGGGCTAATCCCTGCAGCAGTCCCCCAATCCACTGCTGTTTAACACATCAACCGAGCAGCCCCGAGAGACACGCCAAAAACACACTCCCTCGTCTTAGAAACCGGCTTCAGTTCAAACACAGAGGAGCGTTTTTACACCCTGAATGATCGCCGATGATGTCTGCCTCAATCTTAAATACACACAAGAACAATCAAACTGCATTTCCCTTCATATTATGTCTCACTTTGACAGCGACACTCTCATTTAGTGACAGTTTGTCGTGCAGTTAGGGTAAATCTCAGTTCGCCGTAAAGACGACTGACATTCCTCATCGTGTCTGATGAATAACAACGCAGAGAAACGCCGGGAAACAGACGCTAATGGTCGCAGCGCTGAGGAGAGGAGGTAATGAGGGACGGAGAAGTGACACATGGTGAAGAAACGAGGGAAGGATGTGACAAAGTGAGGGACAGAGAAAGTGAGGACGCCGCTTTCATGAGCTTAGATAGATTGATAGATTATTGATCTCAAACTGGGAAATTCTCTAAAGGAATATTCTCCCCGTCGGGGAATCGAACCCCGGTCTTCCGCGTGACAGGCGGAGATACTGTCCACTTTACTAACGAGGACTTATATTCTCTACTGTGGGCTCTTTCGCTCCTATTTCTGCATCTGAAGAGGAAACACTCCACAGAGATCATTAAATCTGCATCCAGTCCAGGAGACAAACCAGACCACTGGACTCTTCGTACAGACTTGTGCGAAATGATCGATCTGCAGACAGACGTGTTCAAAAGGAGGACTTTCTAACAGTGGATTTTCTGAGATACGAGGAAACACTTGCTGTGAATTGGCGCCAGATAAATGCATAAAAATACAGCATGACATGATGTTACACAATATGACGCAACACAGTATCCTGCAGTTTATATCCCCTCACAGCATGAGCTCTTAATTCTGCCTGTTTTAGCTGTAAGTCGATGTGTTTCCAGAAGTGAGTTTGTTTTTTCCTCCAGAATCAAATTCCTCAAATTTTACTGATATCTTCATGTCGACCAGATGGATGAAAGTAAATGGAAAACTTGGATTTATATGCAGCAGTGATGTGGTTTCTCACAGAGAAGTGGTTCCACCTGACACCTGAAGGATCATCCCATAAAAACTGAACCGATATTAAAAAGGCAACGATGACCTGATTTCACCAAAACCCATTCACAAACTTGACACTGTTACCAAACAAATAGTCACCTTTTTTTCACACAATCTTGGACATCATTTCTTAACCTCACCCTCTTATTTTAAGCCGGACTGGACTATGTCTGGTTTGTACCACTGCCTCATTTTTTGGCACTGCTTTGGGGTTTTACAATCCTACTCGGATAAACAGAGGTGGAGTCTGGGTGGAACCAGAAGACGGGAAATCGGCGCAGCTGAGAATGAGTCAGCTGTCCATCAGATGATCTTTAAAAACCAGCAGACTCCCAGTATAGAAAGACAGACTCCTAGAGTTCACTACAGGAAGTTTGACATCTGTACATCCCTTTTTCTTGTGACACAGGATTTAGTCACATGGTGCACATGTGTACGAGTGCAGGATATTTGATGATACTGAGCGAATCGATCCCAGAGCTTATGGTCGACATTGTTTTGACGCCTTGTTAGACGATTGAGGAGAACATCAGGCTGAGTGGGATTCCTGCACAGGTGAAAGGCGACTCGAATTTGCAGAACACGCAAATTTCACTGATGACCTCCAAGCAGAGAGCAGGGACTCATCAGTGAAATCACCTGGTGGAGTTTTGGGTTGGAAAGAAAACCTGCAGCCTCTCGGCCCTCCATGGCATATGATTGTCCATCCCTGCACTACAGACTGGAAAGGTCCTGATTCACACTCTTAAAACACCTGACTGTCACTACGGTAACAATGTGAACTAAAACCAAGCCATTATCCGACTATTGCATCACATTGAGCTGAGACAGAAAACAGCAGAAGACAGTCTGGACGAGCTTCATGTCCAAGTTACTCCAAACTGTTTAGATGTTCCAACTTTCTCCCCGGACTCTGAACAGTTCACAGGTACAGAGCAAAATCTCACACCAGCAGCAAATTAACAGGAAGATTATCAAACACGAACACGAACTCACTGTCAGAGTTAAGGCGGCGTGCTGCGAAAGGCCTGGTGGTGTCAGTGAGCCAAACTCTTCTCTGTGCTCTTCTGGACTGAGCTCCAGTTAAGTGGAGATGTCTCCCTTTCACCCCCTCGTTAGCTTAATTGGATTAACGAGGAGAGACCTTTTGACGGACAGCTGGTTTAGGAGCAACATGGCGGATCGAGAGAGAAAATTTGGTACACAGAAGATTTGTTTTTCAATATAGTTACTGTACATTTGCACTGGACTGAAGAATTTCATCTTGTATATATTTTGTTTTTCTCTATTTTTACGAATCTATTGCACTAGAAATGGAGAAGCTCTCTAATCTCGTTGTACTTCAGTATGATGACAATAAAGGGCTGATTCTGATTCATGATAAATGAAGTTAGTTAATTCCAGTTTGAATCGCTTCAATAAGTTATTTAACGTGCTGTAAATCGCGCAAAATGAAGCGGGAACTACGTACAAAGAAGTCAGAGCCAACGTCAGACCCCTCACCTGTCTTAAGGACTATTAGACTTGTTGGTAGTTTCCCATAGAGCCAACAGGTGGTTCAGATAGTGGACGAGTCGGTTAGTTGGTGAAACCCTTAACCTGAGGACAATTTAGGGCTGGGCGATAAACCGAAAATTTACCGATACCAAAGTTTACGACAATAACCCACGTCATTTTGCCCGGCAAATAAACAGCATGTAAACATACTAACAAACATACTAACAAACACATACTTTTATAATCAGTCAAATGTTGATTAAATGTGAGAAAACAATTAAATTTGGCCTCTCTAGCTCTGTAATAATTGTATTCAGAAACCTCAAATCCCAAAACGCTCACTTTGTAAAGATATGAAACCAAACAAAGATGGAAACTGCCTCATCAGACCGACATAGTTTTGTGAATTTTTGCCGACTTACGTCAGTATTTTTCTCAGCCTAAATACCAAACTAACTAAAACAGACTAACTTGAACTCTGGGTTGGGGTCTTTGGCTATTACAGGAAAAACAACATCCCCAAACTCGATAAAAGACTAAATGAGTCGATCAAATTCATTTTTCAACTTCACAGAAACCCGGTTCTGCAATTAGTTCTTCAAAAATGCAAGCCTATCAGAACCAACAATGAGCCGCATGTTTTTCCCCCAATTAGAGCCGCGGAGCTGGCAAAATAGACCGAGTCCCCGTTGGGTCGACTCAGGACGAGTCAGTTCAGGGTGTCAGACTGGGTCCGGGTCCAGGACGAAGCAGCTGAGACCCAAATGAGACGAGACGGACGGGATAAAGGAGTCTTTGTTTGTTTTTCTCCCACCTTACATGAGGCGCTCAAACAGCGTGACATCAGGAGGTTGTTACTTTGTTTATGCTAGTGACCGTGTGTGTGTGTGTGTGTGTGTGTTTGTCTCTCTGCCAGTATAACCCACTGGTAATTGGGGTGACTTCCAGCTTCTCTTGTGAAGGGTGTGGATGGTCATAATGAGAAGATTTTGGCTCGTTTACAGTGTGTGTATATGTGTGTATATGTGTGTGTGTGTGTGTGTGTGTGTGTGTGTGTGTGTGTCAGTCTGATTGTTCTGGGGTGATGGCGCCTCAAGGCCAAGTGCTGTTAGCCTGCGCTGGCGAGCCGCCGGCCCTCGGGCTTCGCCTTTTGTCTGTCGCGGATCAGTTTGGAGAAGGGAAGCCACTAAACCACCCACAGACCCGCGGCGCTCTGATTGGCTGTGACAGACTGTAAAGAGGAACCTGATTGGGTGTGACAGTTAAGACCCGCCGGGCAGTTTGCTGACCCAGACTGTGGGGAGAGGGGAAAGGACAAACAAAAGGTTTAGGGCTCCCGTGGAAACAATATGGAGGTTTGATGGCGGAGGGTTTGGTGGTGACATCTTTATACGTGTTTCTGTTGTCATGGTGACCCTCTATTCCCTCTAGTTTTTCTACTTTGTCAAAACTTCTGCTGACTTCATGATAACAACTAAACGTCTGGTAAAGTTGACACACCATGGAGTTGAGACGAACTTAAAACAAGCTCTGGGCACTGATGTAACGCAAGTTCAGGACGCCGAAATTATGGCTCTGTGATGGTGGGACCAAATCTGGACCAGCATCCGAGATACAACAGAGGTTTTCAGACTGAAGGAACTTTTTTACAGTTCTGGGATTCTGCACCACAGGAACTACAAACGTTTAACTCCTAGAACTTCATTTAGAGGAACCTTTTACCCCAAATTTATACCTCATGTGGAACGGCATCATTCCAGAACATCAGCGATTGTCGTTGTCATTAACGAGTTGTCTCTATAAAGACAGACACATAACCACATAAGCAGTAGATTGTGTCCTTCCAGAGGAGGAAATCTACTTCCAGACTTCTAGAATCAGCATCTCCGCATCCATGAACGGGGTGAAATGACGTCTGAAAACATTTGACTTGTTCGTCCCCGCCCACGTTTACATGGTGTGAAATACAATCCACCTGGAGTGGAAGAAGTCAGATGTTTTATTTTGTGTCTGTTTCCGACTTCCTTTCCAGCACGGGTTAATCTGTGCTGAATTTATGCGCCATGCTGCGGCGTCCGGAAAAAATACGATCGGCTGGTGATCAGCTTCGAAGCCTGCTGAACCCAAGGGGGGCCAGAAAGAAGCCGGTGGGATTTGACACATTTACTTGAGTGGAAACGTTCAGAGGCGATCGGTGCCGATGGCCATTTCGCCGCCATTCTGCAAGCGGAGGAAATTTGGGGTGGGATTTTTTAATCCTACGCCAAAGATGAGCGAAAAACCAGTAAATAACTGACAGTAAAACCTCTGAAACCATTAAGATTTGAGAAAAACGCTGACAAATGGACCACTGTTGAAGTCAGGGCGCTATTGGAGACAAAGACGATATTACACAATTATGAATCGGCGATCACAAATTCAAACAGCACTGCAAAAACTAGCGAGCAGTACTGAAGGATACACTGGATGCTGTCAGGGTTTTCAGAGACGCTCGTTCACAGCAGCATTAGGAGCTACAGTCTTCTGCTGCTGGAAGTGTCTCTGTGTCTCTGTGTGTTCTCAGCTGTACAGCATAAGTGACACAGCTCTAACGACCGTGGACTTGCATTTGTCACTTCACGGTTCAGTGTCAGCCATCACCATGGCATGCAGACGAGGTGTGAACATGATCTTGTTTTCTTGCAAATTAAATAACTTGAACAAATAGGATTTTAAACAGTATCGGCTAATTGATGGAAAACAAAGAGTGGCCTCGATGAAGTGTGTTACTGCCTGTTTTTTTAAATACTATGAGCCTTAAAAACACACAGAGATGATTATCTTCAGTTTATGAAAATGTCTGCACCGAGCAGACCACCATTAGGAGCGATGATCCTGAATGAACAAGCATAAAGCTTCAGGAGAGAAAGCCTCTTCAAATCATTCTCATCGATTTTAGCTTCAAATACCTGAACCTCAGGAGAACCACACGCACACACACACACACACACACACACACACACACACACACACACACACACGCACACACACACACGCACGCACACACACACACACACACACGCACGCACGCACACACGCTCCTCCTTTCCCTCGTTCCCACACTTACTCACTGATGAATAACACATGAGGCTTTTTATCTTTACTTAACGCCGCTCATTAATATCGATATAAAGAGGAAATGCATCGCTCTGCATTCAGCTCTAATTGAAAACCTCGGCATCGATTCTACACCAGATGCCCTCGCTCTTCCTCGCTCTTCCTCCATCTCGTCTTCTTTCGCTCCTCTTTTCCTCTCTTCCTTCTCCGTGCGTCTCTCTCTCTCTCCCTCTCTCTCTTTTTTTATCTCCATCTATTCGCATAAATCCTTCCAGTTCTGACTCCACAGGTGGTGGGATGGAGGAAGGACGTGTTGCCATGGAAACGGTCCCGGCCTCTCCAGAGCTGATGGGGTTGTGTAAAAACTCAACAAGATCTGCATTATAGAAACACACTCATGTGCGCCATGGGAAACACACACACTTGCATTAATGCACTATCACACTTTATACACACATTATATATATGAAGAGGCTGAAGGGTGCGATACCGAGCACCTCTTATGTGTGTTTCTGTGGAAACGTGCGCATGCATGCACGTGTGTGTGTGGCCATGCATGCAAAACATATGCATGCATAGGCTCAGTTTGTGTGTTTGTGCAAATGGTAAGTGCATGCTACATGTGTGCATCCATGCGTCTCCACTCATAGAGACATTTTCTCCCTCTCTGTGACCCGGTTTGGAGCGGTCAGTCAATTTAAACTGCAGCATGTACGGGTGAGTGTATGTCTCTCTAAGAGTTTCTACTCACGCAATGCTAACACAACTCCTCCCATACACTCATCCTGTCTCTATACTGGGCCTACTGGTCCTGTGCACACTTGGTTTTTACTGTATTATTAAATTCATGTATTTACTGGTACTATTGAGGGTGCAGCTGAATATATGCAGCACTTGAACAGAAGTATTATAATATAAGGTAACGTATCAGTAGTTTTACATATCACATCCTAACATATGGAATTGTTGCATTTTGTACAAAACTGTAATGAGCTGTTTTATAAAGAATCATAACGTTTTGTCATGAAACTACTTTTATATATTTTTTTGGGTGGTGGTGTAATAAGTTGTCTTAAAAACACATCATAATGCATTGGTTGGTATTGTACTGTGATATATTAGTATTTGTATCATATCACTGCACATTAAGTATCATATCCTAATGCTCGGTATTTCATGTCATATGATAATGCATTGTTTCTTAGGTTATCGTATTGTTGCATTTCCTATTATACTATGTATTATTTTGTAACATATTGTTTGGTAAAGTTCTGTAATGTATAGTACCATAACCTGAACAGAATGGATTATTTTTAATGCACTTTTATCTTGTGATATCGACTTGTTATCTTGTTATCTCAATTTAGAAAATTGTTTTAAGTTAAATAATTTTTTTGTAATCTCGACATAACAAAGATTGTTTTCTCGTGATAGCAGGAATGGCGTTTTGGCCGACCTCAAACGCGAACTTCCTGAAACGCTCTCCAGATTGGGATACTTCTGAAACACCGCCGCCACCGTTGTCAACAGCAACCAGGGGTTTTCAGTGAAAACAATCTTTGTAATGTCGAGATAACAAAAAATCTTTATCACACAAAAGCGAACTTTGTTATATCGAGATAACAAGATTAGTCGTTATCACGAGGTAACGATGCATAAAAACAAAGTAAAATCCATGGCCGTTCTCGTCTTCGTCTTAGTTATTAGTGATTGTATTGTTACATATTATTTTGTAGTGTGAATTATTGTTACCAACTGTATGATATTGTAAAATTCTGTTTTGTTTTGTATTTTTACCATTGTGATAATATTGATTTCAGAAGTTTTAACTCTTTTCAAATGTTTCAGCCCTCTCTTTAATCACTAACCGATCAATTGACATTTGTTTCAGGTCAAGTTATGGTACTATGTGTTATGTTATGATATTGTATATTATGATATTTTATAGTGTGTTATAGAATCGTATTTTATGATATTGAAGTATTTTTGATTTTGTGCACGTTTCGACATAAACCCAGACAACAGCATCAAACATGAATCCTCCCATCTGAATCACAGCCTCTCTGCAGAGCCTGTTTTTTTTTTCCTTTACTATGACAGGTGTGTGTGTGTGTGTGTGTGTGTGCGTGTGTGTGTGTTGTACATGTGTGTTTACAGAGCATTGTGATGGGCAGACTGAACGCTAATATGACAGTCTGCAGAAGAAGAGAGCCGAGGAGGAACGAGCGGCGTGCACAGTCTCTAGGCGGAGGAGACGAGAGAGGAGCGTGTGCACGAGTGTGAACTCAATGACTCGCTTCAGCAAGGACACACACATACACACACACACAGACAGTCTCACACCTACACAACACATTAACCAACACACATTTTACGGTTGTGGACAGAAGAAAGCGGCTTACAGTAGCGCACACACAGACAGAGACAGGTGAAAACCTACGCATGAACAAAAAGATGAGCTCTCCCTTCATCTTCGCTGACACACAAACCGCCCACATGGACACACACACACACACACAAACATGTAAATTACTGTTCAAGGGCAGCCAGAGTTTGAGAACAACGCCAACTCAGCACCGCTAAAAGAAAAAAGCACTTGTACTGTACGCTAATTATTTCGACTTTGAGGAGAAAGGACGGAGAAATCAGCCTGTCACTGTCCGGCTGCTCCTGAAACTTTTTTTCATGACCTCTTCCCACCTGTTAGAGAAAAAAAACTGACAAGGACGATGACAATGACGTCCAACACAACTGTCACACCTGTGAGTCAGCACTGCAGCTCCCAAAAAAAAGAGGAAAATCACCTGGAGGCTGAGGAGGGTGATGACATTGAGGAGAAACACCTGCTCAGAGGACTGACGGATGACACGGCGTTTTAGAGAGTTTGAAGTTTGTCATTCAAGGTTGTGTCACAGTCAAAAACTCGATTTGGTGACACACACAAGAAAAGCTCCTCAGCTTCAAGATACTATGTGATATTTTACTCATGATAAACTATATTTTAATATTAATAAGGTTAATTTCATGTTTATACCCCAAGGAACGACCTCTAAAGCAAAGGTGTAAAAACCTGCAGTTCCACATGTGTCCACTTGAGGCCGTCCCCGAAAACTCAGGAGACTCCATCAACACCTATGATAACACAGTCAACTTTACAGCTGATTTAAACATCCTTACAGTCTGGTACAATAAACAGTTTTTTCTAGAAACTCATTTTGTTGCTCAGACACACTGTAAAGTGTTTGCATTTCCTCATAACTCCTCTGTTTTGATCAGATTTAGGCTAAAAGTTTTGTTTATTTTGCACACATAGGAGTGTGACTGTAGGTGCATGGTTGCTGTTATCCAGGAGGCTAAAAGTTCAACTTCGGCGCCCAACTTTGAGTCGAGTTTGGCCAAACTTTTATAGTTCGACCTCCTAAAGGGTTGACGTCACTGGGATGTATCCTTGTTTTATGCAGTCTGTACATAATACCCCTCACTGGTATGCAGATTATTGTCATGTTTAAATGGATTTGAGTTAAGCTACAAAGTTGTGGAGTCTGAAACAAGCTTACAGCAGTGCTCTGATTAGTCGAGTCATTACAGCCCAATAAATTACTTTAGATACAAGATCAGATTTGAAAAATGTGAAGAGCCCTGGAGTTGGAAATTTTCAGTTTCTTTGTCTGAATGTGTTGAAAGCACATTTTAATCATAAAACGAGAGGTTTGATATCATAAATTTTAAATGTATATGATCCTCTACCAAGACGTAGTTACAGATCTGTCATGTAAAGTGTCATTGTTTGGGCTGGAGAGAGGAAATCAGGGACATATGAACTTGTGCCTCCACGTACGGTTCATCTGCACACTGTAACTCCAAGAGAATCCAGCAGCTGGTTGGGTCGAGTCAGGGCAAAGCTACGTATGCTAACGTTGACCTGCATGCAGATCCAGGTGGGAGGATAGTACAAATGAGATTAGGATCACTATGTTTTCAGAGAGCAGGTTTATCTGGGATGATGCCCGTAATAGCCGCTCATAAATCCAAATTCAGCGCTAAGGGAAAAGTTTCTGTCCCAACATGATCCCCGGGGAGAAAACTTGCAATTCAGCTCGTTGTACAATTTCATTATTCATAACTTTTTAGTTAAACCATAAACGTGGCAAAATGCTTTTTGTTCCAGAGGATGCTGTTTCTAATCACTCAGCGTCGCTTTATAAACACGACTCTCATTGTTTTTTGCAGCAGGATCAGTTTGAAGAGCAAGATTGACATTATTAATGAGCTAACCGAACACAACACAAATGTTCCCCTCCGAGTGGAAACTGTTTTATGCCACATCAGACAAAGCACAGCTTTCATTAACCAACAACAGGGCCAATAAAATTTTCAATGTACCGCCTTAATACATCCTGCTACGTTTTACAGACACATTATAAGGCCCACTGTTGTCTGTACTCGTGTTAGTGTCACAGAGCATCAGACTGAAAACCTCTGACTCGACACACAACAGCTCTGACTGCAGTTTTTCAGTCGTCTAACATCATGCCTGTTACTGCTAATTACTCTGCTAACAGGACTCATTAGAGCTTCAGCAGTTTGGAGCAGGGATCTGGTGAATCATCAGGTGACAACTGTGACTAGTCTGGATGTCAATCAGAGCTACTGCACATATTTATATTCAGCTAAAAATACGTAGAAAGTAGATCTAAATGGTTCACAGCAGGCGGTGAGAGTGGGTTTGTAAACTGGCTGCCGCAGAGAGAAGACAAAGAAGAAACAGCAGAATTTCCTCACAAACATAAACCTAAAATGCAGGTAAACACAGTAAAATCAAACTTCTTATAGTCAGACTAATGTACCTGGAAGATGCAGTCTGAGATTGATTTTCTCTGTCATCCATGTGTCTTAATCGGGCTAAAACTTGCCCAAGTGTTTGCATGCTAGGCTTCGAGCTGAAAGCTGAATAGGATGGATGCGTTGCTAGGATGACAGGTAGTCAACAAAACCTCAACAGATGAAGAGAAGTCGCCAAAAAGACAAAACTTTCCTAACAAACGACACAGAGCCGCAGAGGTGTCATCCTGTTAGCCTTTTGCTTACGTGTTTTTTTTTCTATTTTGATACAAAACACATCAGCTGATTCATAACGAGCTGAAACGGGGAGTTTTACCACCTACTGTAGTGGAGGTGGACACACTTCTGTCAATGATTTGATTCTTGCCTAGTGAATATATTATAATAATAGTAGACCCAATGTGCAGAGCATGTGTGACTGTTTCCACGCATCAAGCGCAAGTAAAATCATTTGCGTGACTGAATCAAATGTTAAGTCGATGCAAAGACGCAATTAGACGCTCGTACTACTCTGCTGGCATGAATGACGCCAATTTGGCGCAGTGAATTGTTAAAGTTATTCGCGAAAATGCGAATTTGCAAAAGTTGAAAATATCTCAGCTTCAGCAGATATTCGCGTCCTGATCCGATCAGCATAAAGGTTCCCGGGTGACGTATGAAAACAGACGGTTGTTCACTGTCACTAAAATGGAGGACAAACTGATCATGTTGGTGTGTGGGTTCCCCGAATTATATGATACCTTTTCGTTCAATTACCGAAACCGGAATAAAAAGGAGCTCGTCTGGATGCAATTGAGTTAGGAGGTCGGATTACCTGGTAATTTGTAAAAAACCTTCGTCTATCACATGATCCCGCTGGTTAAATTGGCAGGATTACCGTTAAAATGACTGTTGATGCACGAATGAAGCGTGTAAATACTGTTCATTCACGTGTCAAGATTCGCATGAATAAAGCGAGTAGATGATTTTACTCGCACTTGGTGTGAGCGCCCCATGACAGGGGCTCCTTTTGGTGACACCACCTCCACCAAAGAGACAACTACATATAATCATCAGCATCTAGTGTTTATTAATCACCAGCTGCGTTAATATTCTTCTGTTTTAATTGTAGGTACCTAAAGCATAACCCGATATCAAGTACGGTTACAAACCTTACATGGCCGTACGTATAATCTGCACTGATGTCTGCAGTTTCCAGTGTCTTTAAGACGCTACCACAATAATTTAAAGGCAAACTGTAAATAATCTATAAACACCTTCCTCTATTTTGCTCTTTGAATAAGAGTCCAAAATTGATGTCTTCACAGCCGACAGTAAAACGTGTGAATCTGCTGAGATTCAGACACCGAGAGCGACTCATGGAATCACTACGCAGAAATAATGAACACACCAGCAGAATACTGATATCATCCACCAATTAGACCCGGTAATGATGGACTACACCCATTGCCAGTGGCTCCAGACACACACACACTCACGTAGAAACACACACTCATGCGTGGTCAGAAGGCGTCGAGCCGCCACATTCGGCCAGAAGATTTCAGCGTGTGCCAAAATCTGACCAACGTTTTCAGCCTTCATGGAATTCCAAGTGCAGAGAATTTATGTGCTGAGATATGAACATGCTGTTCTGCCAGCCGGTGTTGAAGGATGTGTGTGGTTTCCATGGCGACAGAGAGGATGCAGAGGAGAATGTGCAAAGCCATTGTTCGCAAATAACCAGAGCAGTGGCGGCGAACATTTCAGGATTCTTCTTTTTCTAATGTGTGTTTTTTTTCTCTTGTTCTCCACGCCACAATGAAAAGATTGGGTTAGTGGTGTCATGGTGGGAGGATTTGGCTGGAAGATTAACCCACTGCACATCAAAGATGATCTGCCAGTGAGGAGATATGTGTCAGCGGGCCAGAGAGAGCGAGAGGAGGAGGAGGAGGAGGAGGAAGAGAGAAGAGGAGCGAAGAAGGGCATTTAAAAAGCAGCACATGTACGAATTTCAGCGCAGGAATAAGATGCCGGTATTCCACCAATCACCTTTGCTAGTTTAACCATGCATGGGGGAGGGGGAGGATGATGGGATGGAGGTGCTAATTATCTGCATAAAGCAGACAGAGGACTCAGACAGAGAGCAGTAAATGAACAACAGCGGGGAAAAAATGACAGAAAATGACAGGATTCTGGTCTGCTTCATTCACAGATGTGGGGGAAGCTGCTGCCTCCGAACTCCACCAGTGAAGCAAGAATGAGTGTGTGTGTGTGTGTGTGTGTGTGTGTGTGTGTGTGTGTGTGTAGAGGGGGTGGAGACGGAGGGTTAGCCCAAGGTTGTTTTACAGCATCTACAGAACCAGATCTGCCAAAGTCTGTTTGTTCGAAATGCACCTGATTGACGCTCAGTGAGAAAAAACCACACCTGAAGAAGACAAGGCTTAAATGACTTATTTAAAGAGCGTGCATTTTTACTTTTAGTTCCTGCATTTGTGCATAATCATCAAACATTTGCGTTTACCAGTGAATGCAATCACATAGCTGCGTGTCAAATTCACCTTTAAGTGTGGTTTCTTTCTGTGCAAAACTATGGATGTACTAAAATGCCCCTCCATGATTGTTTCTATCACTAATATCCGAGACATGAAGGTTAAATATTCATACATGTTTCTTCTCTTAAATCAGTAATTTCCTTAAGTTGGGGAATCACATCCACATGCAGCCAGCACAAAAAACTAGGAGGTTACGACCCTTTAAAGTAAACTCAGAGGTCAGAACCGTTTAGGTCCTAATTACACCTGATTAGCATCATTGAACTCAAAGCAGCAAAGAGCCAAAGTGCAGCCTCACCGAGAAAAAAACAGGTTCACCGAGTTTCCTCTGAGGATAGACGGGTTTTCTAGTTTCCAGTGTGTTTCCATGCGGTATAAATTAAGCTAGTCCAATTCAGTTGATGTCGCTTCAATACTTCATATTGTGATACATGCAACAGTCAAAAAGGATCGGACATGCAGGTTTCTTGCGGTATCATAAAAGCATGTTTGAGATATGGGTTAAAGAATCACAAGACGTTGAAGAAGAGTTTGAGTTGTCAAAGTCGGCGGCCTCTTTCATATTCCTAACTAACTTGTTTGTGAATCTACGGCAGCTGAACCCAAAGTTATCATGTCGGAGCTGAAGCAGATAAATGCCGAGCAGCAGCTCATTGTACTGCAATTATTACAGAGACAAAGAGAAGAGAGGGACTGTAGGACAGCTGAATCAGTGTTAGCAGAGGGGGGGGGGCTCCAATACTGGAAATGTATATGTACATGTGCAGGGTTATACAAAGCTACTTTCAATTCAGCTGCAGTGTTGTGACTTGCATGCATGTTTACATTCTACCTCCATCTAACACACAGATACAGACACTTCCTGCACAGACGTCAGTTTGTCTGTATGTATAAATAAGAAGCTGCAGATTTAAGTCAGTCATACATCAACCCTGACCAAAAACAAGGAAGTGGTGACAGAATATTTTCGAGTTATCTCTTTCTCTCCACTCTCTCTGTATTTCCCCCTAACTACTCAGCAGCAGATGGTTGTCTTACATGAGTCTGGTCCTGCTCAAGATTTCTGCCTGTTAAAAGGAAGTTTTTCCTCACCACTGTCGCTCATGATAGATGAGGTCAAATCTGTCCCATCTTAAGGTTGGGTCAAACAATGAGCGTGGTCTATACTGTCTTGGGATAACAACTGCTCTTCACGCCGACAGGAAGACCGACTGATCAAACTCCGACCATAAAAGCGTTTTCAACTTCTACCCCCCACACCGAATCTTATTCTCTGCATTTTATTTCTAAAAACATCGGCGAAAATCGGCGAGTTTTTGCCGATTACTGATTTGTCGATCGGTCGGGCCTTCTAAATGATCCCCTCATTGCTCTCCAATTCATGATTACAGCCTCATTTGACGTACAGGTAGATTTACACCTGGCGGGTAAGACTTCTCTTTGATGCTCCACTGATGTGACTCCTCCCCTTCATACACACGTCCGTGTTTTTGACATCACCTTGCCATAACACACCATGAATCTCAGCCAATGACAAAAATCAGCCAGATTATATTGGATTATAACGCCACAGTGATTCCATCGCGTGCACGCTCCTGCATTAATAATCTGACAGTAATGTCGCTCGCCGCTCAAACAAAGCCAGCCTCTTTTTCTAATGTTTACTCGTGTGTGTTTTTGCCTCTCTGTGTGTATCAGAATGTGCGTCCAGATCCCCTCATGAATTATTCATCAGGTCCCCGGGCTCTAATCCTCGCTTTTGTGTCGCTGTAGTGCCAGTGCGCCTCCAGGGATCCGGTTTACTGCATCGGCTGGCCGCTGTCACTCTCACACATCTCTGTAATTTCTCCTTTCACATATCTCTCACAGCGGCTCATGGTGTTCGTTCAGTGACCTGGTTTTGCTTTGATTTCCTCCCAAAATGTTTCATCTGCTGGGTGTCTGGATTGAGTTGAATGACATTTTTTAACCCCCCATGCTGTCTGATGACTTACAATGTCTGCCACACTCAGCGTGGAGCTGATAGTGACCTCATTGTGCAAAAAAATTCCCATCAATATGTTTTTTATGCTGGAAATCTTATGATTTCTGAATGAATGTCACATAATCTCTGCTCTTGTGGTGTGTCCAATGAATTTATATTGACCTAAATGTTGTGTCCTCCTACTCCTCCTCCTCCTGTGTGTCTCCATAATATTCATAAGGATTTAGGACTGTCTACTTGTGTCTTATTGTGACCTAATTTCGCTTCATGCGCTTTTTGGACTGGAGTGACATCTGAAGAGTAGTCCTACAGGAACAAAGGGTTCCACAACGACACAGTTGTGACATTTTAGTCCCTGAGGCTTTAAAATGAAACGTGAAAATTGTTGGAATACTCCTTTAGTGTGATACAAAGACACTCTTTACTCAAAGATTTTTAGGACAGATTGTCCAAATCCGATTAATGTTGAATTTCCAGTGACTGGAAAAGGATATTTTTGCAGAGAAGTGTGATTTGAGTGCAAAGTGCTTTCCTAACCTACAATCCAGAGCCTCACTGACCTCCTTTCTGACGCCTCTATGGGAGTGTGTACCCTGAATCCTACAGTGTGGACATGCTGCTGCTGCTGCTGCACGGAAATTCAGCTTGATTGTCATTGCACGGTTGAAATGCAACATAAATAACAGCTTTCTTACCGTGCACAGTCAGCGGGATCAAGTGCAGAGCCAGGACGCACGACAGCAGCGTTAGTCTCCAGCATCCCGTGCAAAAAACGCTCGCCACCTTCCCCTGCATCCTCGCCAATGTGCAATGACACAAGATGATCAGACGGAGGTGGAAAAGAAATGAAATCCTGGTCGTAGAGATTGAGAAAAGAGTTCAGATTTGTTGCAAAAGTAATCCGGGTGAGTGTCTCTTGTTGATTTGCGTGCAGTCTAGACTCCAGCCTCCCTGCGCTGCTCCTCCATAGCCGCTCAGTCTCAGCTGTCTCCGCGGATCCGCTGCTGGTTCACACGCTCGGCTCAGTTAAGCACACACAGGCTGCTCACGGCTCCATTGCCAGAGAGACGGCGGTGGGATACGGTGGAGGGGAGGGTGGGGTGGTGGTGGTAGTAGTGGTGGTGGTGTTGGAGGCGGGGGGTGGCGTTTGAGGGGCGCAGACGCACGCCGTGGCTCGGCTTGGCTTGGTTTGGCTCGGAAACGGATCGGTGCTTGTTGGGTACTTTGTGACTGAGAGGGAAACAAAACGCACGGCGCATCAGGAGAGGAGGGAGGGAGGGAGAGAGGGGGGAGGAGAAGGGCCGTTAATGCCCCTCACCCCCCTCCCACCGAACTTCATCCCTCCCTCCTTCCCTCCTTTTCCCAAGAAGCTTCCTACCTCCTCTCCATCCTTCCCTTTCCTTAAATCTTTCCTCTTTTTTCAGGGTTAAAATTGTTGATTAAAAACACTTTCTGGTGGTTTAAAAATCCTTCAAAGCCTGTTTGATTGTAACTTTTGCTAAAACAAAAAATAGTTAAAATTCAAACCTGTTTAATGTAAATTATATCCTCATTTTTCAATTGATTACAGCAATATGTTTTAAAAAAAACGTTAGGAATTGGAAAACAAACCATTGGAAAAGTTGTGTAATGACAAAAAATACATAGAAGAGCATCTCCAAACTAACCAGGTTAATCAGCAAAAAGACAATAACGAGGTATAAAAGGAGATTTGAGTGTTTCAGTCTTTACACTAAATCATGAAAATGCAAAACTTAGTTCCATTGAAGTTGGGAAATGGTGATAAACGTAAATAAAACAGAATACAATGATTTACAAATCTTTTTCAACCTATATTCAATTGAATACACGACAAAGATAAGATATTTAATGTTCAAACTCATAAACTTTGTTTTTTTGCAAATAATTTTATAACTTAAGTATTTTTTGCCAACTTTCCCAACTTCTTTGTCACGTGTTGCTGCTGTGAAATTCAGAGAAATTTGAGGAATGCTCATCAAACACCTATTTGGACCATCCCACAGGTGAGCGGGCTGAGTGGGAACAGGTGGGTGACATGATTGGGTAGAAAAGCAGCTTCCTCCAAAATTCTCAGTCATTCATAAGCAAAGATGGGGCGAGTCTAAATCTGAAGTCTAAATACTTCAAATTCACCAGGTCATATAAAAGTTTGGATCTAAATATAGACGGGGACGTGTGTTCATGGTGAAACAAACATGCACACAGATTTATTCAGATCCTTGTTATGAGTCATTTTCAGCAGGAAGGTTGTGGGTTTAAAGCCGTAAGTGTTTTTATTTTTCTGTATCTTTTTTGTGATTCATTTGCTGTTAAAATGATATCTTAATAACATGATTTCAAAGACAAATATCAGGTCCTGTTGAACCCCGACCACTACAGCAGAAAGATGCCCAACTCCATCAAAATTAAAAACATCTGGGAGAAATAACTTTATTTTTAAACATTAATTTGACTGTAGATCATACATGAGAGAGGGCTCGTCTTTATCTCCATCTTGTCTTTATCCTGTTTGTTAGTTTGTGATTAGAAACACTTTCCCTTCAACCTCTTTTTAAGCTTATCCTTAATCTTTTAGACCTTTTGAAGGATTTATGACTCCTCTGTCTCCATCCCCCTGGATGTTTCTCCTTGTTCAGCCCGTCCTCTAACCCTGGTTTTGTCCTCTTACCTTCCCTCCTTCTCTTTTCCTTCCTCCAGCTGCATCCCAAAACTTCCTCCCTCGTCTTTTACACTCAAACTTCTCCTCCTCCCCCCTCCTACCTTACACTTGTTCCCATCTTTTCCACATCCTCTGTTCACTTCCCAAACTCTTCCCTCCTCCCCCTCTTCTCTCCCTCCCTCCCTCTGTTTCCCAAAGCTTTCAGTTATTCGTCCCATTCATCTGAGTGTGTTGGATCTCAATGGTGCACACTCTGCTCCGGTCGCCTTTATTTTTTTTCCCAGAGGGATCTCGATCTGTTTTGAAGGAGCTTAACTTCCCTCATCTGTGTGTGTGTGTGTGTGTGTGTGTGTGTGTGTGTGTGTGTGTGTGTGTGTGTGTTGGAGAGAATGCAGCACTTTTGAGATTATGTAAAAAAAAAAAAACAGTGTGGTGTTTGATGCCGTCAAAACAACCAGCTTTGTCTAATGGTGTGACACAGAGAAGCAAACAAAAGGGGGGAGGAAGGGGGAGGGGGGTGTGGGGGTGTCTGGGTGACAGGGGGGGCAGTTAGAGGGGTGAAGGGGGGGTGAAAAAAGGGGGATGCACATGGTGATGAATGCCCAAAGCCTCGGGGGTAATGATGGCGGTGGGGGTCGTGGGCATTCTTCTGCACAAAAAACGCCAAAAGAGGGAGAGAGGGGCCGGGCAACAGGCGAGTGTGTGTGTGTGTGTGTGTGTGTGTGTGTGTGTGTGTAGCTGGAGTCTGTTGTTTATGTATACATGTGCATGTGTCGCTGCCAGGATGACATCCAAAATGTTTAGTGAGATAGAAAAATCGTGTTTGGTGAGTTGTGAAAAGTAGGTCAAGATAAATTTGTGCGGCTCCCGTTTATATCATCTGATTCATGGTCTCCTCTGTCGCACACCGTCTAAATAAAAGAACTTCACACAGAAATAAACAGCCTGAGTTGAGCTGAAATCTCAGGGTGTATGTCTGTTTTCCAACAACATATTTACAGAGAAAAAGGAGGATTTGTCTAATAATTATGGTGCTAATTAGCTCAGATAAACGCCATAAAACCATCATGAAGGAACAGCTTGGGTGCAGTGATGGAGTTCAGTACTGGAGTAAATTTAGTTCAGTACAAATCTGGAGGATATTTTTGTTCGTCTGAGAGTTAAACTTTTTTTATAACAACTTTCAATGCAGTGAGTTAATATTTGCACTGAAATATTAGCTAAATATTCCCTGCCTCTATTATGTCTCTTTATTTTTTTATTAGCTTTAATTTATGATAATACCTAATAACCGCATCGCAATAACCCATTTAGACCAATCTCACCTTCTTTCTAACCCTCAGTTATCCTCTCCATCTCTAATATTTCCCACACCGTTATTTTCCATGTCCAGAGTTTTGGCCGTTTACCGATTAGTCTCAAACGGGCTAAAATTGGCCGATTTAATTGACTCGCCGATAAATCGGTCGGGCCCTAGTCTGTACTGATGGGTTGATGGATTTTGACCAGTTCTGGTCCAGTTCTTGTGTCAGTTCTCATATTTAGGGGTTAAGTTGAGTCGTTATATCGAACATGGTGACGATTGTCCCGATGACAGAATGAATCTGAAATAATCTGATCTCACTGATGTGTTCAGTTTGGAGTGAATGTTCTGATGAATCTTTTATGTCATTTCTGAATTTGTCATTTTATGAGTTTCTCTGCGTATATGTGGTCCGTTTGTCTTCGCTCTGACTCAGGAGACCATTTCTGTTGAAAGCTATTACGTTCAGTTTTCAGATTTCATGTTTTTAAAAGGTGAATTTTTGATTATTCTATGATGGGTTTCATACAAAAGGATGAATAAGCAAAAGCACTCATGATGTAGTTTGATTATTTAGCCATTTTAGTTTCTTATCTGTCTGTGCTTTAAAATCCTCTTAGTGCGAGATGAAATAAGAAAGGACAGAAAAAATTGGGAAGTGAATTATGAAAAGTAGGTCAAAGTCACATTTGTGGGTCTTCCATTTAAATAATAAGAATCATGCTCCCCTCCTGTTACACACTCTCTAAATAAAAACAAACTTTATATCAAAATATAATTTTGACTGGCATCCTGTTAAAAAGGAAAGAGAGAGTATACAGGCTTTTCCAAACTACCAACAACCAAAAGTAATTTCTTTAAACTAAAGATCTAGTAAATTTTAATAATTCGCTACTGAATGAATGGATGACATTGTCTGTTTGAAGAGTTATCATTAACCTCTGATCAGAAATTGGTAAAGCATCAAAGGGATTTTTGGATTTCTCTTAAATTTACTGTTTTATGACAACCGCTTATTATTCAGACAGACCGGTTTTATCTTACGCTGTTGTCCAAAAAAGCTCCATCCAGGGTTCCTACCCAAGTATGGAAAGTATGGAAATAAATTTGACCAATTTCCAGGTCTTAAAAAGTATGGAAAATGAAAAATAAGTATGGAAAAATATTTACGTTTCCAGACTATTACCACAGTTCTGAAATACTATTTTCTAAAGTAAAAAAGTAGGTATTTCCAAAAATAATTCTAAAAAGTGGGGTATGGAAAAGTATGGAAATTCCAAATGTGTAGAAACCCTGTCCATCTAAGCCCCGCCCACCAAGAATGTCATACTAAATCATGCACAAGCTTCATTATGGCCGACAACAGTCACCCTCCAGTCTGAGACAGCACGTCAAGAAGTGAAAGCCAAACATTTGTTTTATTCCAGCCGCTCATTTCAAACCAAGCTGACGGTACTTGACGGTGGACCAGAGATATAGAGTTGAATATCTATACCTACTTCCTCCTGTTCCTTCTGTTACTTTCAATAACGGGGATCAGAGATGAAACCTCTTTTCCTCGCCATGAAGCCTCGTTACGATTTGTAGAGGGGGGCGTATACATCCCTAAGGTTAGTATAAAAGAGTTGGACACTAAGAAGACGGGTTTGAAGCTCTATGTGCGTCACCGTCTTGACCTTTGATTGAGCCTGAGAAGCCTCATTTGTGCACACACAACCATGAAACAATGACAGACTCCATCCTTCTAAAATATGAAGTCAAAAAAATCTTGAATGAGCAGCGAGCACCTGTCACTCCTCCCTCCCTCCCTCT